AGCCTGGATGACTTACTTTTTACTTCTTCTTGACCAGCTTTGCTCACCTTGGCTGCTGCTCTCGCCTGAACACCCTTCCCCCCTCAACTGCTCCCCCTCTTGCTATTTTGAGCCTGGATGACTTACTTCTTCTTGAGCCTGGATGACTTGGCCATCCCGCTGATCGGATGTGGGCTAACACCCATGCTGGCTGGCTCCTTGTTTATTTCCCCCTCAACTGCTCGCCTTGCTATCTGGAGCCTGGATGACCTACTTCATCCCACTCCTACTCCATCCTACCTACTCCATCCTGATCCTTGAGCCTAGATGACCTACTTCTGGATGGATGTGGATGTGGGCTAACACCCATGCTGGCTGGCTCCTGTTTATTTTCCCCTCAACTGCTCGCCTTGCTATCTGGAGCCTGGATGACCTACTTCATCCCACTCCTACTCCATCCTACCTACTCCATCATGATCCTTGAGCCTAGATGACCTACTTCTGGATGACCTACTGCTCTTCTTGTCGCCATTTTTAACTCCATCCTGATCGCTTGGCCATCCCGCTGATCGATTTTCGCTCACTCCCATGCTTGGGGCTCCTATTTATTTTATTTGAGCCTGGATGACTTACTTGTTACTTCTTCTTGAGCCTGGATGACTTACTTCAGCTTGGCCATCCCGCTGATCGATGTGGGCTAACACCCATGCTGGCTGGGCTCCTGTTTATTAATCTCTTGCTCTCTCCTTGGCTGCTGCTCTCGCCGCGGATCGATTTTCGCTCACTCCCCATGCTGGTTCTCCTATTCCGCCCTCAACTGTTGGGCCTTGTTATTTCGCCCGCTCTTACTTCATCTCTCTCTTGTCTCCATTTTTAACTCCATCCTTGATCCGCCTTGGTCATCGATTTTCGCTCACTCCCATGCTGATTCTCCTATTCCGCCCTCAACCGTTGGGTCTTGTTATTTCCGCTCGCTATCTTGAGTCTTCAATCCTGATCGCTTGGCCATTTTGGCTGCTGCTCTCGCCTGAACCCTTCCCTCTCAACTGCGAGCAGTCTTGCTATCTTGAGAGCCTTGGTTACTTAGCTTAGCTTACTTAGTTACTTAGCTTCTTGAGCCTGGATGACTTACTTCGGCTTGGCCATCCCGCTGATCGATTTGGGCTCCCATGCTGGCTCCTATGCTCCCATGCTGGCTGGCTCCTATTTATTTCCTTTTCATCTCTGCTCTCTCTTTGGCTGCTGCTCTCGCCTGAACCCTCCTTTTTTAACTCCATCCTGATCGCTTTGGCCATCCCGCTGATCGATTTTCGCTCACTCCCATGCTGGCTGTTTTTTTTCCTTTTCATCTCTGCTCTCCTTGGCTGCTCTGCTGCTCCCGCCTGAACCCTTCTTTCCGCCTCAACTGCTCGCCTTGCTATCTGGAGCCTGGATGGCTCTGCTACTCCCGCCTGAACCCTTCTTTCCGCCTCAACTGCTCGCCTTGCTATCTGGAGCCTGGATGACCTTACTTCATCTCTTCTTGTCTCCATTTTTAACTCCATCCTGATCCTTGAGCCTGGATGACCTAGACCTACTGCTCTCTTCTTGTCTCCATTTTAACTCCATCCTGATCGCTTGGCCATTCCGCTGATCGATTTTCGCTCACTCCCATGCTTGGGGCTCCTATTTTATTTTATTTCCAGCTTTGCTCTCCTTGGCTGCTGCTCTCGCCTGAACCCTTCCCCCTCAACTGCTCGTCTTGCTATCTTGAAGCCTGGGTGACTTAACTTCTTACTGAGCCTGGATGACTTACTTCAAGCTTGGCCATCCCGCTGATCGATGTGGGGATAACACCCATGCTGGCTGGCTCCTGTTTATTTCCCCCTCAACTGCTCGCCTTGCTATCTGGAAGCCTGGATGACCTTACTTCATCTCTTCTTGTCTCCATTTTTAACTCCATCCTGATCGCTTGGCCATTCCGCTGATCGATTTTCGCTCACTCCCATGCTTGGGGCTCCTATTTTATTTTATTTCCAGCTTTGCTCTCCTTGGCTGCTGCTCTCGCCTGAACCCTTCCCCCTCAACTGCTCGTCTTGCTATCTTGAAGCCTGGGTGACTTAACTTCTTACTTCTTCTTGAGCCTGGATGACTTACTTCAAGCTTGGCCATCCCGCTGATCGATGTGGGATAACACCCATGCTGGCTGGCTCCTGTTTATTTCCCCCTCAACTGCTCGCCTTGCTATCTGGAAGCCTGGATGACCTACTGCTTCTTCTTGTCTCCATTTTTAACTCCATCCTGATCGCTTGGCCATCCCGCTGATCGATTTTCGCCCCATGCTTGTTTTATTTCCAGGAGAGCCTGGATGACTTACTTCAGCTTGGCCATCCCGCTGATCGATGTGGGCTAACACCCATGCTGGCTGGCTCCTGTTTGCTATCTGGAGCTGCTATCTGGAGCCTGATGACCTTACTTCATCTCTTCTTGTCTCCATTTTTAACTCCATCCTGATCCTTGAGCCTAGATGACCTACTTACTTCTGGATGACCTACTGACCTACTTCTGGATGACCTGGATGACCTGGATGACCTACTTGCTCTTCTTGTCTCAATTTTTAACTCCTTCGCTTGGCCATCCCGCTGATCGATTTTCGCTCGCTCTCCTTGGCTCTCTCCTTGGCTGCTGCTCTCGCCTGAACCTCCCCCTCAACTGCTCGTCTTGCTATCTTGAGCCTGGATTCTTGAGCCTCGATGACTTACTTCAGCTTGGCCATCCCGCTGACCGATGTGGGCTAACACCCATGCTGGCTGGCTCCTGTTTATTTCCTTTTCATCTCTTGCTCTCTCCTTGGCTGCTGCTCTCGCCGCGGATCGATTTTCGGCTCACTCCATGCTGGTTCTCCTATTCCGCCCTCAACTGTTGGGCCTTGTTATTTCCGCCCGCTCTTACTTCATCTCTCTCTTGTCTCCATTTTTAACTCCATCCTGATCGCCTGATCATCGATTTTCGCTCACTCCCATGCTGATTCTCCTATTCCGCGCCCTCAACCGTTGGTCTTGTTTTCCGCTCGCTATCTTGAGTCTTCATCCTGATCGCTTGGCCATTTTGGCTGCTGGCTATCTTGAGAGCCTGGGTTACTTAGCTTACTTAGCTTCTTGAGCCTTACTTACTTACTTAGCTTCTTGAGCCTGGATGGACTTACTTCGGCTTGGCCATCCCGCTGATCGATGTGGGCTCCCATGCTGGCTCCTATTTATTTCCTTTTCATCTCTGCTCTCCTTGGCTGCTGCTCTCGCCTGAACCCTTCCTTCCCCCCTCAACTGCTCGCCTTGCTATCTGGAGCCTGGATGACCTAATTCATCTCTTCTTGTCTCCATTTTTAACTCCATCCTGATCCTTGGAGCCTGGATGACCTACTTCTGTATGACCTACTGCTCTTCTTGTCTCCATTTTTAACTGCTTTGCTCTACTTGGCTGCTTGCTGCTCTCGCCTGAACCCTTCCCCCTCAACTGCTCGTCTTGCTATCTTGAGCCTGGATGACTCACTTCAGCTTGGCCTTCCCGCCTTCCCGCTGATCGATACACCCATGCTGGCTGGCTCCTGTTTATTTCCTTTTCATCTCTTGCTCCCTCCTTGGCTGCTGCTCTCGCCTGACCTTTTCCCCCCCTCAACTGCTCTCGTCTTGATGTCTTTCGCCTCGATGCTGGCTCCTACCTATTTTTCTCTTTCCATCTCTGCTCTCCTGGCTACTGCTCTCGCCTGCCTCTTTCCCCATCAACCGTCTGCCTTGTCTGATGGTCCACCCCTACAACTCACTCCACCATGTGGGATTCGAACCACGGTCCTAATGTTTGATCACAACCTAACGCTTCCCCTGAGCTACCGCTACTGTTGAGGATAGGGTGGAAAAAAATGTTACCTAATTAACGACGTCACACTTGGCAGCCTATGACGAGGCTAATCGCCTACAGAACTGATGGCGCACAACCTGAACCCTAACCTGGTACACATACTATGTTAAGATTGTGCGCCATCTTGGTGCATATATTTCGGGAGCTCCCAAATTACATTGATTCGAAGCATGTGTATTCATACCTCAATTGAAAGCGTTCATCTGGGACTATCGTGTGCGCTGCTTCAACTGTTGAATGCGTGAATATCCCGTTTTAAAACTGTTGTTCATTTTAGTTTAGTTTTTAAGGAAAATGCTAAGATAATTCAAACTAGTGAATGTGCAAACCAAATTTCTGACTGTCAGTGAAGGAATACTAATTTAATCTTTCTGTCTCTTGTGCTAACTAGCCGTCGTATCTCTGGTTTACTTTTCTGAATTTATAAAACATCTCAGATCAAAATTGGCGATGCGTTATGCCCTTTTATAGATTGAAACGATATCAAATACACTAAAAAATGAAAAACACCGTAAATTTTGTCTAAAAAGCCCCACGACATGTGAAATATGCTACCCCAGGCACTAAAGATGAAATGTAGTCAATTACGCGTGCTATGTATCTTTCTATTCATTCTGATACTACGTCGAGGTCACGCGTCATATTTCCCGTGATTCAGATGAAATTTCAGCTAATCAATGTGAAAGCTATGGTCAATTAATCTTCCATTGTATTATAAGTGCATTCATTGCGGTTTGTATATTAAAATTTTGGACCTCCTGAAGTATGTGCACCAAGATGTCGCATAACTTGAACCCTAACCTGGTACACAACCTGAGTTCAGGTTGTGCGCCATCTTGGTGCGAATACTTCAGGAGGTCTGAAGTTTCTTTGCTCCCAAAGCACGTGCTTATTTTGCCTAATGGACAAGACAGCAAATCTCAATATATATATATATATATATGAAATTTATCTGTGAAATTTAGCAGCATTTATGGCTTTTATTTATCGTATATATTATAAAAGGTTTAGCTTTTGAATTGTGGGCTCCGTGAATAATAATCAACTTCTTCAACGGCTCCGTAACACCAAAAGTTTGAGATATCCTGCATTATAGGGCCCAGTGCTGAACAAAAATAGAATTAAAATCAATGGGTATAACTTTATTATCTCGAATAAATCGCACAATATATTAAAAAAAAAAAAATAGAGTAAGAATTCACCCACACTGGTGTACATATATATTCGATTGGAGTATAAAATATATTTATTCAGTAAGTACAGTACTATGAGTTATATTCCATGGAAACGATCTGTCGAAAAATTACCTTTCTAAGGATTTTGGAACCATGTGTATTCGCTCAAATCATGTTGTTAACACTTAAAGTCAGAAGACGTTACGTTGAATTTGAAGCAAGTGTAAGTTAATAACGCCTTGGGAATCTACTTACGACGAAAGATATTTCAATCTTATATATTTTCTTAGTATGGCAGCAAACACTTTGATGTGAGCGCAGAGCAGTAGGACAATTCACTATGAAAATAATTAAAAGTGTTTCAATTTAGCCTTTTCCACGAAGCTTTAAAGTCAGGCTAGTCCTGTTTACTTCTTATTGTTATTGTTATTTTTGTACCCATGGTAACAATTCAGTGATTTCTAATGTACAATTGAACACTTTAGTACAGTCTAATTATGAATATATTGCTGATTTCATTGGAATCTTCAGAATTTCATCAATTTCGTTTCCAAACAAATTCAGGACTCCCACACTGTGTTCCAGTATATTTATGTATCCAAGAATTGTAATAAGCAACTCTAGTATAAACTCCTGGTTCATCTTGTACTCCGCACTGTAGCCCAAAGCTGACAATTCCGTCGACATACCATCTATCCCCTCGCTTGCACATCAAAGGACCTCCACTGTCACCCTAGTAGATGAACGAAAAATAAATAAATACATAACTTGAGCTCCTGCCAAAAAATGGATAGCGTGAATGCCAAAGATGAAAAAAAAATTTCTACGCCATTTAAGAGCGTTTCGTCTACGCTACGGATCTTGCTTTGCGAAATAAACGTATTTTCAAGAAAAACATTACTATAGGAATGCGTAATGGTCGGATAAACGGTAGAGGTGATGTGCAGTTCTATTACAAAAATTGTAAAGTAACAACAATTTGTACTTTAAATACTCATTATCGCGAAATAGTGGCTGCACAATATTCTACAAGCTAACCCTTTTTTCTATCGTGGCCCATTTTTATTGCCCAAAAATTCTCAAGGCCCATCAATTTTTTATTGCGAAGAAAAAACTACAAGAAACATTATACTCTTTCTGCGAGAATGAACACTTTCCCTTTAGTAATTAGAATGGAAATTACCACTCAGTAGCATCAGAAAAAAGCATCATCAATCATTGATACTACAATCAAAATAGTCAAGGGTAGTGGTACAAAACAGTCAGCAATAATTATCAATAGTTCTGCGGCCCACCTCAAAATCTTTCCGTTACCAAGTAGTGGGCCATAGCCCACTAGGTGTGAACCAGTGATCTAGGCGAAATATTAAACCACTCTCTGTTCATGGATTAAGTTTGTATTGATCACCAGTTTGTATTTGTAGCAATAGAATTACCTTACAATGTTTTATGCCTCAATATTGCATCATTTTTGACGCCATATATAAGTAAAAAGTTCCATTTTATTCATTTGGGAGTTATTTAAAACTCTCGCTCTAGTTCGTATTTCATAAATATAATGAGTTTGTTACTTTACTACCGTTTTACTTGTAAACTAATTGCTTACCGGACATGTATCAACATTTTTCTGTCCTCCAACACAGTGCATTTTATTGATATCAAAATGACGAAACAAATCTCTACATAGCGAATGTCTTCTTGCATATAACTTAACTTGTTTCAAAACCCGAATAATAGTGGTAGTTGTTTTAATATCTGAAAAAGTGAATTTTAAAATAATATTTTCACATTTTCTAGAATTTATTTATTAGTTTGATAGAAAATTATATTGGTGGACATTTCAATAATAAAGCTTGTTATGATCAAAGTCAGGTCAAGTCAAGTTCATTTGTTTCGACCAGTAATTATGAAAAAAATAAAGCACACACAAAATATGAAGAAAAAAGATAATCTCATAATTGAATAACTACACTGGTATAGGAAGTTCATCATTCAATAATGATAAAAAGATGATAAAGATAAACATTTCATTTTATAAGTTGTTTATCCGTATTTTCCAATGCGCTTTATTTCAATTTTATGTTTGAGTATCAATGGATACCAATAATGAAAATTTGAGTACGATATTATCTAACTTTACTGAACTGGGCTCATGTAGACTTACCAATGTTTGTCTCGGCGCCCCACCCCGCCGATATGCAGCTTTCACCATTGACAAAGCTTGGATAAAAGTCGAAACTTTGATTAAAAACACACGCCGGCCGGATAAGTTTATTAAGAGGTATTCTGTTTGGGAGCTGTATTAACGCGATGTCGTTCATTTGGCTTGTAACGTCGTAGTCTTCGTGAGGAATGATACGTTGTGGCACAATATTTGCCTGGAATAAAGGGATAGTTAAAAATCTGAGGGAACACTTTCATGTGCCGTAGAATACTAGAAAAAGACTATGTTACTGTATTCGTTATGTTACATACCTAATTTTCTCATCTATAGTGAATGGTTCAATGAGTACAAATTTGGGCACTCCAGAAGTGTGTGTAACAATATGTAATAGGTAACTAATTTTGTTCGCCTACTTTACATCAAGTTGTTTTAAGGGTCTGAAACCTACGAGAAGGGGTACTTGGCTAACACAGACAGTCCCCGAACTCGTAATAGAACTAAAATAAAGAAAATCGGAATAAAATTATGGCCTAACCCTAACCTCATACACACACTACGGGAGTACCCAAATTTGTTTGAGGAGATGTTGTTAATGCGATAAATTTTCGCTCTTCGAGAAAGTGACGGGAGCGATTTACATTAGCAACGGTTTAGTGTTTTTGACAAAAATTGTCGCTTCAATATATAAACCATATAGTTTTGTAGTTATTCATTTCCGAGAGGAAAAATAAACCTATATTATTTTTGATTCAGGAAAAAAATCTCACCAGCATGCCCGTAGCCAGATCCAGCAAGTTATAGTCTTTGTGATGTTTCCCAATATGAAGTCTATACTTTCTAACATCCAATCTTAAAAAGATGAAAGAAAACGTCATTTTATGTAATTCATCGAACGAAAAAGTTTTCAGAGTAATTATTCACTTAAATTAGATTCCAATATTGCAAAACGATTCGAAGATATTTTCTCGAAAAGATGAAGGTTCTACGAAAATTCGCCGTAATAAATCTCGCCGCCGGAAATTTCGCCGCATGAAAAATCGCTGCACGACCATTTTTCTGTAAAACAAGTATTTGTGATAAAAACAGTTAGGTTTTTGAGGTACCGGTACCTTTTATTTGAAAAAGTTTCGTTTTTTAAGAGCATACCCCTTTTCATAACCCTATAAACCTAACTGTTTTATCACAAATACTTGTTTTACAGAAAAATGCTCTTGCGGCAATTTTTATACGGCGAATTTTCCTACGCGGCTAAATTTCCTGCGGCGAGATTTCCTACGGAAAATTTTCCGGACACGCAAAGAAAGTGTTCATTCAATATTTTAACAGTGAAATTATTTACTTACTCCACCCATCCTTTTCCAGGAGCCAGAAAGCAATGTGATGCAGTGAGAACCCATCTGTCACATATCAGGGTTCCCCCACATGTTAATGAGTATTTACCATTTGCAATTTTCTCAATCTGCACCATCCATGGCCACGATCCTTTTACTGCAGTTTCGCCACCTAATAATATTTTTCCTTTTAAATTTCATCGAATATTTTTATATAGTAAAGTGGATAATCCTACTTGGTAAAAATTCTATACCGGTACATTTAAAAAACAGATTATTAAATGGTTTCAATCAAAATGATGGTTTAAATTTAAAACATATTCCTCAGTTTACAGACGCCAACTCGCGAAACCTCTCATAAAATGAGCATCAAAACTTTTACAATAATAAAGCATAGGAAGGATTTCTATGTGGTTAGAGGTCGGGGAAACTTCCATACATTGTGCATTTTAGCAGAAGCCAATGTAATGGATGTTTCCCCGGCCTTTGATTCCGAAAAATGCTTCTCATAGTTTGGTGCTTATTTTAGGAATGGTTCCGCCTAGTTGGCACCTATAGACTGGTTTATATGTTTCAAACTATCATTTAGATTCAAAATATTCAACAACCTGTCATTTAAAAGTATCGGCAGAAAAATTTAGCATAGTCTATCACAGCTATTTCTAGACTAATTTTTCACTAGCCTACTGCAATTAAACTAAAACTCCTACGAAGACAAAATGTTCATTGCGTTATTTGATTCATACTTCTGTTTTTGTAACACTAGTAAAACTAACAAAGAGCACGTAAAAAAACAAAAACGAAGTAATGTTTACAATCGTGCCTGAAAATCTGTCTGAGTGACAAAAGTGTCTCAGGGGCTGGTAAAACGTCTATTGTTACTTCACTTTTTATATATTATATTTATTATTTATTTATCTATATATTTATTAGATTCTGTCTACACAATTTTTGACAATATATAAAATTACTTTTCGTATCAGATGAGTACAGAGAAGGGCAGTCAGGAAAAAAATATTTTAGCCACTATAGGAAAAATTTGACACTCACCAACAATCCTCAACATAGGCTGATAGTGCTGTTTTCCGCATGTAATATCGGTGTTATCTACAAAAAAAATTGTATCACAATTTCACTTATCACTCGCGTGGTTCCAGTAAATAAGATTTCCGTTATAAAAAGTGTGTATAATTTATTTATAGTTTTACAATATGAAAGCAGACTTTTCGGAACAATTGATAAGGTGTAATGCCTGTTATTATAACTACTGTACTCTGTTTCTCTTTCGAGTACTTTTCTCAAACAATGTAGGTCAATAATGTCAGGTCACGAGAAGTGACAATTTCGTATTTGTAATTAAATTTGCCTTGACCTCCAACTATCATAAAATTACATAACATAACTAATAAAATAGTTAGTAATAAAAAAGTTTTCAAACACCTGAAATAATGGAAAATACATCTTAGATGGACATGCATGCCAAAACGAAAATACCAGCAAACAAGAGAGCTATGCTCAAATATATGGACACGTAGAGTCACATAATTTTGATGACGTCATAGCGAAAAAAAAAGTAATAGCCTTCTGGAGAAAATTTTTATCTTTAACCACTGAAAATTTCAAAGCAATTGGTCCAGTATTCGAAGAGAAAAGCGACTTTTTAAAAACGTGTCAAAGAACAACAACAACAACATAATATTGAAACGATCGTTATGTCCACTACGTGTCCAATAAGATCATGAAATAATTATATCGACACTCACGAGTAATCTTGTTACCCGGACATGCTCTTTTTGTCACACATGCTCCTTGGTGAAATACTGGTCTGATACGAGGACATGCACATCCGGATTCACAAGCAGATGCTAGATTACGACAATTTACACCAGGCCTGCAAGTTTGCTCACATTTTGGTTTGCAGGAAAACCAAACTTTATCACCGGCACATTTTTGACTCACTACAACAAAAACCCCAAACAAAAATGTTTAACAAAAGGATTTTTAAAAATCAAATCAAGTCCTGTAAGTAAACAAAGTATGGTACTGTACTGTAAAAACGACTTACTAGTATATGATATGGCGATATCTAGATAATCATTCTAGAAACACGATTTAGAAACTCGGGTGAGCTGTTATCTAGTAGCGTTATATGTGAAACAATATATTTAATATGACGAGTGATTTGCTATCGCTATCATGCGCTTAAGCCTTTGATGTTGAACGTGCATGGATATTAAACTGAAATATGGAACAGTCAAACAAACAACACAAAAAGCAATATCACCCAAATTGACATGCATGAAATACGTAAATGAACATCAAACTATGCTGTAGTTTGCATGTTTTCTCCGAGCCCATGGGAAATACCATGGAACGCAGACTGAACGTTTTTAGCATTTACCCAGGGGGTAATTACAAAGACAATCTAAACTTTAGATATTCAGCAACGTCACAGAATTCGCTTACAAACTCTTTTGCGCAATGAAGTTTTGCCTTATCGCGCACCATGTTTTGCATTTGGTTTATAGTGTCAATTTTTATGAACATAATGATATGAAGTCAACGTACATTCTCTCTGGCAAGCTTGACTTGTAACACATCTCCCTGCATTCATGAATTGACCATTTGGACAGACGCAAACAAATCCATTGATGGGGTTCATGGACATTCTCGTTTGGCGAACACAATCTTCTATACTGGCTTGAATATTTTTACAAGTTCTAAGGCATTGGCCCTGAACTAGTCCAAGTGGTTTGCAAACGTCGAGAACTTCTTTTATTCTGGCTAGATATAAAGAATTTATCCATATTAGATTTCAACTTTAACTGTCTGAATTTTAACACAAAATAAATATTACCTGTCTTATTTTGGCTAAAAATATAACAGAAGGAATAAAATATCATTCACAATGCCCTAGAAATCTAACATTCGTGATGAGAATATATAGAACGGGAAATTTTGACTACATTTCTTTAGGAAACTATTTTTTGACAACGTTAGCTCTTGAAATGATATGCAATAGATAAGGTTGTTTACAAAAAATAGCTTTGGGCATTTCTAATGCAAAATCTCACAAACTTGCGATGTCGCCGAGACAAAGGTTACCGCACAGGTGAAAACAACAATATAATATTCACAAAATGCGCGTTTCAGTTGGGTAGAGGCGCGGTGGTGTGGCTCAACGGGCTACGCGTTAGGAATACGCTCGCCACCGCAACTCTAATTACTTTGCGTGGGTTCGCAGGTTCGAATCCCATGCAGGGATGGTTATGTGCGAAAGGATTGACTGCACATAAGGATTGACTCCTCGCCGTCGTTGGGTGGTTCACGTAACCGCTGGTCGGTTACGGCTTCCTCCACCACCAAGTCCATGCTTCCGAAAACAAACAATATAACTAATCCCATACCCGACTTGGAATGGTAACCGGACGAGAGGCCGTGGTTCGCCATATGAATAAGGCGTCTTATCGGCTTTCCTCTCCCCCGGGATAAATATGTAAATCCTATCTTATCCTTATCCTATCCTAGAGGCATCTGTACTTGGTAAAAATTAATTTCACTTGATAAATCTCAGTAAAATATAGTTGAGGAACGTAGATTTGTAACTATTTCTTCACCATTTATTTGTGCATTGCAATCGTTTTTAAATTTACTCATAGTACCAAATGTAATTTAAAAAAAAATATATATATATATATATCTTTCCTATTTGTACCACCCTAACAAACTCAGTCAGAACAGTTCTTACGTTATAATCCGACACGCATAGCACTCTTCAAAATACATGCATAAATTCTCAAAAATATGGCGAATCACTGGCGAAAGGTACTTACCAGCATCTAAGCATGTTCCCACTTTGACACACTTAAGTTTATGCCAAATAGGATAATCGGAAGGGCATTGACAACCGGGGATACACCTTCCGAACGCAGCGCTGGGTGTTTGTCGAGAGAAATTTACGATACAGTCCTCCTCGCTTTGCTGATAGTTGCTGCATGTTCTTGTACATTTTGGGCAATTACTCCATTTAAGTCTGCCTGGGCACACTGGTGGTTTAGTTGTTATTTCCACAGGAGGCAACAATGAGACAACAGGCAGTACTGTACAAATAAATAAAATATATCTATTATTTTTGTTTATAATTCCTACGCTATATTGCAATATCTTCTAATTGCATTTTTGTGCTCTGGTCTACAGTTCAGGACAGCAAGTTTATGGAAATCTATCCACATTTTGTCGGGACAGTAGGTGCCAGAAAATTGCATTGTACAACTTTGTTTGTACAATGAGCATATGCTCATTGGTTTGTTACACTTTTTGAATTTGTTCCAGATATAGATGATCGAGAGTATCCTAAAGAAGGTAATATACTTCAGGCAATGCTACTAACCTCTTTGTGGGGCTGTTACCGTTCTGCGAGTTGTGATAGGTTGTTTCGTGGTTTGCGGTCTTGATGGTGGCGAAGGTGGAGGTGGCGGCGTAGACTGGGCAGCGGAAGGTCTCGTTTGTGTCCGGGGAGTTGTGACCAATGGCCAGTTTGTTGGCCTTGCGGCTGTAGTCACTGGTGTTGTAGTTGGCCGACCAGTTCTATCTACTCGTCGCGTAGTTGATGGAACCGAAGGACGAGGTCTGTTTACTGGCCGACCAGTTCTATCTACTCGTCGCGTAGTTGATGGAACCGAAGGACGAGGTCTGTTTACTGGCCGACCAGATGTAGCCATTCGTGATGAAGGAGAAGGCATGGTTGTCGGCCGCAATGTAACTTTGTCCGAACGTGTCATGGGTGGTGTTGAAGGAGCTACTCTTCGAATTGGATCTTCCCCACCAATGATTGTATAAAGCAGCTGAAATCCTGAATATTGAACGCTGTCATCACTGTGCAATCTTATTCGAACAATACTCCCGTCCGTGTTAAACTTTTGCCATCCTGACTTTTTGCCGCATTCTTCAACAAGCACCGAACCCGGTATCGATCCTTCGATTATCAAATAGTCAACGCATCCTTCTTTGCAGATCCAATCTCGTTTAACCCAATCCCAATCACAGTCATCTCTGAAATAATTTATAATTTTTATCATGGTGATGCATATTTTAATGTTGTTATTACTTGATCGTAATTTGGGTTTTTGTCGTTTGGTTAATACAAATTTCATTTTCTAAACAATGAATTTTATCATGACATTGTCTTAGTGTATTCCACCACGTTTTTTAATAGAATTTTTTTAGTTATTTGTCGAGCAATGTCACTTGAAGTGCTAAAGTCTAAATTCAACATTACTATATCTTGTTGGATATAAGGAATTATATAATGAAAAGTTTGCATATGGCACTTTGAACGAACATTGATTGGTTATATATATATTCACGGAAATACATCATCACGACGCCGAAGTAGACGCCCAACACCGGGATAAAACAGAACTTTTAACAACCTCGTCAACATTAAATTAAAATATACTACTTACGTTGATTGCTGCCTATCTTCAAAATGAAAATCTAACATTTCAATCTCTATTGTTGAATTTCTAGGTCCCTTTATCACCCATGCGCAGTCTTGATTAGGCGGGTAAACGTTTGGGTAATTCTTCGAAGACACGATACCATATCTACTCTGCAGCAGCCTAATGTTCCCGTCGCAATCATTTATTGCTGAGTAAAAATTATACGAGTAGTATCATATTAGAAATGCTCCGTATAAAATATAGCGCACAAATATAGCGATACAAGATTGTTTGAACTAGTAATATCATAAGTCTTCTTCTGGTAGATGGGTACATGATATATGGGAAAGTAACAACTGCACCAAAAACATACTAAATTTTTGATCAATAATATTCCAGATCTGATATTTTTTTTAAAAACTGGCATAGGAGCATTTAATCCCTGCAATTTGTTCAACTACATTATGCCACGCATCAACGTTTCAACAAGAATCTTCTGATTAGTGATAGAGATCGCTTCCAAAATCTTATATATACATATGACTCAAGAATTCAAAGAGTATCAAAGAGTTTTGTCTGCATTAGGTACCGTTATAAATTTGACACCGTCGTCTCAAATTCTGGTCCCCATTTACAATTTGTCTACAAACCTTCTCTCTCTCGTACGCGATTGTCACCAAAAAATTAGTCTCTTTCGTGTAATAGGACGCAATAAATGTTTTCTAACTTATACGCCAAATCAGGCTCGACCAACGAATGGAAATTTAGGTGCAATGACGAAGCGAAACTTGAATACTCTGTGGAGTTTTAGAATTACGTACAAAACAAGTCGTCATAGCCGCAGAGTTGAGATTAATTTGAATGCGTTCTCGAAAGGGAATGTTACGGACTGGTGCTGAATTATAAAACACGATTTTCTTTTCGTATTCGTTTGACGTTTTGACAAGTTTCGAAGATCATTCACTGAAATTTTACGAAGAATGTTTTGAAATTGGCTTTCATAAGATTGTTCTTATCCGTCATGACATGGAATTTGAATTATATGCAAATATCATCATCACACCCATGTATAGTATGTAAAAATCCTATATCTTAAATCAACGTCTTTAGACGTAAATTTCTATATTCAGTTTCAGATTTCACATATAAAATCGGTTATATTCTTTCAATTAATTGTCAGTGGTAAAAATATATTGGTTTTTACCATATTATCATATAAAATTCGCAGTATCTAAGACCTAGAATCTAGATAAAGAGTGTCAGGAGATACCAGAAACAATGATTAAACTTATATCAACCGCTTCTAAGCTTGTTGTGCATTTAGCCCTCATAATTGGAAAAATGAGTTTTTTCTCAATCGTTAAATTCAAAACTGTCTCACTGTAGCAGTCATCACAATCTTCGTCTTTCCCATAACAAATCCCATTGTCCATCACGTCATCATTGCAACATGCTTGATATGTTTTTGTGCAATTCGTTTTGACTATACTGGAAATATATAATCGTCACATAAAGTTTGTGCAAATATAACAAAATTTATATTATCATTCAATCAACAGTTATTTAAAAATTTCTGGTCAGTGATAATAACATATAGCGACTGTTTCATCAATAGCTAAATACGAACCATTGAAACCTAGCAATAAATTTGGTCTGTTTATTTTGTTCATTTGCATCAAATTTTTCAATATCGATTCAGATTATTTGACTATTTGAGGATATACTTTAAGGATGTACTAGTAGGTAACATTTAAAGTAACAGTTATCTAATAAATTATTATTATTTAACAAAAAACATTGATCACTATCAACCCCCACAGATGACATTTAGGTAACTTCTGTACGGTAGTAAGAATCTCTGATGCTTTTACTGATTGAATTACAGTAAGAATTCTGCTATGATTCTTGAAAAGAAAATACTCTTCTTTTAAGGTACCTGTAACAATTAGTAAATCCTGTTGCAATGCACAGATTCGGATCGTGTACTTGTTTTTCGCAAACACTTTCGTAAGTGTATGTACAATATTCCGTGGATCGGCGTCTGAGAAAGCAAGGGGGACGTTAGTCCTGGGGGTTCGAGTGAGCTCCAAGCAAAGAGTGATTATATAACATTATCAATCAATGCCCTAAATCGCTATCATTCTAGTTCCTATATCGAAATTTTGAATTAAACCCATGAACTTAAAATGCATATAGACATTAAAAAAGCGAATTTTTAGCCTTCATCAACATTTGAATATACAATTTACACACTCGTTCTGCATCCACAGAATCAAATTTACAGCAGAACAGAAATCCTGCTTTATGAAGAGGGGCACTACATAAATTTTAAATCCTGTAGCTCACGTGCTCAAAGCATAAAATGTGCAAGAAATACTGTATATATATATACTAGATATATATGTTAGAACATATTAACGACGTTATTAAGATTCTATTTTAAGTAAATTTACAACATGTGAAATATCAGTAAAATTGTCATCACAAATTAATTCAGTACGCATTTTCCTAAAAAACATTTAATATACGCATACGGCTTCCACTTATATTAATACATACGAAAACTATCCATTTTCAATTAATTATTGCATGGGAATTCGTACTGACAAAGCTTTGATATTAAACAAACTCACTTTCTTTTTGATCTTTCTAAAAAGTTCGACGTTGAACCTCTTATGATGAAAAAAATTATTCCAATTATGACACCTGTTTTGTACATTATAGAATAATTTTTTTTTTTTTCACTTTGGTCTAGCTTGAAATCACTGTAACAAGATGAAGAAAACAGAATAAAGTTGATGAATAATGAGTTTGCAAAATTAAAATGGTCTTAATTAATATTATAAAAGGTATTCAAAAAGTGCCTACGATTTCGTAGAATTCTTACGTTAAAAAAATTATTTCAACCGTTTTTCTTTGGAATTTAGGTAGCCAAAAATAGCGAATCGCGCGAAAAATTGTTCTTAATTGATGATAAACGATAGGCACCGACGAAATCCCAAACGCACTCTCGCGGCTGTTGTAAAATGCCCTTTGGTGTACTACTGCATGGCCGTCAAGCACCGAGCGATCGGCGGGTTTATAGTTTCGCACGACTATGTGCTGGATTTGTTCGCATTGACTGACTGATGTACCACTGTTAAGTTATATGAGATGTCACTGGTTTGTACGTATGGAAGGCAAATTAGCAAGTTCTTCTTTTTCTAATTAAATGCCCATAACCCTTCAAGCATACTTCCCCATCCTTACAATGCTAATGCAGCCTTGCACGAGAGGAATGCAATGTTCACAGGTTCTTAAGTTTGCCCTTTATATCCCTCCGACTCAGTGTCTGAATCTCCGTAATATATATATATTAGAATTAAATACTCTTTGTTTTAGTTTACGGCTTACGCAATATGAAATACAGTGTGATGATATTGCATCCATATTTTGAGATCGCTGGAAAGCGCTGCAATCATTAAGTACTGAAAAAACAGGTTTTGTGTATTCAATATGTACAGGATTTTTTAATGCTTTTACCACTGAGCCAAATCGTTGAATAACTGAGTAACTGAGAAATGCGGAAACCGAATGTACGTACCTATTTCATATAAAGTGATTGCTAATTTCTAAAAATCTCCGTCCTTCGCTCAATGTGTTCATTCTCAATTACCTGTTCATCTCAAAACTGCTACATCTCAACAACAACAGTTTTGCATTTTTATCTATAGATATATCCTTTTCGTCAAACGAAAATTCGCAAAAACGTGATACTTCAGAAGGTCAGATGGCTCTAAATTGCATATAAAATCAAAACAGAAACGTACTACTTAATGATATCATCGCCTAGATCTTGTCTCAACCTCATGGTACTACGACGTGCTAGCCGCTTGTGGCTTGTGAAGTTCCGCTATCAGTTTTATACGCTAAAATAAAGAAAGAGACGGAGTGGCGTGTTACGTCATAATATTTAACCTATCATCTACCATTCATAATCTTTCTTGGCAAAGGAGTCATTTTCTTGAAAATGAAACGACAATTAGGCACTAGGAAATTAGGATATTGATTTGGCTTAGTTACGCTAATTTAATTTAATTGCTCCTTTTAACTCCTTTTAACGTGTTTTTGTAGAAAGTAAAGCAAAATCAAACTGACATTTAACAACGAACTAATCCCATAATTACCATTCATCGGTATTTCAGTCATAAACACTGAGCCTGGATTGAGTTTATCGATAATCCGACATAACTTATGCTCTATGCTTGCGTGAAAATTGCTATATTGACGGCAAAATTTCTGTAGTGCGCCAAATATAGGTGCATTTTACAGATTTTCAATTCTATACTTAAATCTCGTAATTACGTATGGAATTAATTAATATATCCAATAATCCATCCTATATTTCTAGTTAGCGACAATGTATTATTTGATTTTAACCAAATATAATATAATTTCTGCTCCTAGGATAACGATTTAACAGAATTAGTCAGATTGATAGCAAACTATTATCATTAGTGGTTCCGTGACTAAAATACACCCGGTGTTTATAGGAATAAGAGGTCTTTAACCACGTGCCCCCAGGGGCGCTGTGGTTTGGGAGACAGTTGCAAGATATATGCCCTCAATTTGCCTCACACATTCAAACTATTGGTTTTATGGCAAGGCATTCGTTTTATACGTATAAACATAAAATCTGATAAATAAAAACTGATCACGCCGGAGGGGTTTTGAGCCGACATGTGCTCCTCATTAATGTGTATACTTGTTCACCGATACGAATGATAACAAAGATGAATAATATGATTAGATATAAAAAAAAAATAACGATAAATGGCAGAATTTTTTGCTCGTTATTTTAAATTAGCAAATAATCTGATATATCGTTACGAAGCATCGTACGTTACTAAATAAGTAGGCGGGCTGCTGGACTTTGGAATTGATTTACCGTGCCGTATAATTAATGAACTAGCTTTTTAAAAGGGGTTCGTTCATCTGATAAGAATATTTAAAAAATGGTTCTTTGTTACCAAAAGCTAACCATTAATCAGCAAACATTTTTAAAATAAAAAATATATTATCAAGAACGATTGTGTATTTTTATTTTTTCCCAAAGCGCTCGTTTCGATATGAATTGAATGAGTCATTCTATGAAGCGGAATACCGAACACATGTATTTGTTTATGTGTATATATTATTCCATGCCTATATTATGTTCTAACATAATGTCATGGTATGTCAGTGTCGATAGCAGAAAAAACACTGCTTAATGTTTTCAAGTTTTATGTAATTCGTTTTTTTTTGCGTTTTAATGACAAATCATACAAAATAAGCCACAAAAAGATCATATAGAATGATATTAAACTACGAATTGAATTGTTTATAGCCTTTGAGCGTAGGCTACTATTTATAAAAAAAAAAAAATATTCAAAGCACTAGATACTACAAATACACAAAATAAAAAATCATAAATAATCATCACAGCAGCGCAGTTACGTGAAGGAGTGAACTTTTTCATTTGTCCTTGATTTGCTCGGATCGAATTAAAATAAAAAGTCGAAAATATGACTCATAAAATAGCTTCGTGCTTGGAAAATCGTTCCTAGCAACAAAATTTGGCCTTACTTCACATACTACAACACTAACTTTTGAACAAAATATCGATTAAATTTGAAAGATTTGGAACCAGTCTTATGGAATCCACCATCGCCGAAATAGAGCCGAGATTCGATCTTTTGTGCGAGGATATCCAAGCACATTGGTCTCATCAAAGATATTATCACTTCTTAATATTTCCTGTGTTGTTAAATTTTACTTTAGTTTTTATTTTAGTTCCTGAGAGTCGAGAGAAAAATCGGGCCGCGCCAAGTGGGTCATGATAAACACTGGGCTGGATGATTTTGTTTTTTAAAGAAATTTGGGTACTCCCGAAGTATGTGAACCAAGATGGCGGACACCGGAACGTAGTATGTGTACCAGGTTGGGGTTAGGCTACAATTCCAGGTACAAATACTACAGGAGTCCCTTGGCTAGTCCCCGAACACGTAATATAACTAAAATAAGGAAAATTGGAATAAAATTATGGCGTAACCCTAACCTAGTACACATACTACGTTCCGGTGTCCGCCATCTTGGTACGCATACTTCAGGAGTACCGAAATTCATGTTATCTTTTTCCAAAGAAATTTCCCCTTGTGACATTTTCACTCATTTAGATACTCTTCTGACAGTGTTGACTTGAAGTTCTCTATTGAGCTCTAACTCCCGGCATCTCTGCCAGAAAGATAAACTTATGTACAAGTGTGAGTGCGTCATACATTCTTATCGGTATTCTTAGCAGTTTAGTTTTTGGGAACTTGCTTTGACCAAACTTGGAAGGAAAAATTAATATCGGCCTGAAAAGTTAAGCCAAGGCTTGACAATACAGAGTTTGCAACCTATAACATTAAGTTTTGAGCTCATTATGAAATACGATCCTAGAGAACAACTCTGTTAGCAGTACCACCTAGCTATAAAAATGGGAGATATCACTGCTAAATCCACAACGCAAAGTTAAAAACATACATATTACCTACTCGCTGTACTGGTAATATTTGAACAGTGTCCTAACGGCACTAACATCTGGACCGAGGTGGTCCAAGATTGGCAGCTCCGCTAGCCACAAATTAACTTTTGCATTGTTCGCGGGCCACAATATTGCCAAAAACTTCGCTAGTTGCCTCAGCAAGCTATAACACTAGTCAATTCAGTGAAATTAGTGATGCAACGGTATGTCAAAAATTTTTTGGTTAATTTCATGATGAAACAACACGAAATGCGATTTTTTGATTCCGCTCCGAATGTGACGCGAGCCACATGTGGCCCGCGGGCCTAGACCACCCTGATCTAAATCCTATCCACATCATGCATTTGATAAGACAAAACTGAGAGAGATTGGCTATGTGTTCACTCTTAAAGAGCGCTGTCGAATACCACCCAGTCACTATAGATAAAACATATTACACATGAACAATAAATTAGAGAGCTTGTATTTTTGCAGTTGCCCAAGATTTTTATAACTAAAACAACATACATCAGTTAAAAGACATAGTTTCTGAAGATAAGTCAGAAGACTGTTCATAGAAACATGCTCCCACAAGAAGTCAGACTCATATCATAGACAATACACATTTCTCACAATATAATATACAGTATATAATTAAAAAATCGTAGAAATTGAAAAATTATAAAGTTGACTACATTTTTTTTCTTTATACAAGTGTATGAAACTGGTGTTATAAAGTATGTTCAACTCAAGTGACAGTATTAAGTGCAGTGAATCAAACAAAACTTTATCAGCACTTATTAATCTTGTTTTTTTTTAATCAAGTACCCAGTGTTAAAATAATTCAGTAAAATCAATAGGTAGCGCAGAGAAGTCCTTTGAAAATCCCATTTTGATCAATTTCACCCCGTAGAGAACCAATTCAACTCAATTATTTTGTTCAATAGATTGCTTAGTCTGAATTAGGTTTCTTTGTGAAATTTGACTTTTCATCTTTTGTAAATCACTTAATTTGAGAAATATTTGAATTTCATCATACTTTACTTTTAATACCATTTATTTTTTCGTCACTAGGTTCTGAAGCTGTTATAAGGTTTGGAGGCGAGATAGCAACACCCTGATTTGCAGCTTTTACAAACTCGAAAGCAGCTTGGCTATCTAAATGTTCTATGGTTACAGAAGGTGACGAATCGCGTTCTTCTGCTAAAATTGGAGTCGATAGTGATGTACATTCGTAACAAGGTTGCGGACCTATCGCAGATGAATTGTTTGTGTTGTATTGCTCGTGAGAGTGGTGTGATACTGACACTATTGGACCACCACTGTCAGAAAATTGAGGTGCACGACTTTGTTCAAGGCTATCAAACCCATTTGTTACTTGACCAGATGGTGCGGGAGCCGAATATTGAGGTTGCTTGGGGTACTGGGGTTGTCTTGGATAACTAGCACCCTTTGTGTCATACTCATCTTCAGTACTAACTACGCCACTGTCCTGAAAATACAAAAAAAATAAAAATAAAAAATGAACAGCTATATTTTGGTTAGAATATCGATAACATAGAATAGGATTCTGATATCTATCCTGGGAAGAGGAAAGCTGACAATATGACTTGATCAAATGGCAAACCTTGGGTCTGGTTACAAGTCCATGTCAGGTCTGGGAATTGTTAGCCAGTTATTTATTTCAGATGCATGGACTGGATGGTAGAACAAGCCGTAACCGATCAGCACTTATGTTAACCACCCTTTGACAGCTACAAGTTTAGCTCTTGAACATAATTATCCCACACAACATTCGAACATGTTTACCCAGATAGGGTAATCAGATATGCAATGGCAATCGCAGTCCCAACGCTTTGTTGAGTTTGCATTTAGGGAATCTAAAATTAAACTTGAATATCAAATTTGGGAATTCTGATAAAGAGTTTTTTTGTGTTAAACTGAATCAATATTGAAGCAAAGTCGTTATTTAATTAACTGATAAAATAAAATACACTCGAAATACCAAATAAGTAAATTAGACATTGTTTAGGTCACAACCACCTCATGCCAGTGCATAGCACAGAATATTAATAACATCAAAATACACACAATTCACTGTACAACCAGGTCACTAATAGTGATTTCAAGAAAAGTTAATTAGGTTGATTAGAAATAGCTACGATTCCATGCATTATTGTAAATCATAATTGGTGTATTATATCATATTGCATGAGTAATGGTTTTAGTTGAGAGCAGTATAACCTGCACTGCTTAGGAGCCCCTACACACAAGGTTAGGTAATTGTATTTTTATGCTAATTTTCTGACTTTTATGAAGTCATGTCTTCATGTTTCAAAAAAAAGTTCATCATGAGGAGGTAGAAATCAAGTCTAAAGATTGTAGAAAATGACAGTGTATATTGTGAACATGACAACATAGTTAAATGGAATTGAGTCAGAAGTAGTGGTGGCGATCCCAAGTGTTCATTAGGAAAATGGATCATTTTATGCATTATTAATATTTGATCACTTTTTATATGCTATATTTTCACCATTGGGTAAGGGTTAAAAATCTTGCAGTTATAGCCGTCAAAGCGATCAATGGTAAGTATGCCGGCCACCGTAATTAGGCCCAAAAGAGGTAATATGACCATAGTAACAATATGCTGCTATAGCAAATGCAAAACTCAGTGTTAAAGCTAAATAATAATATATACCAATAAAAAGGCATAATCATCCTTGATACATTGTCCCATGCAAACAGATATTCCAGGCTTTAAAGTTATTATCCTGATTAGGGATAAATTAATACGCAAAGGAAGTGTGATGTTATGGTAATAAGATACATGTAGAATTAATATTGAGGCCAAATATCACAATACCAGTAAATATAAATGATTTAAAATGACCATTTCCAAACATAAAATATAGCTTGTGAACCAGGCTTTATGCTTCTGATCCTTCTTTAGGATAGTTTTCTTGATTTTCATTATTTCATATTCATACCAGATATTTCATTTCTAAACCTAAAAACTTCAGTTTGCCTAATATTGTATTTGTACCTAAAAGTTTGAGTGATCTACGGCGCTTTGTGCAAAAGTTATGTTATCTCCACAATATGTTCCAAATGATCTGGTTTCTGTAATAAGTCCGTTGGCCTATATTACCATAATAAGTAAATCCACACCGACAGATAATTTAGAGAAGTTTTGCTGAACCAAAAAAATGGCCATTACAGAAGTCGTAGTTTAAATGGCTGCTTACTGGACTTGAGAGTTAAAAGTGAACAATGAACACAAAATTAAAAAAATAGATTTCCATTCACTTTAAAAGCAGTTCAAGGTATATTAATTTGTAACTGTAAGCAAGTTACGACTCAATCCGATTGCAAGACATGAAATACAGTTAGTCTACAACATGGATTCATAAACAGCTACTCAGAATTTACCTACCGGGTGAAATAAACTGTCATTTAGTAGATTTAATTGGTATTTTTGGATGAATGAATGTATGCATGTCGAGAAAAAATCAGATAGTCAAGAAACATTAACATTAGCTAGAAATATAGCTTCAGCATAATTAAACCTGGGCAGCAAATTCTGACAAGCTGTTAGACAAAGACAAAATCAGCAAGCATCATTTCTAACCATTTTGTTTGGCTGTGCAACATACGTTACTCCGTTAGAGACTCCCTGTGATGGTCCAGCTCCAGCGTCTTCTATAACCTCTTCCAGATCTGTGTTTTCGACAGCTAAACCTCGTCTGTCAATCATAGATGGGGGGACAGGCCCACAAAGGATGTACCTAAAATTTGAGAGACAACCTCCTTGATCGAATGGATTTCGAGCATTTTTGTTTCTTTTCTTCGACCACGTTCCTTTAATCTAGATCAAAAATTGAGTTGTTAGATAAGTAACAAAATGGAAGTATATCGTTATTTAGTTCAGAGTGATTACAATTTACAACACCCCAAAAACTACAATCCAAGGAATACAATTCATTTCTAAGGTGGAATAGAAAATTGATTAAACATTCATCACAATAAATTGATTCCATTTCATCATGATCTGAAATGTACTTTTAATAGGATTCGTTTAAACTGACATGGATAAAATGGCACATTGCATGCAAAATTAAATTATGTTTCCATCTCCCATGTGTATGGTATAAAAAGTAAACTTCTTGCATTTTACAGTATTTCAAATGATAGTACAATGTGCTAGAATCCATTTTGGTTATTTTCTAAGCGTGAATTTCAACATTTTTTCACTGACACCACACAAATTCAAACCCGGGAATCATCAATGTTGAAATTGCACACTGTATTGCAGCTTCACTATATCAATTATCTTCAACATCTTCGCGTTATCAAGGTGGCATGAGAGGTCGATGTATCGACAGATACTTTTGGTATAGGGGAAATTTGCGAGACTTGAGGCCAAGATGTTCACAGTATGAATAACAGTCACACGACAAAAACAATTCAGCAAAATGTTGTAAGTTTTTTATACATTGATATGCGGTCTGGTTGGTCATCGAAAAACACAGTGAGTCACAAAGATCAGTGGTTCACAATTCCTGATATACATCATCATATTATACATACATATGAAGCTTTATCAATTTCCAATTGCAAGAAAATGATAAGACTAAAAGACCATAGCGAAATACTTTCACACAATGTCTATAGTTACAAAGCAAATTTTTTTTTATTGAATATACTTACGTCCTCATTCGTTGTTATGCCAAGTGCGATAAGATATGAATGAAATCCGGATAAACCAATAACTGACCAAATACTGAAGAAACATATCAATATTTCTAGCACAGTATATATGAAAAGCAGTCAAGGAAATTATGACTTCAGATACTTTCAAATAACTCCAAAAAGAATATGGGCACAGTTTTAGAAATAATTTGAACCAACTACAGAGTGACCCTTCAGCCCCCCTCCCCCTAAAAAAAATAGACCCCAGGAAATTTCTGATTCCTTAAAAATGAATTTAAACTTGAACTACTGTTTGTGTATGATTGTACGCAAAAGTTTCAGTAATCTAGGACGCTTTTCACAAAAGTCATTTTTCTCTCCATAACATGTTTCAAATGATCTGGTTTCTGATTTATTTGGGTCAGTCTACATACATTCTTAATTTACCAAATTATCATGTAAAAAACAACAGTAAATGTCTTAAGATCCTAATTTGATTAAAAAGTTTATTGGGTCTTTTATAATGGAAAATATATATATAAGATATCTAATAATATAACAACCAACTACGCTAGCTTTCATATCAACAACACAACTCTCTCCAGCTATGAAAAAAATTCAATCATTCACAAAAAAGGATATCTTCCAGGACTGTTCTTCAGTGCTTCAAGAAAGTTGCCCTTTTCTTTAGATACTGTTGTAATGTTAAAAAGAAATATATTTATAAATAATGTTTTGTTAAAATTGAAATAATAACTTCAAAATAAAGTATCAAGGCACACAACCCCTTACGAATAAATTTGGAGAAAATTCCAATCATGAATAGGGATATCTAGAGGCATTCATCCATATTTATTCATAAAAAAGCAATTTATAATACGGAGAACACCGCAAGTACCACAATTTCATTCAATTAGTGGTATATCAATAACAGTGGGCCTACTAGTTTTTGGAAACGCTTCCAATTATGACAAAAACTTGGAAGTTTTAAAAGTATTAAGAAATAAAGGAAATTTGATAATGATAGTATTAGAGTATATGCTATCAGTCACTTTTGTAATAGTCTGAATCAAAAATCATATGTTACTATGTACATAATCTATTCAAGCATAGCTACAAATAATGTAGCGTCATAGGGCAAACAGAAAAAACGGACCTCTGTAAATACAAGTCATGCTTGACCTAACACTTGGAAAATAAGAAATAATGATACAGTTCGTTGATACTTACACAATACAATATGAAGAATAGAGAAAGCAAACACATAAAGACATAGCACGGATAATGAAGTAACGAAAAGATAAAAATATTTGTAATTCCTTCGACCGACGCAGTTACCAACCCACGGACAGTGATGATCAAAACAATCTAAAAAATAGATAAATAACAACAAATTTAGAAGGTGTTAGTGATGATTTAAACATGTATCAAAGTTAGTAATAGCCGCAGTGAGCCGCCAGTGACGCATACACATTTGTCGGACTTCCAAAAGTATGTGCACCAAGATGGCGCACAACCTGAACATAGTATGTGTACCAAGAGTATGGTTCAGGTTGTGCGCCATCTTGGTAAACATACTTCGAGAGCCCAATTGGCACCATGCTGGTATCCTTTAATACAGTGGTTCCCAACTTTTTTCTTTCTTAATAATACTCCCTCACTACGCATATAAACTGTTTTCATTAATTTTCAATCTTGGTTCCTTAGCGACTGCTACGTGCTACTTGCACTTTGGGTTTTAAACAATTTATGTGTCAAAAATATTAGTAAAACAAAGCAGAATATAATATTTCTGTAATTCCTCCACCAAAAAGAATAGAATCCCCCACTGCGGAGCAATTCTTCTCCAGTTGGAAATTGCTGCTATGTTATAATTAGCAATGCCCCAACATCTAAAGATGGCATAGTGCGAAAGGAACAACTACTTTTGGTCATTTACAATTTACAAACATACAAATTGCAGTCCTAATATAAAGGGAAATGATATTAAGTGTACAGGGTACAGTAAAGCAAAGATAATTACATCTGTTTAAAATTTAAACAGAAAGCTCCCAGTATAGTTTGGTAGGATTTTGACGATTTATGTATGACATCAATAAAAGATTATTCAAAAAGTTAAGTTTCTCCAATATCAGTCAGATTATGTATAGAAAAAAAAACAATTTGTAAAATTTATGTAACAACAGTTTAGTAACGCATATTAAAAATGATCTATTATGGCAACTTGATACATTTTGAAATATGGAAATCATGATGACTTTTTATCAAACCAACTGCCCAATTAATCATTTCCGACAAAATGGGCACAATGGATGTCTCCCCGACCCTTGACTTGGATGCTTATTTTGTGAGTGTTTTGAAGAGTTAACACTCACAAACTGATTTACATGCTCAAAACCTATATTTTCATTAAAATATACAACCATGTGCCACTTTTACGTACTAAAAGCTTCAGCCTAGTCTATAGCCTATTTTTTCCAGGGCTAATATTTGATTATTGTAACTAAACTAAAGCTCATTGTAAGACTTCATATACAACTAATTTTTGGAAATACAGCTGAAAACTGGCAAACAACACGCAAAACCGAGAAAACGAGGCAATGTTTACAACCATGCTTGAATATTTGTCTAAAACTAAACGAACGAGCGGCTCCAAAAATTATAATTGTTAATTGTTATGTCATTGTTGACATTTTGCTGATTGGTAATTGTTACGAAAATAAACAAGCTTGGGGAAACATCCATTACCGGTACATTTTGAATATTGATTGCAAATAAAAGATATATAACTAGAACAGATTCAGTCTCAAAATCTAAAATTTTCTTCACTAATGGTTACTCACCCACACAATTATCACATAAGCTACAATGTGATGCTCGTGGGGGACGGAATATTTTACATGTGAAACAATATTTCAATTTCATTGGAACACCATTTATTTCAATTTCTAATGTTCTCGGAGGTGGTCGATATCCTTGTTGACCGGCAGCTGCTGCTTCACTTGCTTGTTGGGCTAGAATATAAATTATATAATTTATGACTATTTTCTTCAAATTGAAATAAGAATTTGGGATTGGTCAATTTATACCAGGAAAGAAGAAATTGTTAACCTAGTCTAAATGTATATTAAATGTATAATTCAAGGATTTCAAGACAAAATGGTGCAAGTTGAATTTTTGAAAACAAAAGTTATTTTTAATCATTACAAGGAAATAGATGCTCTTTAATTATCTAGTGCTGGTATCTTCTGATCATAGCTTAAAGCATTTTTCACCGAATATTTCAATAAAAGGCTGCAGGAGTTTAAAAAATAAAAATATATATTTTCTCATATTCTCAAACCAGTCTTTTTGCAAGTTTGGCCCTTTTGGATTAGAGCCCGGATTAGTAAATGCCCTATATTAACCATAACCTAATTAGTCCAGTAACACACTGACAAAACTGAATACCCAAGAGAGCACATGGTCACTTCATGTTCACGCATAGATGGTGATGGTCAGTCATGATGACATCACTCATCATGCTCAGCCATTTGGGTTAGGGTTAGGGAAATAAGCTAATTAATTCAAGAAAAACCTGAAAAAGAGAAGAAAACCAACAATAAATTTTATTGCCTTGCATCTTTAATATTTTCTTTTAGCACATCAACGAGGATGGCACAGCTATCCAGGTATAAGACTGCCAAACATTGGCAGGCTCCAATTGAAGGACATCGGGGGGACGTCCTCGCATAAAAGGCAAGTTCAAAACTCAAAAAAAAGTTGCCAAACTGAGGGGTCGGCTTATACGCACATAACCCTGATGGCATTCAATCGAAATGATAAAACATAATAATTACCTTGCAGCTGCCTTTCAGTGTAGTTAGCTTCAGCAAATGATGCTCTAGGTAGAATACCTGGGTCACTCCAAGCAGTTCGTAATAAACAGGCGACAGAAAAAATGGTCAGTAAACCAGCGACAATAGGTATTATAAAACCAAAATCCAAATGTACCAAAGTCAAACGGCACCTTAAAAATACAGAACAGTATATATTATACAGCAGCATTAAAATTATTTATTACTGAAGGTTTACTATATTCATACAAAATTAAACTATTCAAATAATTATGGTAGTAGGAAATTGAAAATAAAAAATAATACTTCTAGTTAGCTTAGCACATATTAAAGAAAAAAAAACTGATTGGAACCCACAAAACAGCCATTGGTAGGTCTCCAAAATGACACCATTACTTGGTGAATTCATATCAAAGTATGAGTAGGGAAAATAATGAATAGTATTGAATTAATATGCAGTCATCAAAATAATGCTGAGCTTCTTTAAAGAAAATTAATTGCAAACTGCAAGCAGGAAGCGTAGAGAACATGTGTTAAAACTAAAGATCGAATTTATTTAATACCAGTCAGAAATTTACTAAATTATTATGTATTCATCAAAATTTATTTTCTAAAAAATGAACAACATACTCAAATATACTGATAATCTGACTGTTTGAAGTTTATTTGGAAAACGGATGAAATTATTAAAAAAAGCAATCTTTTCCAGCAGTAATTTTCAACATATAAATCTTGGTTTTTATGGTAAGAGCAATAAATTTAAAGATGTATATAAATATACAGGTACTCCCTGTTTGACATTCTTTAATTTTATGAAGCATGAATTCAATCTAAAAAAAACTTGGGGTTATGAAAACCTCTTCTTCTCCCTCCCTCATATTTATAATACAATTATAGGCAAAATTGAGACAGATTCAAGTTTTTATTATATAAATATGTCAAAAATGAGATTCCTTATTCTAATAGAACAAAATATACTTACTCGAATACAAAAAACAAAGCGATAGTTACAAATATGAGGCACAATGTAAAATAAAGGATTCCAGTCTGTCGTGCCATTAATATACGACCATCACAATAAAATTTATTTCGTCCTGGAAACACCTGAAAAAAAAAATGTGATTATCAGTGTGATAAAAATGTGAGATATCAATGTCCTATATTTCAGACAAAATCACCCCAACACATGAGTTGTTGAATTTAAAGAATTATATTCTCATTATTTTGAGAGTGATAACAGTTTTACAAAATATTACGGTGGTAGAAATACATTAATGTAAAATTCATCTTCACAGCTCAGAATTTTTATTTACAGTAAGTTCAAATTGCCTATTTTAAGGATCCAGGCAATCAAAATTATTGTCACTCCATCAAAACTTGTTAATATTAGAAAAAACTTGGTATGTTAAATTGAGTAATATAAAAAAGCACGATTTGCATGCTTAATTAATCAATTTAGAATATTAAAAATGAAAAAAAAAAAAAATAGGAATATGGCTATAACCTCATAGATTTCAACATTTATAAAACCACTCTATAAATAAATTTTCCGGAAGAATGCTGAAAATGTACTGTAGGGAATCGTTCACATACACCAAAATAACTTTAAAGATCAATAGGTTTGTTTTTCATCAAACTTGATGACGCAATAATTCGCTCAAATTTATCAAAATTCATAGCATTTACTGCATACATTTATGAACATGCATAAATTTCATTATTTTACTAGTAAAGAGGCTGGGATATTTGCAATTGATAGCTTGAGAGGAAGTATAATGATCTGTGCATTCAGCAAACAAAATTATGCATGACAAGCCAATCATTATGGGAATACTGTGTTTTATTGATTACAGGATATTGGATTCCAGATCACCGGAATGCATCATTATTTTAGATCCAAAATATAGTATAATGAGGGTATTCATTATAAAAGCATTTTAATATACAATAATATAGGGAATAAACTAAAGGAAAAACTTGAAATTCAAACAGGATCAAAATGATGTAAATCAATTGGACATTAAAATTAATCTTGACAATTGCCAAATATCATAAGTTATATATATGACTAATATCTTAAAAAAAAAATGAAAAAAAAAAAATTTTCACTATATTACTACAGGGTGTCCCTTTACAATTTCAATTTTGTTATGAATATTTCTCAATATATCGTAACCAGGTTTGTTGTTTTTTATTCAGTAATTCTTCAAGTATTTTTACTTCATTTAATACATCAGTGAGGGCCAAAACAACATATGGTATCGATAATTCCCTTGGCTATTTTAAAATTTTTGCAGACTTTATGGACACCCTATATTTGTATTGCAATACATCAACTACCGGTAACTAACAATGGTCTTTTGATGAGCAATCTGCTTATTTTATTCAAGGCCAATAGTATCAAATTTTTCCAAGGGAATTTGATGTTGATCTTCTTAATTAATACCCTAGCCCAAATCAAGGTTTAACTGCTGGCTTGCTTCATGGTGATCTATGTGTGACTTTCAGAAAAGACGGCTTGAAATGCCCAATCATAAAATGTATTTAACCACGTATCAATACCTATATTGGGTTCATCGTCAATTTTTCATGATTTAGAGATATATCAGTAGTACGATTGGTCTCGCATATTGGTGTGTCACAGAAACGAATTTGTCATATGAGCTTAAGTTTTTAAACATCAAAGAATGCGACAGGCTGTCTATTTCACAATAGCGATTAGTTTATGTGCAGCCAATATATACTTTACTTTTACTCTGGCACTAGCCAAAGGTTTTGTGGCGAATGGTAAAAAATGCTCAATTCTGCTAAATTTATACTAGCTTTGAGGGGCAGGCTAGAGTGAGAAAATTTTGGAAAATAGTAGTCCTAGAAACAGGGCTACTAACTAAGAGTCAAAATTTGGTATCTTGAGAGATTCTGTATCTGAGATATTGATTGGTTGAATTAGAAAAATAGCTGCTGATAGCCTTTTATGTATATTCAATGATACGAGGCGGGGCAAAAATCCTCCCACATTTTATTTTAATTTAAAATGTGGGAGTTTTTTTGCCTTATCTTATATTTGAATTTCCGTGCCCCAAATTCACCTTCTATGTTAAACCAAAGCAACCTATAACCTGTGTGAAATTTTGTACATGAGATAGTAATTCAGTGTCTTTCAACAAAGTATAACGAATGAGAATCTACGGTAATAAGCAAAGTCATGTATAAGTGAATTTCAACCTACTCTAAAGTGATGTCAAGAAAGGCATATAAAATTGAATATGGCTCTCTTTTTGTTGACTAGCCATGTTTTTATTAAACCAGAAATATTATTATGAGAAATATGAGAACGATCCTGCAAGAAAGTATAGAAGGAAATTCACAGCATTTATTAAAATTAGTAGCTGTGAAAAAAATACTAAACAATTTGTTTCTAGATTGGAATTTATGCAGATAAAAATCTGATTTTTCAAAGTACTAGGTATAGGCTATCCAAGCAAGCAACAAAGTATACATTATATGCTTTGGAATCGGATGAAAAGTTTAACAAAATTGATGAGAAATCAAAATTGGTCATATAAATAGAAAAATGAAACTAATTTACCCAAATTTACCACCAGAGTAGTTGGAAAACAATTGAAAGCAATGAATACCAAGTTAATATAAAAATGTGACAAAATATGAATTTGAGATAAAAGATAAAAATATCAGACAGATATCCCGGAAACTTACTGAATTAGATATAACACCAGTAACATCTTTACAATACAGATTATGAATGAGGATATTAAAATTTTAGCAATGGAAGAGCAGCAATAATACCTGCCACTTTTTAAGTTGTTGCTTGTAAGGACTAGTCTCTGGCCTGTCATCATTCAACCTCTGTTGAGAATTTGAGGATTGGCGATTAGCAGTATGTGATGACGTAGATAAATGACGATTGCCTAAAAGACACAAGTCATTTAAATAAAAATGAGTAATTGGGAAGAGAGAACAATTGATTTCTCTGCTGTTTAGTAATAATTTATGCAAAATTAAGAAGATCGTGATTTCCAATAATGATCAACCATTTTAAAACAGATGATCTTCAAAATGGAAACCTGTGTCCTACAACATTAAAGTTGAAATTGTTGGAGATTTCTCAATCTAGCTATGGGCAAATTATAGAAATGCCACCATACAACTAATCAATAAATCAAGACAATAAGATATCATACACTTACTCACACCTTATCAACAGCATATAAAATATCCAATAAAGTCTCAATAATTATACATTTATAGGCGCTCCAGAAGTGTGTGTACCAATATGGAGGTAACTAATTTTGTTCGCTTACTTTACATCAAGTTGTGTAAAGGGACTGAAACCTATAGGCAGGTGAATATTCACTTGGCTAAAACAGACAGTCCCCGAACTTGTAATGGAACTAAAATAAGGGAAATCTGATATGATAATGGCCTAACCCTAACCTAGTACACACTACAGGAGTACCAATTTATAAATAGCCTCCGATATAACCAAAGAATATTAGCCCAATATCTGGAGAGAAAAAAGAAACTTTAGAGCCTTTATTAAAAACATTTAGTTTATATCAAAATATGTCTAGTTCTAAACTTCTAATCCATTAATTTTAACTGTTCCCACTTTATCAAAAATTCCACGAACCTGTCATAGTTTCTTCTACAAGTAACGGTGAACTTGAATGCATCAAATTCTCTCACATGAGCAGAATCATAAATTTTTCTGATAGTTGTGTATTCCAAATAGTAATTCAGGGGCGTCACTGATTGGAAAGGTTCCTAAAGGCTACATAAAAATCAAGGAACATGATCCGTAAATCAAACAATACTACTAACTGAAAAACAAGATTTAAAGCTTAAGGTAAACTGCCCTACTTAAAAATTGTGACAAGTTAAAAAATGAAAAAAGGTTTATAAAAATTGATGAAAAAGTGGTACACTTCGTGTCCGGTTACTAGTCCATGTGGGGCTAGTTAGCCAGATATTTGTTTCAGATGCATGGACTTGGTGCTGGAGGAAGGGGTAACCAACAAGCGGTTACATGAACCACCCTACGACTACGTCCGGCAATCCTCTCGCATATATTTACCACTCACAGGATTCAAACCCATACGATTGTGAACTCAAAACTGGGTCGCCTGAAAATTTTCTCAGATCGCTGGTTTTTTTCAATAAAAACCTAAAAATTACACATTTTATAGTATATTTTCTATTTGGTATTGAAGTGTTGCCCTAATAGTGATTGCATGTGTGGGAAGTATCACTGCCTAAGAGCTCGGCAGCATTCATTTTGCATAAGTAAAATCACATGTAGACTTCAAAAACTCGCTGATGGCAAACAGCAGTTTTCTCACTTTAAAGTAATTTCTGGGGAAATAACTGTTATATAAAATTGATTGTTTATGTTATTCATAAAAGTACTGCACGTTTAATCTTTGAGCCTATCCTTGTGTCGCGAGATTTTTTTTTGGATCGCTTGAAAAAAGGTTGGGAACCACTGTCAGGAGTGGAAGTGGTGACTCCTCTACGGCCCATCGAATTGGGCCTCGGCCCATCAGGCTATGGGCCGCAGCCCATCAAATTGTGTTAAGGGACTATTCACTTGGCTAACACAGTCAGTCCCCGAACTCATAATAGAACTATAATGTGAAAAATTTGAACAAAATTTTGTCCTAACCCTAACCCGGTACACATACTACAGGAGTATTCTTTTCTGTTGCTTGGTATTTTGCTTAATTTAAATATAAAGGCTTATCGTAAGAAAAAAATTTGGTGGCATCTCGCGATTTTTTTCGGTTCGAATATTGACAATTTTGTGAAAATTGAAAATTTTAGTAAGATAATTGAATTTTTCCCGATGGGGCCGCGGCCCATGTGGCCAAATTAGATGGGCCGTGGCCCCGGCCCATGGGCCGTAGAAGAGTCACCACTCCTGTAGACTGTCATAAACTACATAACTATTACCGTAAAAGCAGGTAACTTCGGATGGTTTATAACTTCGGATGAAATTTTTAATCGTTCTTATCGACTAATTTGCGTCATATTGTGCTTATGACAGTTTCTATAGCGAGGAATTATATATATAAATCTGTTATCATATTCAATTGCGCAGTTTAATTTATTTTATGATTAAAAAAATCATGTTTTAGCATAAAATTGACACTCCGTTTTCGAGCGGCTCAAATCGTGATTTCTACTGATGCTAACTTCGTCAAAATAGCATCATTCGATAGAGGGCGTTATCAATGTATATAGAAAATTAGACTGATCGCGAGATGTCGTATGAGAACCGATAAAAAATTAAAATTTGAATAATTTTTTTTATCACAATAATAGCATCTGACGCAAACGTTGAACTTGACGTCACCCTAACGTCGCTCACTTCGAGGACGACGTCACGTTGCGTCGCCGTTACAGGTTTAACGCCAGACATTCGGGCGCCGACGAGTTGGCGTAGATTTGAAAATAACAACGATATTTTGTTCGATTGATCAATATCGGCAAAATATATGCATCAACCATTTTCTGTGGATCGTAAATTCATGGCGTCAAATGCTGGAAATGTAATTCAATTAAATTTATTAAAAATGGCAATTAATGAAAAGCATATCCATTCGATTTGACGATTTCAAATTTCTCCATTTGGTACGGCAACATGGTTCAAAATAGAAAAATTGTGAGCAGTCGAGAAATATTGCGTAAATATAAAAATATATAACCAGCGATAAATAACAACAATCATTGCTGCAAGTGAGTTCCGTTTTGTGAATTTAACGAAAGTAATTTTAATAAAGTTGCCAATTGCCAAATCGGTGTTTTGTCGTGATTTATGCACGGCCGACATTTAAATAGGTCAATTTAATAAAGAGTGCTGTCATGTGCATGCTCAATAATATATATTGTGCGACTATACATGGTGTGACTGTGGAGTGTAAAAAACGCTATCAAAACATCATCGGCTATAGCTAAATCGACTATGACCGGTGAATATTCGGATCTAATGTTACGATAAGAGAAAATAAAACGAGACATTTTAGTATAAAATCAACTTAAAAGTGCCGCGCCGGAAATCCCACGGTCGACATTATCATCGTCGCTCGCGACGTGGATTGAACATCTGGCATTTACGCAACGACGTAAAGCGTGTTTTGTCCTCACGCACGCACTTTTCGCTCTAGTTGCGGTGACGCAGGGAGGGGATACACCCATCCGAAGTTAGATATTTATTTGCGTCGTTACAGATCACAGAAAATAAGACAATTAAGACAGAAAAAATGATCCGATCATCGAGAAAATTATATGTAGATGCAGAGAATTACATCAATGTAATATATTTCAAGTTTGACGCGAATCGGACAACAAACGGCAGAGTTATTGATTAAAATATAGTGAAATCATCCGAAGTTAGCTGCTTTTACGGTACCGTAAGTTACTATATAAAACAGGTGTTTTAGTATTTCCCATTTACCAATGATTAACTATAAATTCTGCAATCAAGCATCTTTCTGCCTTCAGACTGTCAGACTTTTGTCCTAAAAATAAAATATTACTGAATGCTGGAATGAGACTGGTTGACATATTAACCGTGATAAGTGTAATCACAGAATCATTAGATTCTGTCCAATACTGCAATAAGGTAAGACTGAGTATGTTAACGTTAGCGCCAGCTGACGTACCGCCACGGGAAATAAGTATATAAAAAACACTATCAACTGCTACTTTTGTCATAGCGTACCTAGTTTTGCTGGAATTTCCTGGGAAAAACTAGCCAACGCTTTGAGCCAGAACGCAAGTCAGCTATTTCAGTACTGTACCGGTATTCCAAGAAGTCAGCCCTTAATGCTCCCTCTAGTGACGGGTGTGCAAATGTTTGCACAGGACATCAGAAGCTTCAGAGTCAAACCAGAGACAAGCACAACATATATTTACGGCACAACAACAATATTTTGCACATGAACCAAAATTCAAGAACTTCTCACATTTCGTATCAAAAATGTCAATTTTATCTTTGTTTTTGTTTTTCAATTTTTATGAAGTTGCAGCGTAGTCCCGCTCCAGTGCCTACGTGCTGGAAAATATTTGGCAATATGATTGATATTTCACACTGAAGACGCTGCTCGTTTCCTGCGATTTTGGCATGGCAAAGCATTCGGAATCATATAATCTAGCGGTTTGCGGAAGTCTCCAATTTCGAACACATAAAAAAGAATCAAGCAGTTCAAATGAACATATAGAGAGCATCTATAATCGAAATGATTGCAGTCGAATTGAAACAGAAATCAATAAGCAGTATCTTCCAATTAAGTACAACACTGTAAATCAAAATAATATAACACATATAACCAAATCAAAAGCGATGCAATAAAAATAGGCAGAATAGACAAGAAAGCGAGCCAAATTTAAAGTATGGTTATATATGTCATGTAATCATGAGCGTAATATCACTAGCCTTGATCTTGGCGTTGATAACCGCTTGAACCCTGAAAGCTGGTTGCGCCAAGTAACGTTGCCAGCAACGTAATGCTTAGGTTTTCCCATTCATAGGTATCCATCACCATATCTACATTGAGACATCACCTTGCTTTTTCAGACAAGTAGCAACGGCGTTGGTTTTTGGCAGTCTTATATATGTTACGTTACGAGTACGACTTAAGACGTATCTGTTACTGGAGCTGGCATATTTCGTTTTTTACACATCGTGCCGTACGTTTAGTTATAGTCTGGTGTTTTTCCAGAAACTTCAGTTATGTTTAATTCACTGACAAGACGACATCTATATATAAGGACAACACGGAATACACCGATGTATGCATAATCATGAATATATAATACAATAGGGTCACTTATACAGGCAGTTGTAGCCTACAAGGGAAGGCGATGGGTGGGTGTGGTAATAGGGACAAGGTGGAGTATATAAAACTGTTTGTACAAGGAAGTTTATAAGACAACATCTATAAATAAGGACAACACGAAATACATCTATATGCAATCTATATGCGGGTGGTGAAACCCATGGGTTGGGGTTAGTATGCGCTCAAATATCCGTAAAACAAAAAAAATTCCATAGGTGCAATAATATGCAGGTGCAATTGTCGTGGGTTCAAATGTACGCGGGTTCAAATGTAATGGAACCTGTATGCATAATCATGAATAAAAAATTGAGCGCGAATACAGCACTCTTGATTGATGATACCATATAATATTAATGGGAGAAATTCTTGCTAGTCTGAATAGCTCCCTGTGCATAATCATGAATATACAATACAATATGGTCGCTCAACTTCGCCCAGTGATCAGTTTTCTTTATTTATGGATGAGTGCGTGGGTTTCGGGTTTCCAACTGATAAATAAAGTAAACTTCTATCCAATTCCTGATATATATCAACGTTCGTCGTATCAGATGACGATTCGAGTATGAATGTACGTGCCGTCGAATGTTGTTCGTGGTGATTAGCTTCATTACGGGTTGCCAAGTGTGACATTTACAAAAATATGTCAATGAGTAAGATTTTGATTGGCACTAAATTGCGCTTTTTCTGAATTAAGTAGCAAAAACATATTCGGAATCGCGTCATTTACAACATGCAAATCTTTGTAAAACACCCTAACAACGATGCCCACGACAAGATCTACCAACCGCATTTCGAGATAAAATCATGGTTGCTGGATGTCGCATAACCTGGTACACAACCTGAGATAAGGTTGTGCGCCATCTTAGTGCGCACACTCCGGGAGGTCCGAACTTTCCATATCAATCTTCGTGGGATTGCGAATTTACTGCCAGTCCCTGCGATGCGTTTATTTTAACAAAAATAAAATGGTATCTGGTATTGCACCTGGGGAGTACCAAGACCTGCCCTTTGAAGTGTTGTTCAATTTCCAGATATTTTTCGTGATAACTCATGCCTGCAACTTGAATTATCTTTCTTTTCATCTTTATCTTAGTTTTGTATGTTAACCTTTCACTTGTTAGAAGAAACGAAACTATGACAAAAAGCAAGAACACTTTGTTGTGCGATGAGGTATAACATGTTTATTTAATGTTTATTAGTAAGATAACACAAAGAGATACGACACATACTAAAACAGGTTTGTAAACAAATATCAAAAAATCTCCATTCAAATATGAATGAGGATTGATACTGGATTCTGCGAGAAATAGGCTCTTCTTGAAGCTTTAATTTGATTTACAACCATCTTGGTCAAAACACACATTCTGGTGGTACTCGACCAAAATATTGGAAAGTATTCTTACACAATCATTTTGAGGTGACATGAAATATTAAATAATACATAATAAAAACAAATACAAACGAACAATATTTTGAGGTAGTACGAAAACCACATTTATACACATTCAGTTTTCATCATTACTGACACAATCAAGTATGATGGTCATTAAGTAGATTACAACAACTTAAGATCGGATATAGATGTGGCATTTTTCGATACATGTCTACCACATACTAAGTAAGTACACACTGTATTATTGTTTCCAATATAATCAAAACTTGAAAATAGAAGCTTTTGAAAAAATAATAACAGACAACCTGCTTCAACTGGGAATAAAATAGAAAAGGTTAAATTTTGACACAATAGACATCAGATGAATATAAGAGGTTGTTAAAAATATTCATCTAATTTAAATAATTTTCTCATGGGCAAATAAACCTACCGGAATCAAATGAATCTACCTATTATGCACTTTAAAGCATTATGCTGATACTTAAATTTTGAGGTAATTTATATACGAATTTCTATGTCACTTGGGTAGCGCAATATTATCACATGTAGAATGGTGGAAAACTTCTAAATAATTAGACTGAGAGATAGGCATATGAGTTCACCTTAGTAATAAATATTCACCTAACTGCATTTTTTCAACAGTGTTCCAATAATAAAGTCTCATTAAGGTATGTAAACTTGAGCATTGACTCATTCATTAGCAAAGCGAGCTCATTTGGAATATAGGGAATTAATTATTAATTCGAACATTTCCGAACGAACAAATAACTTCCCACTCAACCATGAAAGTTCTTTGAAATGGAAAAATGAGGCAACTATTAAAAATATGTGTCAAAATTGAGGGTAAGAAAATTTATATAAAAACATTAAATCCCTGGACAAAACAATTGAGGTAAGGTTATAATGGACAACAACAGAAAAATATGTCACATTCAGCAATAAAACAAAACAAATTCGAGTCTTCATCAATTGATTACACTGTAACATATTTGAAAATGTCAAACAGTAAACAAGGAAAAAACACACATGTTCGTCTTTCAGGTGGGTAAAAGAAAAAAAGAGGAAGTGTTAGAAAAATTAAACATAAGATATATAACAAAAACAAATACGGTACTTGGAATTAACGATGACAAACAAAAAATTGTAATCATTTTTAAATATTTGCCATGTCAGTCATATTGGCCCTCATTAGAAGTTAAATAATAGTTCAAGTCCAATTTCGGAAATGACACAATTCTCAATTGTAAATATTCATAGTATTTTTATGCCGTTCCATAAAAGCGTCTTACATCTGTATATACTGAAAAAATTGATGAAATTTTAAGTCTATGAATGCATGGAGGTAGGTTTTACAGATACTTTTATTTTCCCTCTTCGATTTGAAATGAATTTTCAGCGCCCGTGGTCGGCCACCTTGCAAATTGATGTTCTTCTGTTAAAACCAAATGTTCATGGGCACAATCTATACGCGGGTGCAAAAGTATGCAAGTGCAAATGTCCTGCCTTCATTTTCACCCATTTTCCATTCAGATATGGATGTACGTGCTACCAATGAACATAACATATTAATACGATGTTGTTCAAGTAATTAGCTTAGTCAGGTGGTTGCAAAGTGTTACATTGATAAAAATATGTTTTGATAAAAATCTAGTATAGCATGTTGGTATAGAGGTAGCACAATATCGTTTTTATATATTAGCTGGTGTCTGCTGCACTTGAAAATTAATAAAATTGCAGAGGTTATGGGTGCAAATACTGAGATATATTTAAATAAGCCCATTCTGATGTGGAAACTAATAACAGCTCTTTAAGAATAAAATTGATAATGAATGAAACTAAAAGCGTGTGTCTGTAATGTCTATCTGCTTGGTTTATCTACGGTCTAAATAAATCTAAATCTAAAGCTCAATAAAATTATTGTCTACAGCAAAATTATCAAAAAGTCTTAAGGATTAGGTGATCAAAAGATTTTAACATGACATGCAAACACAGACAAATCTATCCCAAAACAAATTTTGAAGCAGATTCATCATATGTTCGAGAAAAAACAAATACACCTATTTACAAATATACAAAATACAGCTGCACAAAAGTACAACCGGTCCCTGAGATACTATATGGTAGCAATGACCACACCGCAGGGGCACGATTAAATATAAAAAATAATAATAACCAAAGAAACCAGCAAAATACCTGTGTCAGTATGTGTGACTGTTGCCAGACTGCTTGATCTGAACATATTCAGCATGAAAGCTAGTAACCACCATAGATAATCATGTGTGATCCATCTCATAGGACAATTACAAAATTGATTGAATTAATTTTCAAAATTATTACTTAAAAACATTCTCATTTGAAAAATGAACTTATTTCTCTTCATTGGTGATATCAATAAGTTTGGGATCATTTAATTATTTTACTCAATTCTTTGACCAAATAATAGCTACGCCTATGAGTATAAGGTACTGAATGTAAAAATAAGTACAGAGTAATTTTAGTAATTTTCTAAAAAACACTAGATAAAGTGGACAGTTAATATTTTCAACTGAAAATATCAAATAATTTAGTAACGCACAATTTGTATCTTCACCCTTAAGCACCCAAAATTAGTCTCTTTGTATTATGTATCGAAATTTAAATTAAAATTAATAATTTTTTTTGATGCTGAATAAATTATCCATTTATGCATCTATGGTAGAGGAAAAGATTAAAAATACAGCTATTTATCAAACAAGAACTTGTGCATGGAACATTCTGAAACAATAAAGTAGACATTCAGATATTAATTAAAAAGGAACTCACGAAGTGGAACATTTAGAAACATGGAAAGGCAAAGCACCAAAATTTAGAAATCTACAGCGCTACAAAGTCAAGATTAAAATAGCACTAAGACAATAACAATTTTGACAGCTCAGAGGGTATGGCACCAAAGATATGCAGTGGGTACAAGAAGTACAATTCTAAGATTTGAAAATTGAATAGCGATTTGATCTAAAAGTTAGCAGTGGGTTGTTTATTAGTGAAAGTTCGCACCAGGCTGGATGATATAGGATTCAAGAATTATAATTATTATCCATGCTGCCAATGAATTGTACAATTCAGCACTTCAAAATTGCCAGGATTCTAACTCAAATGTGTAGAAGCAGCGTAAATTTTTTATCGAATAAATCAAGGATAAATAGCTAGGATAACATTGTTGGGTCAGTTTAGACATAACGGTACCTAAAAAGAGGAGCGAGCATGTGGTTCTAAAGCCTCAAAAGTAATGAAAGTAAATTGACACAAAGTAGTACAAAAAATCCAGAAATTTAACTCGATTCTGTTATACATACACACGCATCAAAATAGATAATTGATGGCATTGTCATGACTGGTAGAAACATACGAAAATTTAAAAATGTAACACAAGCACTGACAGATAACAAAGAGCACACAAAAAAACTGAAAAAACAGAAATTGTTCGTGCAGCGGCACATTGATTTAAAAGAAAAGGTATGAGGTAGGGGTTTTTAAGACAATAAAAAGTAAGAAAAAAAATTGCGAATTCCCAGGGGGGGGAGGGAGTACTACCAAACAAGAGAGAGCACAATATTTAATAAGTGTAGTTGCTGTGCTCAGGAGTCAGGACGCACATTGAAAGCAATGCTGTAAAATACAACTTGTGGATTGAAGGCTTTTTACTGATGGAAAGTTAATACTTTCGTAGTTATCTACGATATGATTGAGTAGGGAAGCATACTCTATTAAGTTGTCGTACCATCCTTTTCCTTTTACGAGTAGCAAAAAGTTCATGAGGTAGAAAAAGCAACAAGCTGTTTAAAATGAGGTAGATAGAAGAAAACAACATCTTTAGGTTGGAGATCCAATAAATCTTGAGAGTAATACCGGTTAAAATATTCTGTATTGATGAGGTAATCCTGAATATTTCATTTTGTACTGCTTTGAATCAAACACATAATAGGAATTCCACTATATATTTGCTTCAAACTATTTTAGCCGTAAGGAGATGGTTACTGCATCATTCAAAAATGTCTCACATTTAAGGTCCAGGTATGTTTTGTGTTTGTGATTTGCATGGAGTCGGTGCTGAATTAGAGATTGACAATGTTTGCAAATCACCGCCTGAAAGAAAAGAAAATGCTTCAAGAAAGGTAGAAGCTGGACAACATGAAATCAATGATTCAAAATATTGATACAGTATTTTCCAGCTGATGAGCAGAATTTTGGGACCCAATTATGTCAACCAGATTTTCTGGGGTTGTCTCATTTGCCGTCTCTGCTCATTTTTTTTCTAAATTTCTGGACCCTTTTTTTGGCCTTATTTTCTAGGGCTGGCCTTTTGGGTGGCTGGGCCCATTTTTTTTCCAGAGTTCTCTGAATTTCTGGACCAAATTCTTGGCTTATTTTTTATTCTGTGGTTTTCTGAATTTTTGGACCCAATTTTTTGGCCTCATTTTCTGGGGATGGCTTATTGGGCAACTCAACCTATTTTTTTCTGGGGTTATTATTAGCTTTGAACCAAAACATACATTGGTGCTTAACTGAAAGAAAAAGCATCAAATTTTCTACCTATGATTATAGTGCGGTGGGATGAAAATACCCTCATATAGTGTTGGTCGGATTATTAGCCGGGATATACAATAACGTAACTACGACTAATTTTGATGATGAACTTTGAGCAAAAATGAATGAAAATTCCAAGTTTTTTTTTTTTCTATTTGCTCATATCTCACAGGTTCCTAGTGTCTAATGTGAAGTAAAAGTAAGCAGCTCTTCATAGAATTTAATTTCCACCATTTTCCGTACAAACTAGCAGTGAAAAGCTGTTACTTGTTTTCAGTAAATTAGCCTTCGTCATTTTACTTTGTGTGGCAAATCTATTTTATCACTTACCATGCTCTGAACTTCCTGAGGTAGTTGATGTTGTTTTACTTTTATGATCTGGTATCGGGTGGGATAGAACAAGTGGTTGATTGCATGAATAATCCTGAAAAATCAGAAAAGGTATATGCTTATCACAAAAGATCTAAGCCACGGGTAGGCAACCTTTAGCATTGAAAGAACCATTTGGTGTCCTTTCCGTCAAACTCAAACCAACTTGGAGCCGCAACATCTTATCCAATGTCAGTGGCTATTAAAACTCCCGGGAAAGCACTAATGATGCAATGTTCTAGTTCTTACTTAGAGGAAGCTAAATGAATTATGAATGATGCAATGATTCAATTTACGACAAACTGTAAAGAAAAAGTTCGTTTTGACAGATTCTGATCACCTTAATGTGACCTATATTTACCCCTCTCAACTTACACCTGCTGTGATGTGTAATTATTGAGTAATAATTGACTTTATGCCCCAGACTTTATCCCCACTGCTTCTAACAAAAAACTGCTGTAGCCACTTTGATTCACGGGAGCCAGAGCTCCGAGATTAAAGACCTGAGGTTGCCCATCGCTGATCAAAGCCATACTGCAATTTTTATTTTATTTTATTCAAAAGTATGCTGATCCTTCACTCTCAGCCAGGATCAAATTTAACCTACCCTAGGAAGAAATTTTAAAAACCCCAGTTTATATTCTATATCAGTTTATATTCTATTCACATTGACATGTCTTTCACTGTGTACTTCTCAAAATACAATCAAATACTAACCTGAATCACATTATTTTGTGGAACGGCCATTGCTTTACCATTCTGAGACGAAGGAAGTAATGAACCAAAATTTAAGGTTTTAAATCCATTTTTTGATCTGTGAGCAGTTCTTCCATTTTGAACTGTTGAGCTATTAAACACACAGGGAATAAGAAGAATTAAACAAAATGGCACAAAAAGAATGTCTGTTTGTATAAGCAGGGTTTTTTAGTGTTCACTAGTTACTACAATTATACATCATCCCAAAGCAGGACTCGAAACTATGATATAACAGTTTTAAAATTTCTGGTATGTTCAACACAATCTAATATTGTAAACTTGGCGGGGATCCATAACCTTGTGTGTATAACATATAATCTTTTCAAATTATAGTGACCCCTCACATATCATAAATATCAGCGGTTGCTTGCATAGGGCCTTGTTCAAAGCGTAAGGTTTGAATAAGCATAGTTTAAAAAAAAAAATTGATATTAAAAATTCTCTACCTTGTTTCATACTTCAATTTGTCAATCTCATCTGGGTAAGAATTTCTCGTAGACGTGGTTGGTTTGTGGAAACCATTTTTCTAAAAATTGACAACAAAAATTATAAGTATAAATTGAAATTTTTTTGTGAATAAGAAAAAAGTGTAGGCTTGTAATAACTATAATAGCTTTATATATAACTGAGGTCGCGACCATAAGTCTTTACTGGGTACTATTTGCTATGACTACATTCATTTAAAGTAAATTGACTGTGATTTGATTAACTCCACGACTCCAAAATTACAAAAACCCATAAATTTCCTAATTACTTCTACAAAAATGAAGAAAATTTATTTAACGCTCAATCTTCTGTTTGTGTATGATTGTAAACAAAATGTTTCATCTTTATAGGACGCTTTTCACATAAGTTATGTTCTCTCTAAAATATTGTTCCAAATGTTTCTGTTTTTTGTCACATATCAATTTTGAAATAGACATTCAATTTGAATTTCAAAAAAATGTTAGATTGCAAGAACCAACAACATTTACAGATTTTTAGATAGTACCTTATTAGGATGCTGTTTGAATCCATTCTTCTTACATTTCCCATTTTTTTCATGACTGAATGAAATACTGTTACCGTTCGGCAATAATTTGCTTCTCTGTTCTTCAAGCAGTCCATTCTCATGTTTGTGAACACCACTAGATGAAATATATCAATTATAATCATCAAGCCATGGATATGATATGTGCTGGCAATAGGTCAATAAACATGAGGACAATTGGAAAACCATATTGATAATAACTTTTGTATGAATTGAAAATATTGGAATGTACATCAAAATCTATCAAGTTTTAATTAAAGTCTTGCAACCTCCACAACAATATCTGGATCAGCGCTGAACAGGGTGCAAAACAACATATTCAATGCAACTGGTTGACAATCAATCATACCCAACTGCTACTGTTGGTTATGTCGCTCGACCAGGGGTGTATATTAGATCGAATGAGAATGCGAAAATAAATTGTTGACGGAGAGCTAAATGCATCGACACAATTTTGAAGCATTTGGATTTTTTGTATTTACTTAGAATTCTCCCTTGTTTTAGAAATAGAAAAGGATTCTTATTATGAAATTTCTCCCATTTGCCGTCATGTATCTCTCATAACGACCACCAATGGGACACAATTTTTTTATTTGGAAAAAATAATAATAAGTAGACCATATTATGCACTATGTGCACTTGAGAATAATATATACCTATATCAAGGAATTAAGGAAGGAATAAGATAAGGAAGGAATTTCATGTCTATCCTGGGGAAGAGAAAAGCCAATAAGACAGGTTAATCATATGGCAAACCAAGGCTTTTCGTCCAGTCTCCAATCCAAGTCAGGTAAGGGGATAGTTATTAAGCAGTTACTTGTTCCAGATGCATGGGCATGATGGTGGAAGAAGCCATAACGACCAGACACCAGTGGTTGAGTGAACCACCCTACGAAGGCGAGGAGTCCAGCAATCCTCTTGCGCATAATTATCCACAGGATTCAAACCTGTGAACCCGCACATAATCAGTTGAATGACAGAAAGTGTATTCCGAAGCATGCTGACAACAACACTATACCAGACTATACTATTTCTTACTAATGGATTTAGGAGTAAAAACGTGTCTTGCACTTGACTTAAATACAATAAATAGTTTACTTTTTAACAATATGTCCATTTTGCTTTGTGATAACTTCATCTGCTTTGCTTGAACCATTTACATGCTGAAGTTTTGATGCTTGGTCTTTACAGCCATGTTTAGCACAAAAGCTACATCTGAAAAAATTGAAATTAACTCTAATAAAATGTCCTGCAACCTATAGCGCTAGTTATTTAGATGCCACCTCACAAGAAATGAAAACTACAGACGAATCCCTGTAATATTAAATTTAACATAATTATACCGCATTCATTTATTTGCATAGTGCTCGCTGCAGAATAATTAATGAATCGATTACATTTGCCTAATTTGCAGTGATATTACCAGTGAGTATACTGTGATTGTACGACTTAAGACTTGAATTTAAATATTCACGTAATATTTATTAATGCTGCAGAAAACATCTATAATGAGTCATTAGTATTTTGATTATCACTATACACTGCCTATACAGCAAATAACCATCTTATCAGAGGCGATCCAAATACTGTAAAATTTCATTCTTGAAAAAAAAAGATGCTGTATCCTTTTGGCCAGTAGATTTATAGGTACTATCGTAGTATGTGAACCAAGATGGCAGACACCAGAATGTAGTACGTGTACCAGGTGAGGGTTAGGCCATAATTTCAGGTAAAAATACTACGGGAGTTACTTGGCTAGTCCGCGAACTCGTAATAGAACTAAAATAAGGAAAAATGAAATAAAATTATGGCATAACCCTAACCTGGTACACATACTATGTTCCAGCGTCCGCCATCTTGGTTCACATACTACCAGAGTACCGATTCATATTCTAATTTTCAATAAAAATAGCTGCTCTCTGCTTCATGCAAAATCATATTTATCTTACTTGACTGGGAGGAAAAATTTCAGCAACAGGATGCATATCATGATACACAATAACCCAATTCCAATTCCTATTCCAATTGGTCTTATGAGTGATTCGTCATTGTCTGTATTTTCTAAACAGTAAAAAGTGATTAGAACTTTTTACTGAAAGTCAAATTTTTCTAATAATTATGAACATAGATTAAATTTGAAAACTTATACTTGTGTGCATAACCCAGTTTGCCATTGTCTTTCATTTATCCTAAAAGACTTTTGCTCTGAACAAGATTCTGTACAAACCACCACTGATATATGACGATATGTAAATGGCTACTATTTTCTGGAAGGACCGGTATCTTTCCGGTTTGACATCTCCTACCATGTTCATCACTGGGTGTGATGGGGGGGCAAAGGATTTAAACCCAAAATGTACCAACACAGTTAAGTCCAATGCTTACATGGACACCCACTGCGCAGCTAAGCTCATCTATGGGTAAATAGTTATGAACGTTATAGATAAAGACAACATCTTACCATATTCAGGATTATCCTGTTCAAATACGCAACCGGTTTTTGTGACATCATAATCTTGAACCAGGATGCTATGCACAGCAGAAGATTGACCTCTTCCAGCAATATTAGTCGCAAAAACTTTAATTTTGTAGGCGTAGCCAGGTTTAAGACATTCCAGTAGAATATTAGAGGCTGGAAAAAAGTAAAAAGTCTAAATAGTTACATGAAATTTCAGCTAAGACTAGTTTCTCAATATACGTGGTTACACTATTTTCGTATGTTTCTTTACCAGCGTAAAACCGATCTAGCAAATGTATTTTCGATTCCTAAATCGCAGCAGTAATAACAAAGAAGCTTTATCAAATCTTTTGCCATATCGACTGGGGGAATATTTCACTCTTTTCGGGCCCCTTTTAGGGGGTCGGCTTATATATGCGAGGATATATAGGTATAAAAAATATAAGAATCTTACATTTCGATGTCCTAATTGTCCAATCATTTGTGTGTAGTTCGGCATATAACAAAGTATATGAAATGATTTCTCCATTTGGTTGTGAAGGTCCGACCCAAGAGCAATCAACTTTACCAAGTCTGAGAGCATAGCAGGATAACTTGGTAGGAAAGTTGGGTGCTGTGGAATTGATATATATAAAAATAAGTTTTATAAACATTGGCATGCTTTTTGCTCTCTATATAAGCAGACAGTAATAACTAACGATATGTGAGGAGTTACTATTATTTGAAAAGACCGGAATCTTTCCGGTTCGCCATTACCTACTCAATTTATTACACCCTGGGGTAGGTGGGGGACGAGGGATTTAAACCCATGATGGGCAATCCGCGCTACCAACACAGGTGGTCTAATGTGCAGGGGCGTAGCCAAAAATTTTCAAAAGAGGCGGTTCTAAAATTTCTAATAGTCAAGTTAGACCATAACAGCTAGTAGGCTGGAAAACATGGGGTTTCAAACGTCCAGAGGGTTTAAAAAGCGTTTCAAGCTATCTAAAATTGCTATGTATGATAAAATATACAACAATTTAACTGCCAGGCCAACTTTAACTACCATAGTTAAAATTAGTGAAAATTTAAAATCAAATCACCAATAAGCCATCAACCATTCGACTTTAATCAAAAAATGAAAATTGATATTGGGATATCTTTTAAATGGTTTATTAAGGAATGCAAGTATTTTAACCATTCAAGCATATGACAATGCTCGAATTCTACCTTCTTCTATTGTCCTCAAAATTGTTCCAAGTTTTGCGTAAAAACTATCATTAGTTTTCATAGTGGCATTGTTCAAGACGGCTACTGCAAATTCATATCCAGAGTAAGGTTTCAAACCACATATTTCTATTGAAGTGTCATTGCTGGAAAAATAATAATAATCAGTTTCAAATAATCACTATATTGAAATTGTGAAAAGCAAAATAAAGTACAATGATTCAATTTTCAAAAATTCCTGTGCCACAGCTTATAAAACAGGCGCCGCAATTATGCACTCACTAAAACTTTTTTGACGAATAACGATTTTTCTGTTGTGTAAAGTATTCAATCCTAGCAAATTCAGCCCAATTCGATCGCACACGTTATTAGCGACTTTTTCAGTCTTCCAAAAATTTCGAAAGGGGGGGGGAGGGAGGAGGGGTTTCCAACCAGCGAAACTTTCCCCCTGTTTGCACCGCCTATGCCATAGAGCAGGGTGGTCCAAACCCAGGCCCGCCGCTTCATCATCTGTGGCCCGCGGCGCATTCGGAGAGTAATTAAAATATCGTATTTTAAATTGCTTTTCATAAAATAAATCAGAAAAACCGTTTGATATATTGTTGTTATATGACTACTGTGACTGAATTGACTAGTATGATGACTAGCTGAAGCAACTAGCGAAGTTAAAGATGTGATGGGCAGTCTAAATTGTTACCTGGATTTCTATCGTTTTGGTAACAATATAGGCATGATAGAAAACTAAACATTGGACGCGGATTCCATTAGCCTAGGTTGGCAATGCCTGATAACTATGTGTTTACACAATAGAAGTGCTTGTTTTGTATTGCACTGTTTACCTATGCTTGGTACTATTGTGGCCCGCGAACAATGCCAAAATAATTTTGTGGCCCGCGGAGACCACAACCTTGGACCACCCTGCCATAGAGGATACTTGAACAAAATATTATAAAAGTGATAAATATTGATTAAATAAATAATAAGACCAATACCATATTCTCGTCACTCTATTTATCAATAGAAGATGAAAGTAAAAAACTAACCTGTTTTTGTAAGAAAACTTTTGTTCGTGTGACATATGTTTTACCAATTGGTATCGTACAGAAAAAGCAACATCTTCATCTGTTTTATTGTAATTCCATGTTATATTGATACAGCCAGGTTTAGTAGCATTACCCACAAGATTGGTTGGTAGTTCCTTTTTAACAAATTCCTCTTGTTCTGTGTAGATATAATGTTCAAATTTATGTGACTTCACTGTGACGACAAGTTGAAAAATAGCTCGGTGGTCGGGAATATGCTTGCCATCCCAACTATGATTATCCAGCGCTAATTCGTAGGTTCGAATCTCAGCAACCTCCAAGTTACCATGGCAGTATGGTTAAATCAGAATGGGTTACAGCATCAGATAAGGCTGTTTTATTCATATATGGGAATATGGGATCGATTCAAATAAATCAAATCAAATAAAGCACTAACCTGGAGGCAATACAGCAAATGATGTTGTCTCACAAATCATATGAAGATCATCAATGAGGTTAATGTCGATTATAAATGCTTTTCTGGAATCTAAACAAAATAATTGTACGATAATTTTTACTCAAAGATGTAGTTTTTTGCTAAATTTCGGAGCACGGATATATGTTTTTCCTAAAAATACTCTTGTCTATTCTATTGCTATTCATTTGAAATATTTTATTGTAAAAAAACATGCCGCAAAACTTTTAATCACTCAATTCCAACTACTTCTATATAAAATTTTTAAAAAATCGTTACCCACCAACACCAAGAAATGTGATATTTGAAGCTGCCGATGTCAGCTGATGCTCTGACAAAATTTTGCTATCTAGTTTCAATGTGATGTTGACGGCAGTTGCAGTTGTATTAGCCATCAATTTCCAAAACACTTTCAAATTATTGCCGTTCGATAAAAATTCGGGGTACATATACAGCAATGACGATTTTTCTAAACAGAAAAGAAGATGATTTTCTGGGATTTGCAGTAGCCAACATGAGAAATTCATGAAAAATAGGCTAGAACCCTAGACCAGGGGTGTGCAAAGTGCGGCTCGCGGGCCAAATGCGGCCCGCAAAGGTAAATTGTACGGCCCGCGGAGGCAACTGGAGAGCAGTTTAAAAAAAATTAATATTAAAAGATACAAAAGCTAACAATTTAGGCATTTTAACTTATCATTTCTGCAAGGACCCCTAATGATGACATGAGATCAATAACAAAAAGACATCATTTTGTGCCTGCAACTAATATGAAGGATGAATTTGAAAGCTGTGTTAAATGTACGTCCGGCCCGCAGTTTTACCCGGTTATTGATATTTGGCCCGCCTGCGAAAAAGGTTGCACACCCCTGGCCTAGACGGTTCTCGTCAAAGAAATCCATTGTTCAATAACAGAATGAATTGCTGTGAAGGCGGCATTTAGTTAGTAGAGAAACCTAATGAGACTATGTCAAGGATGCCAGCTTCACAGAAGCATATCATACACACAAACACATTATATCGCAGTGAAACCAAAGAAGGTTGTGTGACATTTTTCAGAATGAACTTTTTTTTTATCTTCGGTTATAATGAAAAACGGTTTTTAGGTCTGGGTATCAACATTTAGTTTCGATTTCAGATAGTGTGTCATGTCCATTTGCAGATTTGGCTGTCAGAACCAAATTATTTCAAAAATGCGATTTCTCTAAACTCAAAATGTGACATACCGGTAAGCAAATTAGGTCCTATTTCGGCAAATTATACTAATGGAAATGCTCCATCATGGAATATAGTTCAATCAATTCCTTTTACGTAAAGCAAGTTAAGCTCCAAGTATAACCTATGAATAAAACTGAAAAAAACCTGAATTTGAGCATTTAGAAATGATTTTCTCCGGTAAAGTAGCTTCAACAAATGAGGATTCTTCTCCATAACCAATCCTTGTCGATGGCGTCACTGACATTCCATAATTTTCTCCAGGAATCAAATTGGGAATGAGAGCGTATTCTGTCACTGGTGCATCATCACTGGGAAGCTGTCTAGCTGGTACTTCAATGACATGTTCTTCTTCGTCTCCGTAACCAGTGTAAATCACCTGAATATATGAAGATTTCACTGTGTGATTCTACATCCAAAATATAACAATTAAGGGTGCTCCTGAAGTATGCGTACCAAGATGTCGCATGACCTGAACCCTGGTACACAACCTGAGTTCAGGTTTTGCGACATCTTGGTGTAAATTTAGATATTGGATTCTATCTTAGTTTTAGCGTCACAAATTAGTGTCATATAAAAAAGAACCACTGGTACAGTGGTTCTCAACATTTTTTATTTCGTTGCACAAAACATTCTGTGGCCCATTAACTTTTTCATGCAAGGGAAAAACTACAGGAAAAAACAAAAAATTCTTTTCGTGAGGATAGACACCTCCACTTTAATAACTAAAATGAGAGTAGTGGCAAAAACAGCATCATTATTCATTGCTACCACAATTAAAGTTTAACTAATTTATCAATTTTTGAAAGGTATGTGGCCCACCTGAGAATGTTTCTGTGACCCAGAAGTGAGCCACGGCCCACTGGTTGAGAACCGATGCACCAGTATATTTGAATATATAAATAAAACCTTACGACTCCCATGCTTTAACACTATTAATTAAATCAATTCCTAAAATGAAAATTAGTATAATCATAAAATGAGATTCAAATCTACCTTGTATTTGGTAATTATTCCACACTGTCCTAGTCTTGGTATGGATGGCCATGTTAGTAGCACAGTAGTACTGTTTACTACTTGTGGATGAATTTTTTCCACTGTAGCTGATGGTACTAATAAAAAAAAAGGATTGAATTAATTTGAATAGCAATATCACTTGGATGGGTTGCAAAATTAGAAAATTGAGAATATATTTACGTTCAAACCAAACAAATCAACATTCGAACACAGCAGAATTACTATTTACGTACACACCCTGATATACTTTTCAAAGGTTATGCTTACGTTCAATTGAAATTACAAAATCTTATACAATAAACTTGTATGTATATTTTAAATAATCATATTTTTGTTTAACAACAAATTCACTTTAGACATTAAAACAGAACTCATAAGTCTTAATTATTTCTACGAAAATGGATAAAATTTATTTACCACTTCCGTTTGTGTACAATTGTGCCCTAAAATTTGAGTAATCTGGGACACCTGACACGAAAGTTATGTTCTCTCTAGAACAGAGTTTCCCAAGATACAGTTGTTTTAGAGAAAATTCAACTTTTTATTTACCTATAGCATTATTATTAATATTTTCATCTTACTTAATAATATTGTTGTGTTGTATATATTTTATGCACACATTATAACCTATTCAAACTGTAAAAAAGTCAGTGTGTGGGTTACATTATCTTTCGCTAATGATCCAATAAATAATGCAAAACAAACGGAAACAGACTTTTTATACATACAGAGGGGGAATGAAAAGCTTAAAAATAGGCAAAAAGCGGAATGTTGAAAAAAATGTTGGGAACGAACCACTGATCTAGAATATGTTACCAATGACCTGCGTTGTTCTGTTTTTCAGTCACCATGTGTCTTTATTTTTCAAATAAAACATTTTTATTTTATGCACTAAATATTTAGATTTTCATACTAAATCATCTATTAAAAAGTTAGTTTGACTTCCATTTGATCATTTTCTACGAAAATTCACTTGGGGTGTGATGATGTTTAAACATTAGATTTCTTCAATTAAAAAAATATTCAAAATTATTTTACCACTTTCCATTGTTCGAACTTTGACTGCATGACTGGGATGTGAAGTATCGCGACGTGTATAAGCAAGCACAATTATAACATATGTTCTGTATGGATGTAAACCTGCCACAGTTGTTCGATATCGAGTGCTGTGTGTTTCTTTCACCAATTTGGATTTGGAGTTATCTAAAAAGAAGTTCAAATATCTAAGCCAAAATGATGGTTTGGTATGACAGCATGTCGGTAAGATTAATAAAGATAGATGTGTTGAATTACCGCCTTGGATAGTATATGAATACGATTTTGCAAACCAAGACCCAAAGATAATGATCCATTAATTAAATAATGTGTAGGAAAAGATTATTTAGACATACGGAAGAGGGAGTGAAGATTTTTGAAATAGGCAAAGGAGGAATGGAGCAAAAAAGTTCACTAAATCACTTTAGATTGTTTGGTTCAATGTCAGTGCGTGTGTGGTGCAGATGGAATAGTTTACCAGAGGAAGAAACACTAAAACAATTAAAGAAATCTATAAGTCATACCATTTTCAAATTCAATGGAGTAAGCTGTGATATTCTTATTTGTATTTGGTCGATTCCATTCAACAAATATTTCTGTTGGTGAAATTGCTGTTGCAGTAACGTTTTCTGGAGGTGGGATGTCTTCCTCTGTAAATGAAAAATAATTAATGAATACATATCATAAGTTAGAAGTTAACAAAGAGTTGGCTCGGGAGTTGGGAGGATTGAAAAAGAGCTAGGAATATGCTGAATCTAAAACAAATAACTCGCTAAGCGGACATGGAATGATAACCAGACAAGAGGCCATGGTTTGCCATAATATGATCAAGCGGACGTAGTACTTTCCTCTCCTATAGAATAAATATGAAAATTCTATCCTAAGCCAAGATTATTGAAACTGGACTATATGTTCTAATAATGTGCCCTCATCTGCAATCACGTAAAAATCCATAAAGTTTATGAAAATACAGGTGATCTCCTCAAATCACCAGATGTACTTCTGCTTCACAAACATGTCATTTTCGAATATTTATGAAGTTTGTGAAGAGCTTCAATTCACTTATTTTATTATAAAGCGTGACCCTAAAAACAGAACTAGGGTTCCCTGCCGATTTTTTATCCAATCATGCCAGTCGCAGCGCAGGTGTGCTTTTGAAAATTTTCATCAAAATTGTCACGGATTTTCAGGTATTTGATCCATTTAAATTCGCGCATAATTGAAACTTAGGCCATTCAGTGGAACCCTAAAATCGCAGTCTGGATAAAATTACGCCACACATCTCGAGGGATACGTAATAGAGTGTGTTGTGCTGAACTTGAAACTAATGACGGCAGATCAGTAAAAAAGTCAATCACGAAAAATTCATTTTTATTTCCGTCCCATAATTTGTTGTTATTTGGAGTGCCGCATAAACGCATTCAGCAGATTTAATGTTGCCGAAAACAACGATTAACAAATGTTCAATTTTTTTTGTTTTGGTGAATCGATCTCTTTTTCCGATGCGCGTAAATCTGATTCGAATTGATTCGGAAAAGTTGCGATTCGAATCGATCCAATTCATAAATCCAAAAGTGGCATCCCTAAACAGAACGCATAAATTTCCAAAGAACTCCTACAAAAATGAGAATAAATTCATTTTAACAATTGAAACTTCTGTCTGTGTAAGATTGTAGCCAAAAGGATTCAGTAATCTAGGACAATTCCACCAAAGTTATGTTCTCTCAAGAAAATGTTCCATATCACCTGGTTTCTGTATTTTGGATCAATCGGCAATACAAAATCATATGTAAGTAAGGTAAACATAAAATGTTTGAAAACTTACTTATGAGAATATCAATTTTAACGCCAGTTGAAACAGCGCCGACCTGGTTTTCACCAATGCATTGGTAATACCCTGTAGCTTCTTGTCGTATATTTACTAAATGAAGATAGGAAGATCCAAACAACTTTCCAACTTTTAGGTTGTTCTTGTAAACTTGACTTTCTTCAAGAACAACTGAAAACAAAAAGTGACAATTAGTTCTACAACATCAACCAGATTCTTAGCTCTTCGACTGTTTCAAATTAAGTAATATAGCATGTAGGATGAGGACAATTTATCAGAAACATTATTTATAAAATAAATAGATCAGTTTTATCGCTACAAAGTGCGCAATTTTTAATGCACAAAAAATGAATTCTATAGTATTTACAAAAACCTTCAATTTTAACAAAGCGGCTTCGCGACGAATAGAAACCGAAAAAGCGAACAGAGATTGAAAGTGATTGATTACTCGGTGCCAATAGTATGTTGCGCTTATCAAACAGCAATATGACGACAGAAGAGAAATTGCGTAATGAACCAATGCAACTTAATCTTTCCGGCATCGGTGAAGCGATAGAGACGGCAAAGAAACAACAAAACGACGGGATTTCCTGAGGACCGGTAAAAATCCATAGCGGACCGGTGTCGGCCCGCAGACCTGCGGTTGGGAACCACTGCATGTAAGAACATGTGTGAACACTGTTTATTCCATGTCTGATTTCGGATCTAGGCGAGGCGCGTGCATTGTGCCTGAGACGTTCTAACGAATGTGAAGATTAATTTTGACAAAGTATCTATTTGTAATCGTATTATAAGCAATAGCGTAGCCTGGAATGTCGAATTTCGAATATAGCAACCTTTAAACATCGTTTTCAGTGTTTATAAGAATATGGAATGGCGGGTGCACATCCCAGCGCCACCCGTCCACGTTTTGATTAAAAGTATTCTTCAATTATTTTATGTTATATTGAAATTGTAGACATTCGCACCACATTAAATTACAGCCGGCACAAGGGATTTAAATCAGCGCCGACTTATAACACTTATAACAACGTCAAAGATGATTTAAGTGAAAATATTTTACAATTATTATCGTATATTTCAACTTAGTTGAGATAGTCTGGGCGGCCACGACATTAAATCTAAAAGTATATTGTGTCGTAATTAACTGTTTCCATCCTCAGCTTTGATAGTGACCGAGCAGCATAACTATATTTTTTTCATTTCCTGCAATCTTATATACAGCGCATAAAATAGCTTTTAAATATTATTTAGTATCCATCGCGAATTTTATTGTTGGGTTTAAGTTTAAAAAAAACGCAACAGACGACAGCCGATAAATAAAACACAATTTTCAATCTTAAGTTGGGCAAAGAATTATGGAACGTTCTTCGTCAACGCCGCAACCAAGTATGAAATACATGCGAATTTATATGAAGTTTGAAGAAATACAATGTTCATTTTATTTGGGTTTTGCAAATAATATATGTTTATTCCAACGCAAATGTTGCCTTTTCGCTTGGCAATTTGTCGGTTTCATTTTGTTGTTTCTGATTGGTATGGCTATTTGTCCGTTTCATTTCGTTCGCCCAGTACCAGGTTAATCAAGTAATTTAAATTTACCGCGATGCTTGTAACACCTGTCTGTCGATTCCATACTTAATGACTAGAGAAATCGGCAAGTGCCAAAGTAAGTTAAACTATCACAATTTCGGGAATTACGTACACAATTTTATTGTAATTACGGATTTAATTTTGGTTGATTACGTGCAAGCCTACTACACATTCAATCACCAGCAGGATTGTTTCACAATGGACAACAAAAAAAAATAAATAAGCAACAAACCTCCATCTTTCATCCAATAAACGTTAGGTGGAGGATTTCCCTCAATACGACAAGCAAGTCGAACTTTAGATGATCTCAACTGCTGTGGTCGGGTAACAACTGGTTTGTTTATGACAACTGGTTTTTCTGTAAATTAGAAAGAAGAGAATTCATGAAATTTCACAATTCATATTAGAAAATGACTAAAAAGTGTTGACTCGAGTGTGTTAGCGTCACACATTACACATCTCGGGTTCGAATCCCATACCACCCACCTCACCCAGCGTGAATTAAATTGAGTAGGGAATGCCTCACCAAAAAGAAACTAGTAGCTGCTTACATATTTGTATATGTCAGTGGTTGCATGTGTTGGACGTCGTTCATAATAGGCGTCATGTTCTATAAAAAAAGATGTTTACCTAGAATTTTGAGAAAAGCAGAACTTTCTATTTTTGTCGGTACACCAGGAGACTGAGACAATAGTTTTCGAACAATGCAGACATATTCTCCACTGCTTTCAGATGAAATCCCATCTAATATCAAGTTGTTTCTTGCTTCTCTTATCGGACAATTTGTTAGATCTGGACAAATCTTTCCAACTGTGAAGGGAAAAAGATAACAGAATTTGAGTCTCGTTTTATTTGCTGAGTTCAATTTCAATAAAATAGTACAAAAATATGAAAACTTGTAACACAGTAGAAGAAAATTTATTCATAAATAAAATGACGTTATAACTCGCTACGCGGGCGTGGAGTGGTAACCGGACGAGAGGCTGTGGTTTACCAGATGAATCATTAAGCCGTATTAATCTTTTTCCTCTCGCCAGGAACAAAATATAAAATTCCTATCCTAAGCCAAGATTATTTAAATTTTAAAAGAGAATTCATTAGTAATTAAAATGACATCTAGGCTTAAGACGTCTAGGTTATGGCTTTAATGGCATTTTCAAATCTAGTGCTTTTAAATGAAAATCAGTACTTTTATTATGTAATCGTAGCATTTTGTTTGGCGCTCCCAAAGTATGTGCACCAAGATGGCGCACAACCTGAACCCTAACCTGGTACAACTACTATGTTCAGGATGTGCGCCATCTTGGTGCACATACTTCTGGAGGTCCTTTTGTTTTTAAATCAACTACTAAATTTGGTTATGACAGACTTAGATTTGCAATCATACATTATACCAAGAGTTGTTAAATAACATATACAAATGAAAATGTTTGATACGCTCAAGTCTAACGATAGAATTTAATGAAAAATTACCTCTCTTTATCCATCCGTATGTCACATTAGGCTGATCCGCCAAACATTCAAATATTGCACTTCTCTTTGGAGGGAATACTGTTACATTTTGTGGTTGATATTTAAAATCAAGAGCATCGTCCGTTTTATCAGTCGTTTCTGAGAAGAAACATTAAAAAATATTATTGTAGGTATTATCTAAACTAATATAAAAAGTTACAAGCTACAAGTAGGAATTATTGAAAGGAGCAGTCAAAGCTGTATTTTCATGTGGAAATTGTTCTGCATAGCTTGTTTCAAATCGATTGAAAATAACTATGATTTGAATTTACTCAATCACTCTGATTGAGAAAACTTGCTACAGCTTTATGCTTTCACTGAGATAGTAAGCTGGTCAAAAATTTCCATATATGTGTCGACATGTTGACATCTTTAATCTTAAGGATGATCCCATTCTTAAAGATGGTTTTGGTACACATAACATATTGTCAGTACAGTGACCTCATGGTTTAAATCACAAATAAAATATAGGCAATGTCGAACAGAACAGATTCTGGGCTCTCAAGTTATGGTAGCTCCCTACCACTAGGTGGCATCCTGGACAAAGCCTTGTCTGGAGCAAAATTGGTCTTAACCCGCCATTTAAAGAAGGTACTCCTGTATTGTATGTACCAGGGCAAATACCCTCATATATTTTATTTTATTGAGTTGTAAGATTATTTTACTTCATGTCATGAGTGAGATTCAGTCCATGAGTCATTAGTATTAGCAAGCTGTTATTATCCTTTTCTTAGTTTAGTAATTTCACCATTTCCCCAGGTATCGGTTCTTTACATAATATAAAATATTGGTGCATACACTTCTGGAGCGCCAGAAAAAACGTTGACTTCATAATTGCTTTTGTAGCTTTACTCAATGTTTGATTCGATTTGTTGATTCTGGTAACTAATTATTTCTAACACAAAAAAATGATTGTTATAAATTTATATACCTGATGACACAACAGATAATCTTGAAGTTTTGCTTCCAACTTCTCCTAACACTGATTTAGCATAACATCTGTAAGATCCTGTGTCATGGTGAGAGACATCAAATATTTGCAACACACCAAACGAGAGAAATCTGAATCTGAAAATATAAATGGTTTCATAGTGAGATCCGGAATCTTGATAAGCTTTTGAGTTATGTCATTTCTCCTATCCTGTCTCAAACATGTTTGTGTTATTTTCTATTGAACTGATTGAAGTATTTGGTTGTATTAAGATCTTTTCTAACAGTTAGATTCACATTAGGTTAAATGTGTTATGCTTCATTTGTGAACATTGGATTTATACAAAGACACTCGCACAGTCAGTGATCTTAAAAGAATATGCTTATCTGATATGCCTATCATAAACTAACAAGGGGTCGTGTCTTATTGGAGTAGGTTTCAGTTAGTTGATAAAATGAAATAGTGTAGAAAAACATAACCCAGGTAGGAACATCTTCTATAAAGAAAGTAACTTTTGTGAAAAGCGTCATAGATTGCTCAACTCTTGGTACATTCATACACAAACAGAAGTTCAAGTAGTAATTAAATTATTTGGGCCACCCTGTATTATTGATAAATAAAATTCAATGGGCAAAAAACATTCAACTGAGCAAAGTATTTTCTCAACATATTTTCCAACTCATCTAGGATCTTAAAAGATGAAGGGTAATCTTGTAAACTACTATTTCGGAAATCGGAATTACCTGGCAATCCTAGTAATCCTTACTTATTTTTCACTGATGTTCTGTCTCATGCTTACATAAAGCTAAATCCAGCTCATCTAAATCTGAACTCTCTCATTTATGATTCGCTGACTGAAAATCAGAATTTTCAAAGGTGCTATTACTCAAGCATATTAATGTTGTCTAATCAATATAAAATTCTTTGCCTAAATCTGAAAAGTAATAACAAAATATATTCAACGAACATGATATCAAAAATTAGTTAAAACTGGTCTGAAACATAGCTGCTTTCATAAAATATAGAATGTTTTATGCATAAATTTTGGAATATGCTAATTTATCACCACTGAATTGTAGAAAGGTTTTCTCATCATATTGTGATGCACTCTGTTCTTTCCCACTAACTGGCACAAACAACCTCAGCTATATCTTCTGATAAATAACTTTATTCAATAACAAACTTCTTTTTCCATACCCATTGCCAAAACAAAGAGACAATCGGCATTCAGCAACTCCTGCAGCCTATATGTTCTTTCAAAAAAATATTCGCAGAGAAATGTTTATAAGAGAACTAAACCCTTACCTTTGATGATCTTGTGGCAACGATTTCCCATTCTTTGTCCATGAATAGGTGACATTCAAGTCACTTATTGTCAGACATTGAAATCGTGCTGCTCCACCAACTTTCACGGACTGGGAAGAAGGTGTTATTGAACACTGAGGTAGTTCTGGAAACAAAATAAAAAATAGTTAAGCATGAGTGTTACACACGTATGAAACATTGAAAAAATGAGTGTTAGACTAACCCAGAGACGGGCAAACTACTGAACTATTTCGCAGAAGCATTTTTAGCAAAATAATTTGCGTCCGTTAATATGTTTACTGTGTCATCTGATATATTTCTTTAAAAATCTTTAATTTTCCATATTAAATTTTAAATATAGGTCAAATACATGATATGATCTTTTGGAAAAATTAGGAAAATATCTTCATACAAGCAAAGAAGAGTTTCTGGTTCCATTACATTTGAACCCACGTACATTTGAACCCATGGCAATTGCACCTGTATGCTATTGCACCTATGGAATATTTTTTGTTTTTCGGATAGTTCAACCCACACTAACCCTAACCCATGGGTTTTAGCACCCGCATATAGATTGAACCCGTGAATATACACATGGGTTCAAATGTACGTGGGTTCAAATGTACGGTCACCAGAGTTTCTGGGTAGCCCTTACAAAACATCTCTGCCCACCCATGGACTAACCCGATAAGCAAAGTTTGCAGGAATTAATTCCTGTATTTTCCTATATAAAGAGTTATTATCTTAAATATATTAAAATTAATATATATGAAACAGCAGTACATTTATTTGGCAGGGGTATTACTATCTGAATCATCATTGGCATTGTGTCAGCCATGTATGATAAGTATAAAATATGCCACTCTTTAAACATAATTATAGTGTCATATACTTCCACATTTGTTTCCACTTTTTTGGCAGAAATAACACAATAAAATGTCTACATGAACAAATATATTAATTCACAAATGCTCAGGTACATGCACAAGCATATGGGTAGTAATTGCCAGTTAATTATATAGCGATTCCAGAATGGTTGGGCATCGACAATTTAATATTAGGTCATTCCGTAACTGTTATCAATCGCAAAGAAAGTGTTTGAGGTCAGTGAGAATTCTTTGTTAAACAAAGCGCCGTATGCTCCGAACACCACCTCATTTTCTCGTTTTTTTCCAATATGACAAATTATCGAGAGATTGGTCACTGGCGTTGTCGAAAGAAGTAAACAACTTAAATGAGGCACACCAATTCGTTTTCATGCTAGCACAGATGTCCGGCATGGTCCGCATGGCTCAGCGGGATGTGTCTCTATTTCATTTAAAGCGCGACCAAAATAAAGAGATAAGTGCACGGCAACTCGCCATCGTTATTTTACTAGTATAAAAAGAATAGGCTTTTCAATTTTTAAAATAGCCGAATCCTAGTTGTGTGTGTGCCGATGGATATGCACGGGTATTAAGTCGACGAACCGCGCACACACAATGTTCCACATTCCACTCGAAGCGCAAGGCAAACAAGTGACCAACGTGAAAGAACGGAATAATCGCCTTCACTCGGTAGGGTTGTTTTTGGTTGAAATAAAAAGGTACTTGGGTGGAAAAGCGAAGAAGGCGTAACTTCAACTCGTACATAGCGCTTGGGCCAATCACAATAACAGCAGAAGAATGGCGAGCAAAATATAATGTTAAACGATTTCCTGTGTCGCTACCGTTACCGACTGTACTGGTTAATTCCAAACGAACATGCCGTCTGACAGTTTCACAATAACAGTTGAAATCAATCTTGCATTTTTAATTCAATTTATTATAAAAGTCGACGAATCCCGATAAAATTATTGTCACATGATAAATGCCGTGTATTATATGGCACGCATAACATCGTTCGGTGTGTTTTCTAATCAAAACAGAAGCAAATGTAATTTTTCTTGGAACCTTGTTACGTTTAGTTGAAATAATCAGAGCGATTCCGGCATAACTCATTGGAAACGTATTAAAAATTGACAGCTTTTCAAATTATTTACATATATTTCTAGCATACGTCCACTATTTTCGGTGGGATAACAAATTACGGTAATAATTAACAAAACAGGGGCAGCCATATGCAAATGACGCGAAATTTGTTGAGCAATAAAATAGCGGGATTAGTGTGATGTTATCACGAGAAAGCACCGCGCTCGGTAGCTTCTTTTTGCGCACGATTTACAAACACAGCCGCAGGGGTGATATCCTAAAAACCAACCGCTATCTGTACTTATTATCTGGGCGAACTTTAATTTGAAATTAAAATTTGGCACCATAGTTACGCGAGATGATAAATTATGACAAAAAAACATGACAAAGTTATTATTTAGGTGGTAGACAATAACATGACAAGTAAAGTTTTCTAAATCATAAAAAACGTCACATTTAACATGGAATCACAGTCTATGATATGAAAATACATGATAAGAAAAGTCACAAAACATTAATAATAAGAGAACTGGTTTATAACTTTTACAATGTTATTGAGACTAAGCATAGTATAACTTTGAAGCAAGTTCCTTTGAATTTTTATTATTACAACTATTGTATATTGCAAGTTATTTGCTGATTTCTTCATGCATACCATTCTTATCACACCCTATTCTGATATAAGATATTTGAAATATTTAACCAAGATTTACAGTGTTGATACCATTCTACACAAATATGGGTAGCCTATTCAGCATTCGAATAGTTTTTTACGTTATATTATATATTAAAATAATATTCTTTCTTTTACAATCAAACCTTTGTGTAGACAACAAAAATAATAAATTTGAACTCTGTCGAATAGGAGAAAACTGAAACCTAATAAAACCTGATGTTTTGAATGAAATATACAGACATCTTCATGTCATAATAAATTGAGAAAAATGGATGAAAATTTACCATTTATGACAATTAATACAGCAAGCAATGGCGTTGAGTTTAGAAATAATTTAAGTCATTACAATATCACATTTCACAATGGCTAGAGTGTGTGAACAATTTATGGTAATTAAATAGTATAATACCCAAAGGAAAGAGTATTTAGGAATACTCATTGAATTTATAACAATTTAAATAATTATTACAATTTCCTTTAACATATTCATATTGTCGCTTCTTCGGCATGGTAAAAAAATAACAGAATTATATTGTTACTACAGGATGTATGACAATCTTCATGATGAAACAACATAGACTACAAGCATACCCTGCAGAAATGGTATAGAAATCCGACCTAAAACAGCATTGCTTCGATTCGAAGTTCACATGTTTACTGCAGTGGGACGCGCGAAAATGCAGACGAGTTCGTGTGACGTCACAATGGTTAAAATGCCATAAAAATCTCGCACCGCTTGCTTGATTTCCAAGCAAGAAGTGACATTCTGGGGTCTCACGACAGCTAGTGGAAATCTCTCGAAGGCAAACAAGAATCAATTCCAGACTTCTTCGCGTTCTATTGAGAATATTTAACCTGAAGCTTAGTATTATTGTCTACTGCTTCGCGACCCCCCTAGAAACCAGACTCCCAGGTTGGAAACCACTGTACTAAAGCTTCATTATCAACCTGATACCGATTAATAATGGGTACAGGATCAATCATGACAGTGTTTTGTTAGGATAGTTAATTTTTGTGCAGAAATACATTTATAAAAAGCCAAAGAACCAAGTTTGAATATTTTAATTGTTTTATTAACAATCTTTCACAAGGTTTGAATTTGCAATGTTCTACTACATTTTTTTTTTTTCAATTTTTTTTTTCCTAAAACTCATAACGAAGCAGGAAATTCACAATTAGTTTTCATAAATACTCAATAGGGTTACCCTTCCTTTAATTAACCTCATTTTATTCAATATTTTGATTTACATTTTTGCATATTGGAAAAGCAAAATGATATTGAGTTGATATGTAATTCGGAAGATGTTTATTACTGAGATAATTCGTCTATTTGAGTAAACTATTCGGCAAAACTTAAACAAATATAATTCTACTTTTTCTGAATCCAAGTATATAGTAGGCTACTATATTTTGTATTAATGAGATCTACACGGTTTATGAGTGAACGGGCTAGGTTATCTGTATCATATTACATGTAAACAATTAGTTCCTATTGATACAATCTATATATTGACCTTAATACTCCATACCACAGTAATCATGTATCGAAAAATTTGATAAAATGCTTGGGAAATATATTTGACTTGGCATATTTTAAGTGTAGTCATGGAAGTGTATGAATGGCCTTTGCTGCACTATAACAAGAGTGCTGCTTTAGACATATTACATGCACAACACAAGAGATTCCCTATCTCAAAGGATAAGCTATGATACACAAGCATACAGATGAAAATGAGAATTTTACAGTCATTATTTACAAAAATATTGCTTTTTTCACGTAACATTCAGAAAATGAATGAAATTATTATTTACACTATAAGTCTTGATGGTTTAGTTTAGTTTTCGAATGCCTTTTTAAAAAGTTAAAAAGAATAGTATTTTCACGAATCCTTTGTTCGTACTTTATACTTATGGGTTGAATAATGACCGACGATATAACTATGATTTCTATGCAAATGTTCAATGTTCAGAACAACATCTGCAAAATATTAAAAATTTGAATTCCACCTCATCATAATTCGATTCCATTTAGTATCCATGGTAGTCAAACCACTCTATAATACTAAAACAGTCATGCTTGATGAAGCTCTGTTATTATGTTTTGGAATCGTAAAATTAGGTAGTTTAAAATTGAAACTTACTTGCTATTATAACTTTGAATTTTCTTCGTAAAATTTTGCCGTGCTGATCATGTACTATGCATTTATATTCTCCCGAATGTTCGTACTTGATATTGCGAATAAATAGAGAACCGTTTGTCAACACAGTATATGTACTATTTATATCAGTCAGCTTATGACTGCTGATTGATTTATTTATCAGAGGTAGGGTTGTTATTGAGTTAGATTGAGATTCAATTTGAGGTTTTGTTGTTGAGGTGTACATTGAAGTCTCACTCCACGAGCCATGAGGCCAACTTGATAATCGCTCCTCCGCATTTCTAATGTACCGTGATCTGTGCCTCATGTGCTTTTTGTGTCTTGAGTTTCGTCTTTCCTTATTTTTTGAGGTAGTAGTATGATAATATGTGCCAATCGAAGCACCGTCTTTTAGCCACTGTGTTGTGACGTTAAGCATAAATTGATCGCTACATCGAAATATAGCATCGTGCTCTGGTAATACAACATGATTTTCCGTTGCATCTAATGCAAAATTGAGTCTATGGTTTGGACTGTGTGGTTGTGTTGAGAAGGCTTGAGCTGAAACAACAAAAAGTAACAAATTAGTTTACATTTAGACAAAATAAAAATATGAATCCGGCTCCACTGACTTTTCTTTGTCAATAAAGAATAGAAGAGTGGGCAATGATATTAGCCAAATTACATCAAAAACCAACAGAAACATCATTTACAAAACAAGTTGGTATAACACATGCAGAAAATACACAAAAAAAAATACCAAAAAATATAATGAGATTTACTAAATAAATAATGTTGGGTGGTATTTGCAGTGCTTTATTTTTGTGGTCAAAAACGCATATTTTACAGTATGTTGCATTTATAGAATAAAGTAGTGAGTGGCAAATAGCGTAAATGTAAATTTTGGTACATCTTGTATTTTTTTAGTTAATATTATGTTATGTTGTTTTTTGTAATTAACAAATATTACAATGGGTCAATATTCCATGCTCAGTTTATTTCAAAATTTTCAATATGAAAAGAGATATCTCTCAGAATTTTAAACTTGTCAAATAAGATCCAAGCTAAATAGATATAATAGAGATAATACATATTGTGTTTCAATTTGGTAACACATTTGGTACAGTATATTGCTTTTTAATATATTATACAAGTTTGTTCAAGGCAAGGTCACCAAGCTACCAAGGCTGTGTGGAATTTCACAAAGCAAAAGTGTTTGAAAATAACTTTTATAATAGAAATATCATCAACAAACAAGAACCTCTTATTTATATGGATGTGAACCGAATCCGGAACAAAAATATTTGAATGTTATGAGCTCTAGAAGTGATAATATTTGGAATAGGACAGCTGATTGGACACCATACAAGAATCTACAAAGTCGATTGCAATCATATTACAAATGTATGATATATTAATATCACTGCACCAGCGAACCCACGCAGGGTAATAAGATTTGCAATCGTATTCCGAACACTTGGCAAATGCGTCAACCGCAAGTCACAAATAAACTCAAATCCCATGCATTCCTATCAAGAAAGTATGAAAGAAACGAATAAAACTACTACATACCAGACATCTGGACACGAGGATATGGTTAATGAACATTGTACAACCACTGAACTAGTTAAACAATAACAAAAACAATATTCAGATATTGAACTCACCAGAATACATCCATGTGCAAGTCAGTGTTATAATAGCTCCCAGTGTACTCTTTAATCGCACGTTAGATGTCATTAGATCGACGCCATTAACCGCAACCCACGCAAAAACCAAAGGCATAGCCTCGAAGCCATTACTTGCAAACTCTTGACCAGGCTAACAACCGCGAACGGACCTTTGCGGTTGACGTCACGGAAGAGCGAATTGTCCATTTTGTCCGAAGAGAATAAGAGAGAGAAAGAGAAGAGACACGGGTACTCGGTGGTGGTTGGAGCGCAACTTATGCCTATGATCATATTTACAGTGATAAATAGCGGATTCAGCGCCATATTAGAACCTTTTACTTTTGATCCAGTTAGGCTTACAATTTAGGTCTTTTTGTGATAAAATACCATACAGTTAGATATTGTTATTATTGTATGTATGTATATTTGTTTCGACATGAGCATGTTTACTCGGCAAGAGCTCGTGGAACGCCATATGAATAAACCGTCTTATTGACTTTTTCTTCTCCGTGATACATATGAAAATCCTATCCTAAATATTAATATGAATTTAATATTATATGTAGACAATTGCAGTTTTTTTGGTCAAAGGTTTTGTTATCATTGGCTAGCTAGAAAAAAGTAACCAAAAAAAAATTCTCCTGAAAACCAAACTACCATTTCTTTCTGTATGCCACTGACACTGCTTACAGACGGAATGGGTTTTGAAAGTAAGTCTGGCAGATACATCTCCCACCGAATTCTAACACTTGCTAGAATTATCTCAAATCTATGAATAAACCTCCCTTTCCAGAAATTATATATGTTTATGCCCTTTTATTACCAAACCACCTTTTCATATTAAAACAAAACAGTGGAAAAAGTTTCAAACTTATCTATTTTTGAATATATACACTCAAAATAAAATATTGATTAAGCCACGATGATGCGGAATAAAGCACTGGATCATTTATATATTTCCTAAACCAACAGGTTTACCTAAAAATAACTTGATTTGAAACAATGGACAATTGCTTTTCGGTAACTCAGTTTTGCATAGTATTACTTCTGCTCAGGATAATGTAGGTAGATAATCAGGATAATACAAACCACCTGTTTTTTTACATCATTCACATACATTAACCACAAGTATTAATAGTGAATATTGAGGAGCTGACTCTGATGAACACAAGGTCGTATTGCTCCCCTAGTCGATACCCAATAACTTTGCAGTATTTTCTTATTGTTAAAATGCTTGTTTTTTGGTTGATGAAACAATAAAGGTCTCCCTCTCTTCAAATTACACCAACTTCAATTACAGTGAACATCTCAATTAACTTGACAGCTGACAAGACAACGAAAAATAACTAATCCAGCCGTAGCCTGCTTCCATCTGGCATACCTCCCATATTCACAATATGCTAACCCTTCCAAAAATGGAAACAAGAAGCAATGGTGAATCATATGATTCTGTAATAGCGAGTTTAAAGGGAAACAAAACAGATGAAGCATTTTATGCTCAGAGTTTAATATGTAGAACCACTCAAAGAGCGTAATGTAATATGAAAGCAATTAATCAGACCCGCTTTAGGACCAGCATATCCAGTTCAGATTTTGCCGTGATAGTGATACAAGGGTAACAGCGGTAATTAAAAAAAAAGTCTGTCTGGACTTCTTCAATACGTATGTGCAGATGCTGGAATCCACACTTCTCTCAGGCACTGCACGTTGTTTTATGGAAAACTGGCTGTATCAGGGCAGGGCTCGTGTTCTTTTTCATTTGGATCACTTCGGCTCTTCGTCGCGTCTGCTTCTTCTGGGTGTACCTGCAAAAAAAAGCTAACAATGGAACCCATTTCAGATGACTGGCCATACAATAAATGGAAATCATAGAGCAGCGAATAGCTGATGACATTACCAACGACTCTGCAGGATAAAATATCTAGTGCAGCTAAGGATTGAGGAATGTTAAGTGTCATATCAATGCGATTAGCGAATTAATTTTCGTACAAGTATTACATTATCTGCATTACTATATATTAAGATCCTGTCATAGAAGAAAAGAAATTACAAAAAAAGGTTTTAAAAGTAAAATTAAAAAACAGGATAAAAATGATCAGGTTTATGTAAATTCAAAACAGTTCAATCACACAATGATCAAAGGGCGAAATCAATCAGCACTTGATCCTACAAGAAAATGATATTTTTAGATTTCTACTTTTCAATCCCATTTTATCTTGGGAGCATTCCTTAGCGACCAAATAATGTACAAACCCCTTTCTTTATCACGAGCCTTTATTCTTGTAATGAAGCCCTGACTTTTTGATTTTCGAAAACTTTCATAAGGGTCATCCGTTGGCATTCCTAGTCCTTTGAACTGATCATATTTGTCACGAATTTCTCCAGCTGATATTGGATCCTAAAATTTGTTACAAGATTACAATTTCATGACTTAATCGAATCGTCAAATACTGAATCTATCCAATGTTGGAAATCATTCTTTACCAGGTATGAAATATGCAATACCCACCTCTCTCCCTTGCTCTTTAGCACCTAGACCTGCACCACCCCAACCCATTCGTTTTAGCATTTGTGCACCTCTGTTTTCTTCGCCCAGTTTTCCTTCCATGCTGAGAGCTTGAGCATAAACATTTCCTCCCATACTAAAAAATATCATCCAATTAAGCATTCGGTGATCTGGCTAAATTTGTATGACAAGCAATAATAACTTACGACGGAGGTGTAAGATCCCTGTCAGCAATAGGTGAACGTGACCTTTGCCTATCTGGAGATCGTGACCTCCTGTTTTCGGGAGAAAGAGATCTCGAACCTGACTTACGTCTTCTGCTGGGAGATAAAGAGCGATTCTTTGGGGATCGTGAACGACTTCTGGATCTGAAAATGTATTGAAATTGTTGATATATAAAGTTGCTGATATCGCGGTATTTACCATGCTACTTTTATTTTTGTATATGCCTGTATTTATTGATTTGTTTATGGTATTGGATATGGACCATAGCGGTCAGGTATAATGAACGAATTGAAAAAAATTGACCAGGTAGGGCTTTAACCCATTTAAGATGAAACTTGAAAAGGCAGAAGAGGAATAGCTATATTTTTGAAGTTTAAACTCTTTAGGTTTATATTGAAATACGTTGGTGAGTATTGCTTAACAGGATTAGACTGCTTAAAAGGGCACATATTTCTTTGAGGTTTTGACATTCGCCTTTTATCCTGAATCCCTTGTGTTGATTTCTTGGTAAAGCGGGATATCAAGTTTAAACTCACTCACCGCGATGACCGTGAACGAGATCTAGATCCGGAACTTGATGAACGAGAGTAGGAACGTCCACGTGATCTTTTAAGAGAATATAATTTAACAGTGATTATGCAATAGGAATACTAAACACAAAAAATTTGGAAGTGCTTGGATTTGAAATTTTATTCGATTACATATATAAAAAAGGTAAAGACATTGACTGATATAAAAAAATTAGGTGCTCCCGAAGTATGCGAACCAAGATGGCGGACATCGGAACGTAACATGGGTAACAGGTTAGGGTTGGGCGATAATTTTTTTCCAATTTTCCTTATTTTAGTCCTATTATCAGTTCGAAGACTAGCCAACAGCCTCCCGTAGTACTTATACCTAAAATTATGGCCTAACCCTAACCTAGTACACATATTACATTCCGATGTCCGCCATCTTGGTTCGCATACTTCGGGAGCCCTAAAAATTATTATATTGGATAGTATAAGATTGCCTTCTGACAATTTTATGTTAGAAATGGGTTCAAATGATATTATAAATTGGGCTCTAACAACAGAGAATCTTGAACGTTGCAAATACCAATACCATCATTTTTGTTAATTTAGATTATTACCATACTGGCCTCAATGAAAATTCGCAAACCAAAATGTGACACTATTTGGCAGGTACAATAAATTTTGAGCACTTTAAGTTTGACACAGCTGGTGTTTACAAACTTGTTATCGTACCTTGATCTTGAGAGAGAACGCTCGCGTGATCTTGAACGAGATTTTGACTTTGACCTAAATATGCAAATCAAAATCATAGGGATAAATTGCTAGGTAAAACGAGACAACTACGCTGGTATAACATCACTGAATGTGAAATCTATCATCATACAACTCACCGGGATAAATTTCCATCTTTTCGTTGCTTGGCTCGAACTTTAGCACGGTAGAATTCAAACAAGCCATTGCGTTCCCAACCATCACTAAAAACAATATAGAATTGTTCTTTATTAATCTATATAGATGGCAAATAAATGAAATTCAACTAAACAAAATTGACCAGGTTTTAAAATCTTAGATTGTTTGATGTGCAATTAGGCGTTTTGTAAATTGAATAAAGTTTGAATTTCAGCTTATCAGCCATAGTCAATGATTGTATTGGGTGAACAAAACAAAAACAGAACCCAGGTCATTTGAAAAATACTCTTGTCTTGTGAGAAATTACTTTTGTGCAAAGCATTCTAGATTGCGATAGCATTGAACAGCACATCATGGAGATGAAACTGAAGGTAGAAGAGTCAGCGGTAGGCCAAGGCTGCTAGACTGGATGTACAGGGCAATGAGTGTTAACAATACCAGCGGACTCAAAGAAAAGGCAATGAATCAGAGCTTATGAAGATCACTTATGGAGGCCATGATTTCATCTATGGCATGAACATGCCACTACAAGAAGAAGAATTCTAGATTGCTAAAACTTCCGGGTATTATCATACAGTTGATGCATGTTGAATAAATTATGGCTTCTGTTTAAATTATTTTATATCAATAATACTATATAATATAATTTAAAATATCGAAACCTAAAATGGTCTATCTAATACAGGGATCGGCAAACTACGGCCCATGGAGCAATATAATTCGGCCCGCGACGCTTCACTGAATTATATTAACAAATCAGCTGTATTGACGAATATATTCTTTACATGACAGAATTTGTTTTGAGACACTAAACTATATTATACCCTAACAAGTATATAATTCACAATCACTCATTTAATAAGCCTATAATAATGGATTATATTTAGACAAATGGCAACAGAACGAAAAAAAAGTTGATTCTGAGTGCAAATGGTTTAACGACGCAGAAAATTCAAATGATCAGTCTTCGTGCACTGCTTGAAATTTAACTGAAATCTGTGTGAAAAAATGTGATTCATTGGCCATTCCTTCGGTTTTTAACTTTCTAAAAATATGTGCGCCGGGCGCCCGCCAATGACTTGGAACCTTTAATTTTGGCCCGTGAACGACAAAAGTTTGCCGACCCCTGATACAATAAAAGTCCCATCAATTATTAATATCAATGCTTTGATACATATTTATTATCAATACATACACATTTCGTGGTCTTTCATGGGACGGTGGTCCATAAAAAGCTTCTACAGCAGCTAGTAATCTTTCAGATGGAGGAACGGGAGGTGGCAACCTTATCATTGCTGGATCGAGGGATTTATAATCCATGTCTTCTAACTGAAATTGAAAAAAAAGAAGAATCATATTAAATGATTCAAATTGTTAATTGGGAATGATAGCCTAGTGGAGGGATGGCGAACCACTATGACGGTTCAATACAAATACAGGGTTCAAAAATAGATGCAGAAAGCATCTCAGTGTTAAAAATTAATTATAAAACCGGCCCTAATTCATTCCAGAATAAATGAACATGAACTACTACATATTATACCGTAATCTCAAGAATCATTTTCCTAAAAGAAAGGTGAGAAAACTACCCAACCCTATTTGGACATTTACCATTTGAAAATACATACTTTAACAAGTGGGCACATCAGTCCAGATGGTAGATCATAGTACGGTACACTTGGTATAAGAGATGGGTCATTTGGGTTCATTTGTGGAGGTGGCGCCCTTGGCCCCCTTGGTCGAGGACCACCACCAGCCCAGGGTGATCCATCCTGCCAAGGGCCACCCATTCTTGGACCTTGCCCTCCACCCCATGGCAGCCTTGGCCCAAATTCTTCCTCTTGCCATTCTGAGGGGTTTCGTGAGTGGCTGTAATCGATCACTTGAGGTGTTTGGTTGCTAAAAAATAACATTATACTTGGTTATTACTATGAAAGATGAAAAAATCAACGCAACACAAAGAAACTAACTTTGCCCCGTGGCCATATTCAAACTGCATCGGTGTATTGTTGTCATAGTCATCCATACCACTTGCCCATGGTGGTGCGTTATCTAAACAGAAGGTATTGTGATGTTCTAAGAAGAAGGCAATGATTACCTAAAAAATGTACTTTTGTAGAAGAGTGAGACATACCTTTATATTGATTCTGATCGTAATCTTGAGATTGTGCATTTCTTTCCTAAATTTCAACAAAATTGTTTGATAAGGACTTTTTCTTTTTTCACTTTGGTTTTTATATGTTGATTGACATTAACAAATTATTACGCATAAAGCAACAACAATAACAATTTATTTGTGAAAATAATCTAGTGAAAAGGGACCATAGAATTAAATAGACCATATATGTTTGAAAAGCATTTATCATAAATATTCCTGATCTACTACCGATACTTATTTGTCAAAAGCATCAAATTTCATGTCATTTCTAGTAGCATAGACATTAAACAGAACATCATTTTATATAACAGTTTTAACAGATTACTGGTGTATCTCCATGCAAAATGGAGAACTAATACTATCCATACATTTCACGAGGCAGTTTAATATGAATTGATTTAAAGGAAGTTGTTGCTTTATTTTGCTAAACGGAGTATGGCTATTATGGCCAGTAAAAAAGCAAGACCCAGGTCAGTTGGAACATAGCCTATACTAGAAAGCACATAACAATTGTGCAAAGCACCCTAGATCATAGAAGTGATATGGAAACTTGAGGATTCTATGTTTGATTATTGAATATATCCAAAAAAGTCTATTTCCTAATGGATGCATACATATCCTTTAATACAGGTGTGTACAACAGGCGGCCCGTGGGCCACAACCAGGCTCTCCGAGCTATTTAGTGATGCCCTTGTCAAGATTATTCCAAACAAGCATAAAATCTGAATACGACAGTTTATGTTTGAAAAGGCGCTCACATGGGTAAAAATACATGATTTCTGCCCTCGTCATTGCTATAAATCTTTCACAGTTTTGCTTTTATTACTGGAAGGCAAAGCAATAGGCGCATTCTTTTCTCTTGCCTTTCCTACTGCGCACTGGTTGTTGCTAATTTCTTAATTCGTCGTGTACATCGATAAAAAATCAAAACATCAAAATTTTTTTGTGTGGCCCAGATAGATGTCTGAAGTTGGTTATTTGGCCCACAGACAAAAATTTTGCACACCCCTGCTTCAATACAACAAATAAGGTTCTGAAAGAAAAATTATACTTCATCTTTAGCCCTTTTTTCGTCCTCTTTTCTCTTTTCAAAAGCATCTCTTCTTTCCTTTATTTGACTTTCAATATGAGATGCGTATTGTTTGTGTTGTTCTTCATACTGATTGTATTGGTTTTGAATATCAGTTTGCACTTGCTGAACTGCAGCTGCATGTTCAATTATCAGGTTGGCCTGAAGAAATGTAATACATCAGTTATTAGACACGGAGTGGACCTTTGGATCGTTTTAATAAACTGTTGTCGTTGTGGAAAATGTCATTTCTCCATACCTTTTGCTATTACTAGAACGCTATTACCTTCAAATTTCTTGAGAGTCCTATAGGACCAGATATTTCACCTAAATCTTGGCTATCTAATTATAACAAATTTTCATTCAGCACACTTGAAAGCATGCATAATAAAAGGGGAACACTTTTTATTCCAGCACACTTGAAAGCATGCATAATAAAGGGGGAACACTTTTTCTTCCAGCACAGGCTTGTTTGTTCCAAATGATCTTCAAAAATCACTATATTCAAATACTTGAAAATAAAACAAGCTAGCATTTCCAGTATCAATATTATAGTATCAATATCAATTATCGACATTTAATTTTTTGGGGGGTAGGGTTACCCATGTCAATGCTTTGTTCAATAATATTTCAATCTTGCATCAAACTAGTTTGGTAGATTTCTAGGGCATACCCAGTGTCAACATATCTAAGATATATTCCATCAAACTCAAAATCGGTTTTGGTATTAACTGAATAAATTTATTTTTTGTGCTAGATCTAAAGTAGCACAACAATGCTTCTGAAATGAGGTATTTCTTCGGAGAAGAATAGTTTATTAATTTTAAAACTGCGAGGAACTGACAACAATTCGTCTTTAACATAAATTTGTTAAATCACCCCTACTGTTTGAATTTGTTTCTTAAGAGAATGTATAGTTATACCTGATATTCTGATAGAGCAGTCGGTGGATCTTTCAATTTTTCTAAAATATCTTCATTGAAGTATTTAAATTTTTGCCACAGTCCTAATAACTTGGTCAAACGCTCTCTTCTGGCTTCCGGGGCATCTGAAGAAATTACACAATGAACACATTGAAATTCAAATATATTTAGCAGAATTCTGATAAATTTTCGAATATACTAACTTGCATTTGCCATACAAAAAATGGGCAAAATCACAGACTGAAGTGCAGAAGAGAGATCGCCTATATGTTTTCTTGATGCATGGTGCAAGACATCATTGACAAGATATACAATATGTAATTGGGTGTCAAATTTAGACTTTCCATTCACAGTCTGAATAATTGCAAGAAAATTTAAAGCAACTTAACAGATATCGTAAACATATTTATCATAAATATGATTATGGTTTCACAACAGTTAACATAATAATAAATGAATAATTATTACCCACTCTGAATCATAAAACTTCTTATCAAGAAAAGCATCAGGTAATTGTACCAGAGATTGTACGGTCTCATTTCAGATTAAAGACAGTGAGTGACTTCAATATCAGGCTTAGAACACAATTGTAGCATAAAAAAATTTTAAACCTCATTATCAGCCATCTTCTCAGCTTCTAAGATTCTTTTTAGCAAATGTCGACCTATCACTTCACAATGTTGTGCACTTTTGCTATTACTGAGAATCCAAGATTTTCCAGCCTGTCAAACAAATTAATTTAAATTGCTCTATGACAAAATATAAGAAATAAATTTGAATTCAAAAAAGACAGGAATACCTTCAATTTGCTAATACCATGTATTTGAATCTCTTTTAAAGATAAATGTAATAATGATTCGAATATACATTGTCACACTATCATGGCATCAAAGAATTATAATTGTATATCAAATCGAAATCGTGTGTGACTACACATCTGGGACAGGTGTAGCAAATTTAATTCTACACTACCGTCATTGAGTGAGTATTACCCCATTCCTGAATACTACACATCAATTCACACACATTCCTATGTGTATATGCTGAATTATTTGTTTGTAGTTGATAATTAAAATTGTTGCTCTCCATTATATTATTTCAAAATTCCTCATTCGGGCCATAGCTAATAAAAGTTGCATGTGATAAGCTTAAAATATTCTCAATAATAATTTTAAGATTTGTTAACACAACAACGCTATATTTGCAACATTAAAGCTAATAGGATAGGATGGAATTTACAAATTTATTCCGGGGGGGAGAGGAAAACCAAATAAGACATCTTAATCATATGGTGAACAACAGCCCTTTCGTGTGGTTACCATTCCATGTCGGGTATGGGATTAGTTAGTCAGTTATTTGTTTTTGGAAGCATGGACTTGATGTTGAAGGAAGCCGTGGTCATAAACTCTCTTACCACAACTAAATCTATCTACTAAATTAGAATTGAGTAAATTAACTGAATATAAATTTCCCAATGCATTAGTCAGCTTCTTTGTACTTTGTACTAACATTTCTTTACAAGTCTACTGAATTGTAACAAATATTGCCGCTGTTTATCCAAAATAAATTAACAAACATTCCAGAACTATAACAAAGGACCAACAAGCTTATTGCTCACTGAAATTGAGTCCTTGGTGCAAGTGTTGATAATGGGTTGCAAAACAACATCGAAATCAGAAGTTATAATTCCTGTACTCGAAGCGAGATTTCTTAATTTTTCTTCTTCGGTCTGAGCTATTGCAGCATCAATTTTTTCTTGTTGTTGGTGCATCAAAACCTGAATTAAAAATTTATTATAAAGAATACAAATACAAAAATTTGAAAAAAGCCATTTACAGGCCTACGATAAAGAAAAATTGTGCGCATCTTGAATGCAATTAACAAAATTCCAGGGTGACCTGAAAAAACAGAACCCAGGACATTCGAAACATATTGTGGAGAGAACATACCTGGTGCAAAGTGTCCTAGAATACTGAAACTTGTAGGTACAATCATACACAAACAGGAGTTCAAGTGTTAAGGTATTAAAGAAAATTTAGAGAAAAAAATTTATGAGTTCTATTCATTTTGCGTCATCCTGTATATAGTTAATAGTACAGATGTGCATTATGACCTCATATTGTTGTTTTAAGTTACTGCTGCTTTTCTCAATTTTTATTTTGGCTTCGTTTTCAGCTTGAACAATTTGATATTCTTCATTTTCTTGGCCTTCTTCGCCTTTGCCTTGACTCAAGTCTGATGCTTTTTTGTCTTCAGGTTCCTGAACAAAATGAACTACATCAAACAATATATTTTATTCAACAGCTGCTTGCCCAACGCCCTGTTTAGAGTAGAACATAGTTTGATAACATGACAGAATACTATGTGAACATATCGGTGACCGTACATTTTAACCCATGTACATTTGAACCCATGCGTATATCCACGGGTTCAATCTATATGCGGGTGCTAAAACCCATGGGTTAGGGTTAGTATGGGTTTAACTATCCGTGACACAAAAAAAATTCCATAGGTGCAATAGCATACAGGTGCAATTGTCATGGGTTCAAATGTACGTGGGTTCAAATGTAATGGAACCGAACATATCAAATTTTCAATTTGTACATCTATATCAGTGGTTCTTTAGTGTTTTTTTTACTTTAACCGCGTAACACCATTGAAGCCCCCTTTTGGGGTTGGCAACAAAGGCACAAGCAACGTGCTATGGGACTATTTTATAATGTGGCACTACATCCATTTCTAGATCTTCGTGCAAAGTTTCAACATATTAAATATATGCCCCAACAACGTAATAATTGTGTGCAGAATCACGAAAGAATTTGCATCGTCCCCTGTCAGAGCTGAAAGGTTTTAATTATTACAGTCTTGTTTCATTTTAGTTGGGCAGTAGCGGACGAGGGCTATCTCTAAAGACAAGGACTGGTAGCGCTATAAACCCGTTTAGTGAATACATACAGTATTAAATATAAAGAGAAAGTGTTGCTGCCATATATTAGCAAACTCAAAAACTAATTGTTGCAATAATTCAAAGCTGCTCGCGTACCATTTTAAAAGCTCCACCATACCACATTGAGAACCACTGATATGTATATAAACTAAAATGAAATGACAAATTTCAAACCTGATTTTGACTTGGTAAAGTTTGAGACTGCTCTGGTGGTAACTGACTAAACCTTGATGTCCTGGGTGGCATGTTCTGTGGTGGTTGTCGATACGGCATATTGAAATTTTGTGGTGGTGGTTGTCCACCCATTTGCTGATTAGGAGGCATCGGCATGTCTAAAAACAGTTTTCATTAAAAAAAAAATTTTGTCACTTTGACTTCAAATTTTGATGAATCAAAGTGTCACTAACTTGGTACTGTCTGGTTATTGCCGGGGCCTGGGAACGGAGGTGGCGGCTGATGCATGTTTGGTCCTGAATTCGGTGGCATGAATCTTTGGGACTGTGGCTGCCATGGCGGAGCATTCGACATTGGCTATAATGTAATAAGAAGTTCAGTATATAAAATGAGATTGCAAAAAGAAATAGTTATAAAACCACAAACGAAAAAACTAACATTGTGTATTAGCCATCATCCATCTACCAAAAATACAAAAAACAACACCTGACATACCATTCTCATATTAGGGGGAAATCTTGGGAATTGTGGCATCAGAGGTGGAATTGCTTGTTGCTGACTTTGCTGTTGTTGAGGATTTCGTTGCCAAGGTGCATTCTGCAATGAATGCTGTACCATTGCTTCTTGTGCAACTACTTGCGCATTCAATTTTGCTTTTTGCTGATTTTGAACTGAAAATGCAATAAAAAAGAATACAGCGGAAAATTAACATGATGAGAGAATGAGAGAATATAAATACAAACTTCAAGATATGCAATAGGTTTAATGTAAACAGGATATAATATAAAAACATAGGATTTTAAAAGTCATGAGAAACTTTGGACAATCAGACTGATGTAAAAACTCTGCAATATGACCAGTGGTGTAATCTAGATTGAATACCATAATTAAGAAAGAAAAACTTTTTAATAGACAGTTGCGTCTTTGAACAGCACCCTTGTAGGCAAAAGATATAAAACGAATATTCAAAACTTATACTGGGTTTCATTCGAACAAACACAAAATTAAATTTCCCGAAAAAATTAAAATAATTTCCTTACTTTGTTGTTCTGTTGATAGTTTGTATTGGTAGTAATTATAATGTTCCCCTCCAAATAAAAATGAAAATTTTGGGTTCCCTTTTTGTTTTTCTTTTGTCATCTTCTCAAATTCTGCTCCATTTCTTGCAACAAAGTTTGCCAATTTGTCAATGATATTTTTCACCTCAGGTTCTTTTAAAAAGATGTTTATAAAAAAATAAGTTTATTCTGAATAAGTCCGATTTTGGATATTTTAGCAGTTTTATTAGGTAACAACATTTATATGAAGTAAAGGAACCCAAAACATGATTTCACCATTTTATTCTCAAAGCTGTAGTTTTGTATTTTAAAATTGTTATTAATCATGAAAAACTTCAAAAACAAATAGATACATTAATGGGTTGAGTAGCATATACAAAATAACCAATAAAATTTGAGTTGAAATTTTCAAAATGATAATTATATTCTTCTTACCCACTGGTGGTTGTAGAACATCCATATTATAGATTGGAAAATGCAGCCAATATATTGCTAAATCTTACAGACTCTATATAGCTATATTTGAAGATAAGTACACGAATATTTATACAAGATATTAAACCCTTTTTCAATCATACAAATAAAAAAAATAAACGATGAAAATAAACAATTCTTTCCTTATATCAAATCTAAACAGCCATATCATACTTTTTATTTTTTTAAATTAAAGTTTGCTGTAAATAAATATTCATGAAATTTCTACTACAAGGATTTTCTATTTCAGTTATGCAGCCAACAACATTGTGATTAATATAAGGTATATATACGATTTTCTACATATTTTATTAAAATATACCAATATGTTTATTTTTCTCAATTTGAATCACCATTTACAAATGATACAACTTATTAGCTAACGTAGGAATGTGTTGGAAAATTGTCTCTGATATGCTTTACTTTATTCTATTATTAATTTAAAAGCAAATATGCAAAACCCCTTTTTCGATGACATAAATATATATCAATTTCTACGACTGCTCCTATATTTATTCACATTGACAGTTTAGACTAAATTGTCTGGTGATAGGAGGAAAATAAATTCTCCATAGCATACTTAACAAAACAGAAAAAACAGAAGCACTAAATGAATTCTTCCCCATGCAGTCTTGTTAAAAATTTATTTCACATAGTGCCCAACAAAGCATAAAAACGGCATTGTTATAAAGATGACCTCAATCAAAAATGCCAACTTACAAACTTTTGCATTGTTTCATAAGGAAACCGCATAATGGCTCCTCCTCAGAATGCTAAAGTAGTCAAGGAGACACAATAAAATTATATTATTTTGTGGATGAGCTGTTTTACAATATGAATGTTTCCACAGCATTGTATATAATTTTAAGTGGATGCACCAAGCATATTTTGGCCTAGCTAAATGACAATGTAATATTGGATATAAATCTGTGTTAGTCAATGTCGTCAATCAAGCGACAGACTTTGTGAAAATATAATACAATCGAAGGTATCAACCACAATATATCAATAATCTGTGAGGTATAAAATTGAAAATGCATCTACATGTGTCGATATGTTTGAAATGAAAGCGTTTCTTAAAACCAAAACATGTATTATTCACAACCTCTACTAGTCCCAGTAATAGCATTGTATGCACTTTTTAATCTAACAAAAGTTTAATCTAACAAAGGGTTAATGGATGAGAGCCATGGTTCAAAACAAAAATAGTAAAAAAGTCAATGTTAAGTGAAATATCAGAAACAATTCATATTTTTAAAGTTCAAAATACTGCAATATTGCAAATGCGTAAGTGCAAAAGCAAAATAATCATAAATGGAATCAAAATTATTTCCAAAAATATCATCTTTTTCCACTTATAAAGACTTCATTTGCAGGATAAAAACACCAATTAATCTTTCAATTTCTGTCTTCTGACTTTTGGGAGATGCATTTGGGTTTTTCTGCAGATATGATACAACTCCTGCCAAAAATTCAGCTCTGAATTGTTCAATCTTGCGTTTTCCTGAAACTCTCTGGTACAGTTCATTACCAATTCGTGCTGCAGTAATCCACTGGTATATTGTACTTGAGGCAGACGAAGATTCATTAGACTGTAAATACTTCAACAATGCCATTTGTTGCAATAATTCAGCATTGCTCTCCAAAGCTTTATCTTGTTCACCAATGCCAAGCAAAAAAGCCATTTTGCGTTTGTACAGTTGTAGTCCAGGTATATAAATTACAAGAACAAATTGCCTAGATGTGTAGTAATTGATAGACCATTATTAATTAATGAAAAGAAAAAAATACAAAGAATATTATGCCATTGAAAATGTACGGCACCGTAGTGATTTACACCGAAGTTGGGTCTCATGCAGTTTCGTACATACTTCTAGTGAGCGTAGCATGACGTAGTCAAGAGGCCGTAGTCAGATAGGGGTTAGGATTGAGTTGACATATCATATTGTTATGCTACACCCACTAGAAGTATGTTAGGTACGAAACTACATGAGACCCCCAAACTCAAAGTTGCCCTAGCGGACATCTCTCTCTCTCGTTTTCGGAACGGTAAAATAGCGTTTCCAGAAAACAATTTAACATGGCGAAAAAAGGAAATCTAGTCGCAAAGCACTTGCCAGATTTACGGCGAAATTTTGCTACACTCGGAATTACACAAAACTCATCTGTAATTTCCGATGGTCGGGCAGATTTTTGAAGGTGATATAAGAATGAACCTAAAATGAAGTCATCCTAATCCAAGTTTTATAAAATTTGTATGTTGGGAATATATAATAATACATTGTCAAACATGGCCGAACAGGAATTTCACATCAAAATTAATAAATATCTGCATTTTAACCCTAAATTCTATACTTTTTAATTAGGTGCCTCACTTTTAGATAAGACATTTCAAAAAAAAATATTGTGAAGTCATTTCAAACCAAGTTTGAGAAAATTTGTATGTCGGGAACATATCTTAATATCTTGTCAAACATGGCTCAATCAGGAATTTTACATCAAATGTAATAAATATCACTAGAAGTATGTTAGGTACGAAACTACATGAGACCCAACTTTGGTGTACATCACTACGGTGCCGTACATTTTCAATGGCATAATGTTCTTTGTATTTTTTTCTTTTCATTAATTAATAATGGTCTATCAATTACTACACATCCAGGCAATTTTGTTCTTGTAATTTATATACTTGTATACCTAGACTACAACTGTACAAAAGTAAAATGGCTTTTTTGCTTGGCATTGGTGAACAACAACAGTATCTTGTCAAACATGGCGGAACCATGAATTTTACATCGAAATTAATAAATATTAGTATTTCAACCCAAGAGTTTGTACTTTTCGATTATGTGCCCCACTTTTAGATAAGATATCCTAAAAGAACATATTGTGAAGTAACCTCGAACCAAGTTTGAGAAAATCGTATGTCGGGAACATATATTAATATCTTGTCAAACATGGCTCAAACAGGAATTTTACATCAAATGTAATAAATATCAGTATTTCAACCCCAAATTCTGTACTTTTTCGATCACGTGCCCCACTTTTAAATAAAATATCCCAAAAGAACATATATATTGTGAAGTAACCTCGAACCGTGTTTAAGAAAAATTGTATGTCGGGAACATATATATAATAATATATATCTTGTCACACATGACCCAAACAATAATCCGACTTAAAATTAATAAACAACGCTATCACAACCCACATACTGTATGTATTATAATGGCGTGCCTCAATTTAAGTAAGATAACATAAACGAATTGTGAAATCATCTCATTCTTTCCTATCGGGGATCTATCTTATATTTTAAAAAATTTCCTAAAATGGTTGGTTGGTCTTACTAGAAAGCCACCACACCACGTCAAGGTGCCAACCATCGTGGCGGTTTTCATCTCAGTATTGTAGACTAGACCAAGAGAGAAAAACCTGGCAAAGGGCATGTTAAGCCAAATAGGTAAAACAGACTGATACTTCGTCTGACTTGAACGATGTACCTCAAAAAATAGGAATGTAAATCATCATATCTAGTTGAATATTGTTTTGCGTGTAATTTAGCATCGGATGCACTTTTTCCAATTCCATTCTATTTCGCTGTTTTCCAGTGCCTAAACTGGGACTGGGACACTACAACATTTCGGATGGTACCATTTCAAACATGAAGTGCATTCGATCATGGTCTGATTTTCAATGTAAAACAGCTGACAGTTGCGAAGAATCGGAATTTCCAATCGCCTGGGCGCGGGTATAACACGTTTCTTGTTGATGTTAAATACCGACGAAAAATTTTCAGAGACTATACCATCGCATATTTTCTTCCTACGATTTTTCTCGTCAAATAGTATATGCTCTGGTCGTATTTTGTTACATAGGGCTATGCAAAAACTAATCGAGAATGGGCCACACGATGCACATAAAGTTTGTTGCTTGACAGCGGGAAATTCAATTTGTACTTTATTTGTTCCTTGCCTTGGCCGCGTAAGAAGCGAAATCGCATATTCGTCATTTTCATTGTACTTCATATTGGAGCTATCATAAATCTGTATGGTATTTTGGTCAGGGGTGAATATATTTGATGCTGTTGCCCAGTGATTCTCGTGCACAAACAAATTTTTGAGAAGGAATATACACTTTAGGGCCAGATAGCGCTGTATAACAAGTCTACTTCAGAATACCGAGATGACAAAATTAGTTGTGCGGTGTTCATAATATCCGAAGTGAACCAGTCTCTTCTGAAATTAGTTTTGGAATTCATTATTTTATGATCGACATCAGTTAAATGTACAAATTTTTGGAATGGAATTTTCGGTGAGACAAACCGCAACATCATAGATTGTGTAGTAGACGCTTCGTCAGCTGTTATCAGAATGGAGCTATCGTTATTAGAAAGTTCTTGAGGGCGAAACATCTTTAGAGGTCTAATGGGGGCTGGAGATATACTCATTTACATTTGTCTTTACCCTGAATTCGGGATCGTTTACTCCATTTCTCGATTTCCTGGTCAATTTGGTCATTGTTTTCAACTTTCCTTTTTTTGGGACAAACAATCAAATTATCTTCATATTCCCTTATCAGAGGGTCATGGAGTTCATCATAAACTATAGCAATCTCGTCAAGACGTTAAAATCGTCTGTTGTTTAAACGAGTTCGCTTTAGTTCCTGCTGACTTTTTTCCATGATTCCCTTAGTGCGATTATCTCGCGATATGTTTTGTTTCCCAGAAGCTGAGACTTTTGCATAAAAAGTCGAATATTTCAAATAGCCAATTGAATCACCATATCTTCCAAATCACCTACCATCAAACTTCCCCGAAGACATATCTTCGGGACATAGAATGTTTTGAATTTGGTCAATATTTCCGGGCATTAAAAATTGTTGGAATCCAAAATTTCTGCATTGCTTGCTATTTCAATGGCTGACGAAATGTCGCAATTCATTAATTCCGTAAAAGGATTTATCTCGCTCAAATCTTCATCTGGTAAATGTCCCCAGGTCTAATTCACCATCAGAAGGCACATGAATGTCCTGTTTTTCGATTTGCTTTTGCAAGTAAGTCCAACTATGATGCATAAGATTAGAATTTTGGCAAATTAATAAAACAGTGAAATGATAAAACATTCTTTTAGTTTATATCTATCCAGTAATCGCTTACAAGGGGTAAAACGACTGCTAATACTTGCATACTGTAATAGTACAGTAGTATAAAATGTCGTGCGACCTTTATTTCACTGTAATATTACGCTAATCAATACACCAGCGTTGACGTCATGTAGCGGGCTCGATACAAAAAATAGCTTGAGGAAAATAAGAGAGAATAATATATCAGTAGGTAGAAAACCTCGCAGTGTCGATTGTTGGCATTGTCCAGTGGCATTACGTTTTATCAATATCATTAAGAGTAAGATACACGCAATCTTAAGGTAGTTTGCAAAAGCCTTGAGCCAGGAACATCGACTACGTCCATAAGACAAGGATTCTTTCACGAGTTTGCATTCCTGCATGCTGCAGTGCTGGCCAATTATGAGTTGCAGATTAATTTTTTTAGGTTATGCATTTATAAAACTCGAAATATTAGTAACAGAATGAAATGTTACTATGGCAGCACTCAAAAATTTTAATTGATTCATCTTGATACTATGATAACCATTAACTACTGGTATAGTGGTATGCGATGAAAAAAGCAGTCAAATTTTCTATTGACTATGTATCTATTGAGCAATCGCGTACAAGGGTTAAAAAGGCTTCTAATACCGTGATATCAGAATAATGTAATAGTTCGGTAGTTTTTAAGCGAAGGTCTTTAACCTGCAATGTCAACAAAGTGAAGTCAAGCTATTTCAGTAACTATTCAACGTCAATACAGCGGTAGATCATTAATAATTTCATAATGCTAGACAATGCTCAGCTTATTACCACGAAGTTGAAACACATTCTCAAGCTGAATATATTACAAGATGTAATTATTCAATTGCAATTCATTATTTAAATGAAACATTTGTTTCAGTGCTGTCCAGCTGTCAGACAAATAATATAAATGTAGCTTGGTAATTGGTAATCAACATCATCTATTCTAGCCTGGTTGTTTGTCACACTGAGTTGCTGTGAGCGGATTCAGTGAGCAGGATGCAGCATTTATTGAAGGCATCCAGCTATGTTCTCTGTCAGGCATCAAAGACATGGAAACAGGCGTTTCGTGATGTAAGAAATATTTTTTGTTTATTATGTTATTGTCTGAAAATTTTGAAATCAAAATTAGTCAAACTAAATTTGTCACATTTTGAAATTAAAATTAGTCAAACTAAATTTGTCGTCGTTTGTTTTGAGAATCATTTGATGCATCCTATTCCGTTCGGTTATTGGTATGTCAAACCAATTCAGTCTAAGTAAGCCAATTTAGGAAATAAAGTTATTCGTTATTTAGTGAAAATAGATATAGAGCAGGCAAATGTTCAAAAAATGCATAATCATGTAGTAAACTTGGTCTTTGAAACAAAAGCTTGGATTGTTGAGGGAGCTGTCACCAATCAGGGATTATTTGAATCACACTGCAGCGCTGCAGAATCTAGTGATTATTTGCGAATTATCTTTCTTTACAGGATTCTAATTAACTCCAGAACTATGTTTTCACGATTGAGTATGTTCATAACTGAACTTATTTCAATGTTTTTTTCTATTATTACAGGTATTTTGTTGTCATCCAAACATTGATCCTTTTATTGTATCTAAAAATGGATATTCTACTTTTATGGACGGACATGACCCTTATTATGATGAAAGTAAGAAAATGTTTTATTTTTCATGTTAGGGAAGACAAAAAAGTTGGACCTTGTTATGTGGAATTTCACATATTTTCAATTTTTTAAAATATGGCGCTGAGTCTGAGAAAAGTTGAATTGGTTCTTGAATATGATCCATGCAAAATTGGGCTTTGAGTTGGAAAAAATTGGTTAAGTTGACTTTCGACTTTCGGATAATAAAGCTCCAATCCTCGACCTCAGGATAACAAAATTTTGAATACAAAAATCTTTGGGATATAAAAGTTAGTGTTATTCCATATTTGTTCCAGGTGAGGAAAGTCGATAAGACAGCTTTATTTGTATAGCGAATCGCGACCTCTCGCCCGGTTATCAGTTCATGTCGGGTATTGGAATAATTAACCAGTTGTTTCAGATGCACGAACTTAATGGTAGAGGAAACTGTTAGCGGCCACAGGCTATGTGAACGACCCTACGATGACAAGGATACCAGCAATCTTTTTGTACATGATCTTGTGACTTAGAATGTTTACCTAAGACTCTGGGCACTGATTGTGAAGTTTTGTGATTAAGCCCTATGGTTTTTTGAGTGACTATATTTCAATATAGTCTTGATGCTGATAATTACAAGAATATTCTATGTGTCTGAATTTTTAGGAGCACCTCTCACACCTTCAACTTCAAGATCTGATGCGAGTGAGTCTGTGGCTTCATGCAGTAGAAGTAGTAGTGAATCGCATCAGCTTGGCAGTAACAGACAGGAAGAAATTCGCACAAGTTCACCTGTATCGAATCTTTCTACTGTCAATGAAATAGGAGCTTTACAGGTGTCTTATGATGCTAGTTCTGAAAGCCTTTCAGGAATTGCAGGAAGTGAGAAGTCACCTGTTGTAAAACAACCTCAGGGAAGCACTCGAGGTTATGGAACTTGTGAGATACCCAGTAAAGCAACCTCACCAGTTTTGGACGACGACAGCACAAAATTACGACAGCGTACGTTTTTATCACTTTCTGCACCTGCAGGTTTGAATACGCTTGCATCTGGATCTCTGAGTCCCTTAATATCACCCACCATACAGTCCAAGGCTTCAGAAATTACACAAAATGAAACAGAGGCGATTTTCTCCTCTGAGCGGCAAGAACCCGAAGGATCGTCAGAGATAAGTGAAGAAGATGTTATGAAGTTAGTCAACCTGGTGGATGTCTGCATTGGTAAGCAAGTTTTTTTTTTTCATACAATCATAATAAATTAAGAAGAACTTTGTCCAGATCATTTGAAATTGAAGCTGATTGAAAAAGATAATTTATATAATTCCAATAAACACATTCGTCCCATCACTCACATTTGTACTCGGCACCAAAGTATTCATCCGTATAAAAAAAACTAAATTTTTGATCTTGTTATTAATATATAATTGTGTTTAAGTACATATTCACCAATCACTAGTATGGGTACATAGATTTAAGGAGTTTTCTAATACTTCTGAAAATGCAATATATTTGGATAAGTCGTTGATATATTCCAGATGTATGGTCAATACAACACATCCATCTGCTTAGTGAGACTTCCAAACAGAGCTTTATGTTGGCACTATGGAAGATGATATGTACATATGTGTATAATTCAGCCACAGATCATACTTGAAAGATGATAATAAGAATTCACTCTAAGAATTGACTATTCCATTAATTATTGATGTTGTTCGCTGCAGTTTCACAGCGATGGCAGTCCTTCTAGAAATTACGCAATCTAAAACCTGGTTCTTGATCAATATTCTACTCTTCAACACACATATTAATAAGATTTCTAAGGCCTTTCGATTTCACAATCTTCAATTGGAATTGAAGAACTAAATGAAAGCCTTGTGTTAGCAAAGTTTATCCACCAGTTATTATTCTGACCGGAACGACAAAAATGTGACAAAGTAGTAAAGATAGTTGTTTTTATCTATGGCTCTAACATTAAATCATGGAATATACCCAATCATAACGAGTCATAATTAGCATTTGAGTAATTAATGGCCATCACACTAAAAATGTTGGAAAAATTAAAAGTGTAGTCTAAGCACAAAATATTTATGAAGGGGTGAACATAATATATTGTATGTTGATAAGCGAGGCTATTCACCTGTTTCAGCTCAAGACACCTATTTGTTGTTATGTTATGAACATGCTTTTTTGATGCCTTTTGGTACAATATTTGCTATGTCTGCTTAAAGTGTGTGACAGACTTTTAACAATTAATTTGAGCATCTGTTGGATCAAATCCAATATCTCAATTGAGGAGATACTGTTTAGAATCAATATGAAATGTCTTTATGAACAAATAGTGTTCTTATGAACTTTGACTTGTTCCTCCAAAGTTATCGGCCTCTATTGGCTGAGCTTTCACCCATTCACTGTCAGTGTACCTGACAGACAAAAAATGTTATGCTTTCAAGTTTTTTTACAAGAACTTCGGTCATGTGGAATTCACTGTTTTCGTGGACGAGTTTGTTGAGTTATTAACACATAATTCTACAATATAATTCGGTATGGTCTCATCACTAGCTCTCAAAGATCAATCTACTTTATTTCTGAGTGTGTGCATGTGTGATTTTGCTTTCAGCGAATACCCTTCTAAAAAATTGTATCTTTCGGTATCAAAGATCTGGAATATGATAACAAATATATTGTATCTTTAACAGAGAAGCCCTTGAGTATACAAACTGATAAAGAATTGCTTGACGTCGTGGATGCAAGTACAACTCCCCAGCTGATATTGGAAGCAATACACCATTATGTTGGTATCATGACACCAGAGTTAACAGTAGCCTGCATCCATCATATTTATGCGAAAAATTGTATCCTGCATGAACGTAATTCCGATGCTTATAATCAGGTATATATAGTTTAATTTACTGGAGAGAAGACTTTCTAGTAAAACTGTGAAATCGTCTGGTTACGACCCCCTCCACCATCAAGTCCATGCTTCCGAAAACTAATAACTATCTAACTAATCCCATACCCGACATGGAATGGTAACCGAACGAGAGGCTGTGTGCCATATGGTTAAGCCGTCTTATCCCTTTCCTCTCCCGCGGGATAAATTTGTAAATCCTATCCCAAGTGAATATACCTCCTGCCCATAGGTTTCAGTCTCTTTACACAGCTTGATGAGAAGTGGGCGAACAAAATTAGTTACCTCCATATTGGTACACACACTTCTGGAGCGCCTTTTAAAGAGTGACTTTCAAAGAGTAATACTGTTTAGATGTGTGGCACGATTATTAAAGATAAAGAATTCCGTCGATTGATAGCAATATTGGAACACAATGCTCACTCATTGAACAATTTTGCTTTGCTAACTGCAGCATCTGATCTCTTATGGTTGCGTCTAACTCTGAAAAAGAAAACAATACCAACGCTCTTGTCTCATGTTGATGTTGAGAAACTCACTTTGGAAGGTAATGTGATATGTGAATACATGAAAATAAGTTGGAGGATTTTGTGAATGGTGATGGGTGGGCAGCTGATAATAATTATTATAAAACTATTGTGAATGATCTGCTACTTTATAGATATATCAGATGATGTATTGTTTATATTTCAGTTACATTTAAGATTTTATACCAAGTAGTTCATGATTTAATTGTGATAATCCCATACTTTTATTTCTCAATCTGAAATTTTGCAAAAATTCATTCAGAAATTTTTTTATTATAATGAATGGATTGAACCACAAGGCGATTAGCTTGTATCTTTGTCACTGCATTGTTGGTTTTTGAGTTACTATTATCGAAGCTGTGCACGACTTACTAATATTGTAGCTAGACAACCCTGAAACAAAACATGTAAAAGGAGTGAAATTATAATATGTTTATAGAGATCTTTCTTCGTCTTCAAAGTTTGTTTACTTCAAATATCAGTTATTTTTAAAATGTCACAAATCATTGACTTTTTATACATTCAGTGTATAAACGTAAACGAGAGTAATGAATCTAGGTTTCAAAGAGATAACACTGCCATTTCAGGTCAAACACAGTGAAAAACCAAACCTGTATATTTATCTTCCGAACTCTTACAATAACACCTTTCGTTACTGTTATAAGCTGCTGCGATATTTTGATTTATCAATTTAAATTTGTTTTATTACAGAATTAAGATTGTTATCCAGTTGTCTTCATACACCCAACATTCCTCTTGTCAACTCGGAATACTTTTACAATGTATCTGCTTCTGTGGCCATGCAAGAAATTCCCAATATCGATGATGTTTATACTCTTCTTAACATCATGAAATGCTTTGGACGGTATTTTTTTTTTACTTCATATATTTTTTAAAATACGAAAAATGAAGTAGATTTGAAACTTGTTCATCAAAATATGCAAGGTCATTCGTATATCCCAAAACTATTTTTCAATTCTCCTTTTCTTATGATTACGATTACGAATATTCTTAAATCTTTAAACATCTATCTATGGATGGCAATACATTTATGATATTTGCCATTTATTTGAATTTGCAATATAATACTAAATTTTTGGAATTTCTGTGTATATCTAGTATACCAGTGGTTCTCAAACTTACAAGCCGCACCCCTTTTTTAGAATTTGTCAAGTCTCGTACCCCACCTTAAAAATAACTACGGTAGCTAACAATAAGCTACAAATAACGAATAGTAAGGCAAAAGTATTATAACAGATAATAAAAATAACAAGCACAATTCTCTACAATCTCTAAACAAAAAAAAAATGTAAATATCTAAAATAAGGTGGGCAAGATCAAATTTATCAAATATTTTTATTTTTAATTACGGAAGCTTCAAGTCCCCTCAAAAATTGTCTACACCCCCCTTGTGGGGCACGCCCCAGTGTTTGAGAACCACTAATCTAGACAAAATCTTTGGTTGTGAGTTTCTTCAATATTAATAAAAATTTTTTTAGATAAAATCAATATGTTTCCACTATTCTGTTTCAGGGCATTTATTTATGTTTGGCAACAAGGTTTTAAATTCACGCGCTTTGCTGTTGTGTAAACATTTTTGTTTACGAATATGTCTGCAGTCTGCACCTCTTTTTTCTTAAATATCAATGACTTTTTGTCTCTCTGATAATCCGTGTAGTTATAACAATTTACTTGATCACATTGTTATAAAATTACTATGAAAATATCATAATCCAGGTATTTTTCTACTGATGCAAAACGTCTCTGTGAGTCTAAAGTTCGAATGCTTTCAAATGAATTATGGGACCAATCACCCGATGGTCGTTCCAAAGCTGCTCATATGTTTGATGCTTTTTATCGGATGGAATATGCTCCCAATCGAGCAGTATTGCAAATGGCAAGTGACGTCATTGTAAAATCAAGCATACCTATCCAACCTCAGGTAAAATTATCCTATTGTATAATAACTATATCAATGCTTTTTAATTAAAGTTGGTTTTATTAGTTTTCTAAAAAGGCAACACAATTTTTTCAAGGGTATTGATTTTTCTGCTTGATATAAATTTCATGCTTTCCAAGTTTAATGCAATAGCGAGGTATCCGTTGAAAAATCTGTTATCAGTCCAAAATGCAATTTATTGATTACTTTTAGCATGTCCCATAGATAAATTTAGGACAGCATCATAACTTATTTATGGCCTATGTTCCCTAATACATAGCTGCAGGCTGTGACATTATTGGCTTTCCTATAATCAATAATGGGAATCACCCTATCCCTCTTTGTTGTAAACACACTGAATTCAAAATTAGATTTCTTTTTAATCAATACAAGTTCTTTGTATTTCACTGATATGACATATGGTTGCTAGTTAGTTTAATTAGGCAAATTTCACACATAGTTAGGTCTTTATTGAATGTCCTATTAACTAGTATTTCTTCTAGATTAGGATGATTGCTGCTGTTTGCAGAAAACAAATCTTCATGAAACTTTGTTTCTGAATAACTAGATTTTCGTTCTCATAAAACCACAAATCGACCTCACATTTGGCTGTTTCTGTAAAATCTTTTTTAACAAGTTGCCTGCTGTTGGATTACTTGTAATAAAGTTGGCCGACATGTACAAGAACTTGTACAAATCATAAAATACTTTGATTTTTTATTATAGGTATTCTTTTTTTCATATGAGTTGGATTTAACTCATCGTAAAAAAAGTCATTGGATTAAAGTCATCGTATCATTTGATTATGGAATAAACAACTATAATAATGTTGAAATGTAATTTTATTTTATTTTTGGATAAATCATGCTTTTGATTTTTTGTTATAAACCAGGACATATCTGCTGTGTTCCGCTACTGTGTTAAATATGGGTATGGATTTCAAGACATGAAATTGTTGGATAAACTCAGCTCAGAACTGCATAAAAGTCTTGGAACAGATCGGGCATCACAATTTACAACGAATGTCAAATGGCTAACAGTGTTTTATTATTACAATAAAGATTTCATGCAGAGCTTCGTCGAATGCATTAAACGTGATATGCATGATTTGGACTTTGTAGCACTAAGTGATGTGTTGGATGCTCTTGCACAAGTAAGAATCTTCAATTACTGCATTTTTAAGAAATTTAAGGTGTTTTTATTCCCTGTTCATTTATCCTAATGGGTTTTGGTGTGTTATATTTTTACATATTGCTATCATGACTGGATAAAATGTAGTGAACTCTACTACATCTGTAACAAATTATATTTATATATTTGTGACATCGAGAGCAAAGGGCGAAACTTGAAAACAATATTTTATATTTTAAACAATATTTTCATTTTTTATTAAACTCTTGTGACTTTTCATCAAAGTGATTTGGTAAACTATAGATAGCAGCTTAAAAGACACTTTGTGATATCAAAAGATGAATTTTTTTTTCGAAATTGAAAATAAACTCCAATGAAGGATAATCATAATAAAATTATCTCAACAGTCGATATTGTGCATATCATATTTTTATAAGCAGCACATCGGTTGAAATTTTAATATATTGAACCTCCTTCAGGTTTACTTTGTTCCTGACGATGCTGATGAATTTTTTGACCAAATGTATGCTGAAATGTTGAATAAACTACCTACATTGCATACAAGTCATGTCCATAATGCAAAAAGAAAACTCTTGCTCACCGCTTTCCATTTTGCTGTTTATGGTCGCTATCCGGAACAACTTATACAACTTGCTTTATCTGAAAGCCAGGTAAATAATTTACTTTGTGTTTAATAGGGTTATGGCTGCAGAATTAAATAAAGAAGGTTCCAAGTATATTTTCGTACTGTAATAGTGGTGGCATTTTCATTTCTGATTCTTTTTCAGTGTTTTAGGAATTGTGACATCATGGCTATGATTTTAATAGAAAATAATCCAGTGGTCGGTAAAGTTTTTTAAGTGAGGCCCAAATCCTAAAATGAAAAAGGTTTCAAGGCCCACAAATTTGTTGAAAATTTCACATTTAGCCACGTATTAACTTTTAAGGGACATTAAATTTGAGTTAGCCTTTAATTACGAAATGCAATAACCGGATAGGCAAGAATGAACATACCAGAATAGTTGCAATACCGGTACTATAATTTAAATTAACATAAAGTATGATCATTTGATACATGACAAAAAAATTATATGTAGGCTAATGTTGGATTTATAGTACTTTACTTTTGATCAAACACATGTAAGATATCAAGCTATTTGAGTGAGTGCTATTTTACCTCTTAATATATATTTGTAGCTTTCAATGCACATGGGTCACAGTGGTACAAGACAATTTCTTGTTGATCTTTGTCGAGCAGTAAGTGTTGAACGTCCAGATCTTCTCCCGAAGTACTTACCAGTGCATTTGCTTCAAAACCATGGAAGACCAAAGCTATATGCTTTTGAAAAGGTATTTGATGTTCAACTTTTAAGTATTATCCGTAAAATTAAACTGTGTTCTGGACTGAAAACGAGTAAGAGACCTGTTTTTTGGTATTTGAATTATCTTTGTAATTGGGATGTAACAAGATGTAACAAGATCATGCCAAAAGGCACTAATCGAAATATTCAATATTTTTTTTGCTAAATTCAGAATATTATATCTGGATATCTGTTAAATATTTCAAAAAGATTTTTAAAGGCACCAAAACTTTCAGTTTTTTTTACTAAAATAGGATGTGAATTTGTATTCATAATTAGTTGCGAGGTTGGGAATTAATTAAGCTTGAGAATTTACAATTTCTTGCAAATGGAGGTGTAGAATTCACATGTAGATTATTATCGATCGACGATTTTAAATTTTCAAATATAATAAGTTGGTGCTTTTTTATTTCAGGATGTCCAGAATGTTCTTCTTTCTGTGTGTAGCAGAAACTTCTTTCAGTTAATGCTTTCTCCTGTATGTTTTTTTCCATTCTTTTTACTGCAACTGAGACTTGATGGTACTTTATTACCGATACATCAACCTGGATTTATTCCTGCACATCGGCATCAAATGGTATGTTATTTGTTTTTGTTAGGGCTGGCTCATAGCATAGTCACTTTTGAAAATGAAAAGCATATTTAATAGATGAGTTTAATTTAGAAACAAGAAATTTAAAAAGTCTTTCCAGAAATATATGAAAGTTTGCCCGTGTATCCCTTCCATGCAGTGGTGTACTTGGTGAAATGATATCTTCATTTAGCTTAATTGGATAGAAATGTCCAAGTCTTCACTTGGCTTTATTAGTGAGGCATTGAGTTGCTCGAGATTAAAAAAAATGGCATAAATAAAAACATGAAGCAGTATAAAATTAATTTGACAAAAAACAATTTATGATCCAACTTTATATATTTTAAGGAAGTGTTGTTGAAACCCCAAAAAGCATTAGGCCGCACACCTATCTATCTAGGGCAGCTCAAACTACCCACTTGGTGAAATTTCTGATTTTTAACCGAGAATCAATAGATGAAACATCTACCACTGCTTTGCTTTATCTACTGATACTGACTGCCTATGGCCGACGTCTCAATAGCATTGTGAATATCTTATTGACAATTCTTTGTTTATTTCCAGGTACAAAATGTGGCAGTTATCCCTCTGCCCAGATCTCGTTTCTGTCTTGGATCCAAACACGCTATTGGAAAAACAAGATTAGTTCTACGTCTGTTGAGAGCGCAAGGTGCCAGAGTTATCACGATTCCTCATTATGATTGGGACAACAAAACTAACGAGTACAAGATGAATTTGCTGCAAAACAAGATTTTCAATCAAAAAACTGATGATGTGGTCGAATAATTAATAAATATGTTGTGATATGTAGTGACAGTATATGTCTATTACATGCATGCAGTGTTTATTGATAAATATATATGTATTGTGGGACAGTAATGTTCATCTATACATGGCCAAGATAATATGGCAAATACTTTGTTCTAATCATATAGAGCTCAAAAGCTTGTTTGGGTAATCCAATGCTTCAATCATCATGTTTGTATATTTTGAATACAGAAAGAACTTGTTATTTTCATTTCTATTTAAAAAGTAAAATCATATGTAATGTAATCATTCAAAAAAATGTCATATGATATAAAGTATAAACTACAAAAACATTTCGTATTGTCAAATATTGATATGGTACTGTTTATCTCCTTGCACTGTTAACTTTTACATTTTTTGAGAAGCTATGCCATGTTCACCTTGTAATGCACTGTGTTATATTTGCGATATTACCTATCTATTTAATTTTAATTGATTAGGATTTCTTTAGTTCCTTCCTTGAATACTTTTAGAACAAAATCATATTTTAACGGTGCATGGAAACTACAATCTATTAGATTATGATAACATTAGATCCCTAACATCATGGATCATGAAATAGTATAATGAGAGCTGTGGTGGAATTCAAAAACTTGAAAAAAATCGCCTTATTTAAAAAAGATTCGTTATTTAAGAGCATACCCTAACCCTATAAACCTAACTTTTTTAATCACAAATACTTGTTTTACAACAAAATGCTCTTGCGATTTTTCCTATGTATTTAATACACGACTTTCGAAACTCCAAATGCAATACCGGTAACAGTTTTCAGCTGGGGTGCATATTCCCCATGTGCTGCAGTCATCCAATATTTAAACAAAATCGGGTTCGCTCATTACAATGACATTCCAGAAACAGGTCCTGAACCCCACCACTGAATATGGTACGAAACCAACAATTGTTGCAACTGCCTAAAACCATAGCTCATAAACCTGTGTGAATTTAGCTTTTAAGCATGGTCCGCTCTATCATTGTTGTTGTATTGCCTTATATTTATGTTATTCAAAACGTTTTTAATGTTGAATGTTGCACTCAAAATAATAAACCCATGTTGAAAGTAAGAAATTTCTTTTTAATGTCATTTGGATGGGGCTATCATGTGAAATAGCTCTGACAGGGTTCTCAAGAAAAGTGTTTCTTCCATACCAGTCGAATAGTTTGCAACTACCAAAGAGCCCTTGTTTTGTAGATTGATCCCTACCTCACCTCATGGACGAAGAGAAGGAAAATTCATACTGAACAGAATTGCGGGGTTGCCCAACCAAATCCTTTACATTTCACTATAACAAAGACACCAAGCACCAGATTTAACATATTTTTATCAGATTGACATTTAAATAATCAAAAAAGAAAGCAATACTTTCAACTTATTAAAGCATGCACCCTGATCCTAGTGGCTAACACATAAGATTTATTATTCATTATGTTGGTGTCACAGGTTTGAGATCTTTCTGCCCACCACTTCACAAAACGCTTCCAAATTTTCTGGGCTATTTCAAAAAGGAAAATCTCACTGTTCCATGGCTCATTACATATCAATGGCTGCTTGCACAGAGCCTGGTCTGGAGAAAGATGTGATAAACCTCACTGACAAACAAAAAATCAAATAGCATTTCACCAAAATATTACAGTTGACAACATAAATTTCAAAACATGCAGATATAAACATTTGTAAATCTGAGTTTGATGAAAAAAGATGCTGCTATAAATTTCGACCATTCTCATACTTCTAAATTTGCGGCGATACTTGACGCAGATGCAAGGCTTGATAAAACTTGCAAGGTTTGTTTGGTTTCAAGCAATAATCTAGCTTCTTTAAGCCATCCCTCAGCAATTCTTCTTGATTCACCTTTAAGTTGGTTCATAAACCTTGCAGCTTGCTCCAAATCACCACGATCCAAACAATACGCCGCATAGGACAAAATTTTAAAAGTATCTAACTCTTTAGGATCCAAATTCTGTGGAGGCTCTGCTTGGGCACGATTTACGATTAAAAGTGACTTTAAATATGAAAGAAAATATGAAAAAAATGAATTTCTTGTTTCGTTGATCAGAGACAGACGTCTACACATTTTTGATACTTGCTTGAAAGCAAGACGTATCGCTTCTTCAGGGTAAACACCAGAGTCGCTAGCACGCTCAGGAAATGCTTTAATTACTTCTAATATCTGCGACTCTATACCATCAACTTGTGAAATAGCCTGTAATTCCTTTTCCAGAGGAACTGGTCTACCGTCATCACCATATTGCACAGCAATTCGAAGAGCTTCGCAAGCAAGCCATAACTCTTGTGCCTTTCGAGACTCATTCTCAATGTGTGCTCGACCGTCAATTGCAGTTTCAATACCCGCTACTTTTGAAAGTGCTTTGTTCAATTCAAACTGAAACTTATCCGTTATTTCATGCAATTCATCTTCATACTTTTCTTTTACCTTTTCCATTTGTGCTAAGAAATTTTCCTCCTGTTCTTCCAGTTTTTGTTTCATTTCCATATCCAGTTCTTTCCTGACTTGCTTTTCCTGTATTCCAAGCATGTCAGCAAGATGTTCAGAATGCGCTGCAGCTTGCCGTTTCAGTTGCACTCTCATTTCTCGTTCAAAAGTTTGTCTTGCTTCTTCAAGTTTTTTTTCATATTCGACTTCACTTTCCTGCTTTAGCAATTCCATTTTTCTTTCAGTTTCTATAACAGTCTGCTCGTCCCACTTTTCCCTTGCTGCTCGTACAGCCATCTCCATTCTGCTCACTGATATTGCACGCTCCTCTGCAAGTTCTCTTTGCAATTGATCAACTCTACGATGCGCATGGGCAATCAGGGCATTAAGATCGTCTTGAGAAAGCTTCTGGCTCAATTTTCGCCACCCAGACTCAACGTTAACATCAGGCATGACAGACATAAGCTCCTGACGAAATTGTTCTTTTGCTGTTTCGATCAAATCTTTGTATTGTGAAATAACATGTGACTCTGAAAGCTTAATATTGACTTCTCTACAAGCATTTTCTAATTCCTTGCGCATAGCATTACAGTTTTCTTCAGCACTAATTATTTTTTGCTTTGCATCTGAATTATTGAACCGTTTAATTTCAGATATAATCGCACCCAATTTTGATAATTCCTGTCGAGCATCTTGGCTTAGGTTTTCTGCCTCCTGCTGGAGTCTCGATTTTTGCTCAAGAACTCTTGAAACATCCGTCCACTGATTTTTCTTTTCCTCAGAACTGGTTTCCTTTTCATCCATAGCACTTTTAAGAAGAGATGTATGTAAAGCAATCGCTTTAGATGCTTCTAGGTTACTATCGATAGCCTCCAAGCAACGTTGTGCACAAGATGACAAAGCGTCATCCAGTATTGTCAATATTGCAGCAGTATCTGCAATAACATCTTCCTCCAGTTTTATGATATTATGTGAGACTTCTTCAGGTGTACGTTCTAAATGATTCCCATCTTTATCTGGTAAAGAATCACTTGGTGTTGTAACAGGCAACAACTGTGGTGCATTCTGTATTTCTTTTTCACCAATCTGTTCAGTTTCAACGTCCGTCACTAGCTCTTTTATTGGTTGTATCTCATCATTCGTTAAAGTCGGCATTTCTGGAACTGGTTCAGATACTGCTTGGGGAATATTCACTTCAGACTCTGACAAAATACCACCGGTTGCAGAACTTTCATCTTCAATTGGTTGTTTAGATAAAATTTCCTGTCTCTCATCATGAGAAGCAGTCACTTTTTCATCTTCCAACTTCGCTTCAGTCTTTTCTTTAATTTTTCTTGCCTCTTTCAAACTTGATTCAAAGACATCACCTACTTTTCTGTTGGACTGTTTAATTTTCGGGACAGCTTCTATCGATTTATTCAGCGGCCCCAAAATGGGATTAAATAAGTATTTTGCAGGTGGAAAATTCAATTCAGCACTTTCTCTGAACGACGGAAACTGCCAAGCAGCACCAACTGCAACTAAACCACCAGATAAAACTGTTGCGCCCGCAATAACAACGGGGCTGCTAGAGTTAGATGCGGTAGTTGATAACTTCCTTCTCCCGGTAATATTTTGATAAGTCCTCCGAGGCCATCCCAACCGATTTCTAACCCGCAACATGACGATTTACAAATAAATACACGCCGCTCACTGAGATTCGAAGTCCATCAGCGTCTGACACTTGTCTGCTTGTAAGAAACAAAACCAACAAACCTCGCGGAGTGGAGTCGCATGTATGACCGCTGCGAGTGTCGCTGCTCAAATTTCGCATTTCGTGGAACCGTAAATGAAGACTTACCCTATACCAGAGCCATTATATAATGGCTTTGCTAATGCGGTGGAACGATGACAGAATTAATGGGCATGAATCAAATCTTTTCGATGTTTAACCGTAAATATATACTACTACGGTTTAACCGTAAATAAATAATAATAACCTACGACAAACCTAAGTTGACCGATGAAATACCTGGAATTCAATGAATATAAAATAAATTTGGAAGTTTTAAAACTCCTCTTGGTCAACTTCTTTACACGAATCGTAATACCAACGCATGCAAAATCAATATTCACGCTACCGCAGACACTGTAGTTTATATAAAATTTGGGCGCTCCCGAAGTATGTGCACCAAGATGGCGCACAACCTGAACCCTAACCTGTTACACACACTATGTTCAGGTTGTACGTCATCTTGATGCACATACTTCTGGAGGTCCGAAAATTTGTATAAAGTGTAAAGCTTATGCATGGCAATGTAGAAGTAGACGTATTTGATGTATCGCAGTAAAGGATGGTGTAACAAAAATAATTAAACTCTTGTTGTCTCCTCTCACTTGTTGAGGCATTAAATGTAGTGGCGAGTTTAAATTGCAAAAGAAGATAGATGCTCGGGATGTATTGAATTCCCACAAGCACATAGACAGAGAGAGATTTATTGATTCGTCAACCAAAAACAAACGTGAACAAAAGCAAAAATATACTAATAAAACAAACGAAATGTTTATTTTTGTATTGACAGCAGATTGAAAAAGACAGTAAACAACGCATCCGATTCCGTTATCATTTTGCGGTTACTGTTCCCAATTTCTATGCATACATGGCGTGATCGACTGCGGCACACGTTGATCTAATGAACAGTGTGCAATAATAAAACTAAATTGGTTTATCAAATTTGCACTTTGGAAAAGCCAGTAAGCGCACGTCTTCAGTCCGAAATCATATGATCAACAAAGCATATGTGCTTTCCTTTCCCGTGGAATATGAAAATAACACTCTGTCCAAGATCTAAGTTGATTTAACGTACCGTGTTTCCCCGAAAATAAGACTGGGTCTTATTTCAAGTTTCTTCCAAAAAAATACAACTAGGGATTATTTTCGGGGGATGTCTTATATTTTCATTTATCAAAAACAAAATTACAAAGTAGAGAACTACGAGATTTTTAAATGTACAAAATATGAAAACTAATATCTATTTACTTATAAATAACACGTTTTCAGTCAAAATAACTGTAAAACATAGACTATCAATCATTTAAAACGTGTAGGAGGGATTTCTTGCTATCGACTGGGTAAAAATAAATTTGCGTTGTTGACTAGGTCTTTTAACGGGAGGGCTCATATTAAAATCATTTTTAAAATTCAGGCTAGATCTTATTTTCAGGGTAGGTATTATTATCGGGAAAACACGGTAGCACGCTTATGTAATGATAATTAACCCAACATAGTCTCTAATATATAGCTCATAATTTATTTAAATCAAAGGCCATAGTCATTGGTTTTAAACATTAATTTGTGTTCCAATTATACGAATATTGTAAACGTGCCAAACTTTAGTAAGCTTCTTAAATTTCACATGCAGCCTGCCTGAATTTTTCCTTTTATTTTGAATTACAACTACAATGAATTACAAACGGTAACTCTCAAAAAAGTAGTAAATTTAACCACAAAATACCATACATGTTAGTTTGCTACAAGTGTTTATTTTTGTTTAATTTATTAAAATTTTACAATTGAACTATGAAATGTGTTCAAAACAATAGGCAATATCCAGACTGGTAATGCCCATCCACTTTCTCTAAATACACTTAAGTTGACGTAGCATGAAGCATGCTGAAATCGAAATTTTCAGTGTCTAAAGATTATATTTTTCTCTAGAAGGCTATCACTTTCATTTATCGTTTTTTTGCGTGCTATGACGCCATCACAATTTGCCACTGTGTGGCGCTACGTGTCCATATATTAGAGCATAGCTCTCTTGTACTATATAACAAACGTTACCAACAAAATAAGCCCATTGAGTGCATAATTGTAAGAGCAATGGCTGTATATATTACCATTAAAGTCTTTTGCTGAAATTGTATTGATGGATAGTATAGCTCGTAGCATTATAAAAAAACTTGACAAAACCGAAATATATCGCATTCAGAAATTAACGATTAAATCTTACGGCGAAAATATTTCTAGTTTTGGATGCATTACTATAAATAATTCTATTTAAAACGCGAGCTGATTGACCGTAGATCGTCATCGTATTGCACTTTGTATTATAAAAATGCTAAAATTGGCTATAGTGAAACATAGTTACGAAGAAGTATGGCAACAAAATATGGCGAGGCTGGAGGCGAAACGTAAACCATGCACTTGTTGAACATGACACGTCCTTACATTAGTAGTCACAACTGTTTTTTCTTTTAATGAAAAAATATATTCACAATGATCCAAATTGCTCATACTCGAGTTTTTTTTTAACTAATTTCTAAAGTGATCAGAAACGTTGAGAAGGAGATTGTTGCAAAGTACATAAAATTGTCCGATTTTTAATATTTATTCTTAGCGTCGCCACATTTTGAGATTTAAGTTCGAATGTTCACTCAATTTAAGTGATGACATGATTTTATGCGGACATATAATATTACTTGCAAAATAAGAATGCGTAAGCCGTAATCATTTGAGAACAAATAGAACTCAAACTACACTCAAAGTGAAGTGGTGCCGAAGAGCGACGATTAAAGTGAATATAACCCTGCCGATTGTCTTGTTGCGAGAGTGAACATTCCTCTTTCCTTATTTAGCGCCTGTCGGTTATGTTATCGCCATGCCTTCAGAAAAAAAGATTAGATTGGAAATCATTAAAGTTATGAAAGAACTTATATTTGATGGGCGAACTGAAGTTTGGGAATTATACAAGCAAAGACTTTAGAACAACTTTCCAACGTCTGAACGTCAGAACCTGGACAGTGACGGTGGGTAGAATCCCTCTCCGTCCAGTACAGTGAGATATTTGTTGTTTTGAGGGGGAAATATTAGCCTTTAAACTTCTGTTATTTTTTTGTAGTTTCACTAATATTGTATAGTCAATGTATACATAATTATCAATATATTATACCGGTAAGCAATTCAAAATGGTGAACTGTGCAAAAGCAAGTGCTGAAGTGCGTTTAGTGTTGTAGAAATATACGTTATCTCAAATAAGTTGGCTTAACTAAGTCAATTATGAAAACAATGTTTGGAATATTAATATTGGAATATAAGTATTGGTTGCAAGATCATTCATAATATGCTATTTATTGGCAATTCAGTTGACGAGATAAGTTTCCTTCACAGTTTTACTTCTGTACGGTACTTTTCGACTTTTAGTGAATGTGTGCAATCTTGGCTTTCAGCAAATACTCTTGAGAAATTCTGCAATTAGGCATATATGACAAAAAATGCTTTAAGTGTCTTAGCGTAAACTGGGTAGGAATTTCAATTTACCAAAGCAAGGGAAAGAAATGCTCTTTCCTTATATCTGTATATTCTTTTTGTGACACATTCAGACATTGGATAATCTTATGCATGATCCATCAAAAACCTTATTAATTTTAATTAACATGATAGAAGATGTTTATTCTTTATATATTTATTTCATGAAATATTGTCATTTATTTACTAGTATCACTATTTGAATGACTCAATTGTGTTGTACTGTACTGTAAAAAGCAGAAATGTGAAATACTGAAATAGAAACAAAAAACAATAATTTGCCAAATTATTTTGGTCTAGTATAGTTTAGTACCATAAGTACTTCCGATGAATGTAGCATAACTAATTTTGCATATGTTATTCCTAACCCCACCGCCACCGCACCAATCGTTCGAAACGGCATTTTTGCCACCGATAACGAACTCACTAACGCCAGCAATCTCTCTCATATCGTAATCGCTGCGACAAGAAAACGTGAGAAATAGCTTGCTCAATATCGAGTGGATCACCTGCGCGTTTTTGACAATCATTCATACACTTTGGGAGGGCTCTATTACGCGACTGGGACGTCGTAGTGACTTAATTTTTTGGTGACGTAGTCAGGGGGATAGGAATGACATATGCAAAAGTTGTTAAGCTAGGCTAACTAGAAGTGCATGTTGTACTGAACCATACCAGACACAAAAATTTAACTGGAAAAACTTTGCTTGGCAGTGGCAAAAACTACACCAACTTAAACTATATAAAAATTAAATGTAGAAAAGTTTTACTGCAGTTATAGCTGCTGCAAAATGGTCATGACTGTACTTTCCATGTTCAACTTACCGGTAGTCGGATGGAAAAATCAAAATATGTTTCTGCTTTCCTGTGTAAAAACGAAGGGAGAGTTTATCAGAATGGTCATATTATCCATTCTCTGCTGCCTTCACATCTTGCTATTTGTGCTCTTTGACCCCCAACTGTATACTAAATTGTGTTGTTACTTTAGATTGAATAGTATTAAGTGAATCATTAAGTGAATATTAATTTCCTCAAAATCCAATGTGATAAGCAGGGTGTTGGGGAATTCAGGAATCAGTCAATACCAATGGCAAGTGCGGGACATGGAAGTGGAGATCCTGGAAGAATGCCCTCATATACTCCATCATCTTCAAAACCAGGTTAGACATTTAATATATTATGTATTAATTAAAATTATATATACATATTCCTGTAAACTAACCCAGGGGTGCAGCCAGGCTGTCCAAAAAGGCTACAGGGGTGGTGATTCCTCTACGGCCCATGGGCCGGGGCCACGGCTCATCTAATTGGGCCACATGGGCCGCGGCCCCATCGAGAAAAGTTCAATTATCTTACCAAAATTTTCAATTTTCACAAAATTGTAAATATTCGAACCAAAAAAAAATCGTGGGATGCCACCAATTTTTTTTCTTATGATAAGCCTTCATATAAAAATAAAGCAAAATACCAGGCTACAGAAAAGGATACTCCTGTAGTCTGTGTACCAGGTTAGGGTTAGGACAAAATTTTGTTCAGATTTTCCACATTATAGTTCGGGGACTGTCTGTGTTAGCCAAGTGAATAGTCCCTTTGCACAACTTGATGGGCCGCGGCCCATAGCCTGATAGGCCGAGGCCCAATTCGATGGGCCGTGGCCCTGGCCCATGGGCCGTAGAGGAGTCACCACTTCAACTCCAAAAAGGGGGGTTCAGAATTTTCATATCGCAGCGCATAGTTGTGTTCAAATAGAGAACCGAATTGGTATAGCGAGATTTATATAATGTACTCATGCTTCAAAGTATAATGAAATGATTTGTTCGATAGAGGCTGACAGGGCAAACTTTGTATGTAATGTATCGTCATACATGCGACTTGGTAATAAAGCGCAATAGGAAAAGTTACCTGAACTTATGATTTATATTTGCTATGTGAACAGGACTCGTTAATCAATAAAGAAAGTAATATGTTGAACAAAGCATACATTTTTATATGTATATATTTACAGAGTAACCCCAAAAAATTTGTGCAAAACATCTTAGATTACTGAAATTTTCGTTCAATCATACACAAACTGAATTTTAAGTATCGTGTCCCGTATACCGCCGGCCTCTCAACATTCAGCAACGTTCGAAGTAATTTTTTTCCATTTTCGTAGTAGTGCGATAATTAGGAAATGTAGTAGGAATTGCTCATTATGCTGCAGGCATTGGTTTATCCAAATCTTCATTTTGACTTATCATTCGATCATCCATTTCCAAACATTTCAATCTTAATACTAATACGAAATAATAATTTATATCAAGCCATATTTGATTTTCCAGGCAGCGGCCAGAAAAAGAAACGACACAAACCCAAACTGACTCCTTTCGTCATAAACAATACTGTAAGTTTTTTTATTGATTGAAAATATGATAATATTGAGAATAATAATAGGGCAAAAATGTTTTATAGTTTTTTCTAATAGCATATAATTGCATATAGTATTTTTTAACACACAGTAAATGGATTTTTGCACAGCTCAATAGTGATGAAGTAAACAATTAGTTGAGATTTTATGTTACATTAAATACATTAAAGCACAAAAAAAACATGTGTTATTGCGTTTAGTTTTAGGTAAAATTCAGTTTGATTTTACCAAGTATCGCAAAATTACCGGAAAAAGAAGAATGTATGATGACGATTATCTTAAGTACGACTTTATACATACGACAGTGAATGTCAAAGTTGTACTCCGATTCGCTTTATGACTATAAAAATTTGAGCAATCACGCTATGAGACCAACTCCCTTACAGCGCCATCTATAAACAAAGTACCTGCCCATTACAAAAGCATTTGACTTTTTTCTAAGCAAAAGGGGAGGAGGGGGGCGCGGTTCAAAAAGTTTAAGAACCACTGGTATAACCATTTCATGCATGTTTCATGATAAGAAAAGGTTGTAGCCTACTTCTTTTAATACCTTTCACATTATGGTTTGTAAAGTATAAGTCTAATATCTTTTGTTGCATATCCTACTGCCTTCATTCATTATATAATAAATAATTTTCAAAATTGGGAAGCAGGGTTAGCCAGATACGTAGTGTAGCATCCATATATATTTCACTTTGATCTGTATCTCAATACATTTCTATTCTTTGTATCTACTAGTATATTTACTTATTAATAAATGATTTAGCCACAACAACCTCCACCTACTGCCCAAGCCATAAATAAACTTGATGCTCAAAGTGTAATGAAGATAGAGGGACAAGAAATTAAAATCCGAGCAGACGATCTTATTACCATTGAGGAACTGGGAAGAGGTGCTTATGGAGTTGTGGAGAAGGTATTGTGTGTTTATAATTGAACGCTATTTAAAATTCACGAAGAAATATCTACATGCCTTTGTCATATTTAACTCCATTTGAAAACCTTAAATTTACAGCAACTGCAGGGAGACCTTTTTATAATTTTTATTCATATTTTTGTTCATTGCGTTTTGCATAATTTGGAGATTTTTTTGCATTGAATATAAAATTTCATAACATGATAGTTTCGAATTGGATTCTGCTTATGACTTGTTTGTGGTGAGCCATGTTTGTTTCGCTATTTTTCTCAAAATATTGTATAACGTGAGTATGCTTATAATGAAATTGGGAGTTTTTTCACTGATAACCATGCTACATTGATTCCATATAATTTAATGAATTACCCTGATTGACTGCAATTTGGACCATACCTGAATGGAAAAGTTATTTTGTTCATCTTTCATTTATTTATTAATAAAAATGGATTTGGTGTGTCAAGATTTAACATCTGTTTATTGGGCTAAATTTTAAAATGCTGCTCCATCAGCATGCAAATTAATATTAAGAAATGACATATCGTAGAGTGAGGTATCCCTATAATAAGCTACGAGTTTTTGGCTTTGCATTTATTCAAAAATATCACTGCAAAATTCCTGCAATTTCACACTAATACAGAATTTTTTCATAACCGACAACGGTTAGATGCTTTATGCTGAATTTCTAGACCAAATGAATGGGCATCAAACAACTAGGTTTTGATAATAAAATGGCTAATATATAAAATAAAATAAACGAAAAGATTTAATTTAAAGCCACTAAATTCAAACAAATTACAACTGTGTTGCTAACACAAGACAGATCATGTATGTTTGGCCTTATTCAAGCTGTTATCATATTCCGTTTCGACTAATAATTTTTCTGTGCTACAAACTACAGTGTATTGACCTCTATTGGCCTGTATTTGATTACCTCTTCGGCCATTTATTTTGCCCATCTTTAGTGTTCGGATATTTATACATTGCTTAGAGATGCATTGGTAGATGAGTGCGCTTCAGTTCTATTCAATTTACATCAATTAATTTAGTTTGTGTACTTTTTTATTTCTTAACTGGTTCATTTCAAACGAAATCTTTTTCAAACTTGTAGGTTAAGTAATGCATTGTTCACTACTTTCATTCCAGATGCAACATAGACACACAGGTGTAATAATGGCAGTCAAAAGGATACGAGCCACAGTCAATAATAAAGAACAAGAACGATTACTCATGGACTTGGAAGTAGCTATGAGATCAGTGGACTGTCCATACACTGTTAGTATTAGTTATTTTAATATCGCGGCCTAGACCTAGACAACATACTAGTTCAAGACATTACATTAACCAAGACGTTTTTATTAGAAATATTATTAGGTATGATTTTTGTGAGATGTAAAAATGAAACGTTTTAGTTAAATACTTCTACTTCTTTTGATCCTTCTGTTGTGGGCAACAGTCTCTGATTTCATTGTAAAGATTATTTTCGGACAATTGACCAATCCACAAACTATAGACTAATATCTAATATTAGCACACAACAGGATATATGGCTTTGTATTTACTTCTGTTAAACTAAATGCTATCAAAGCAGTAACTGACAAAGATGTAAGCTGACAGGAAATATTCATTCTGATGATTGTGAGATTTTGTGGGCGTGAAATTGGCATGAAGTGGTTACTTGTTGTTAGAATGTTTGGAAGTCGAAAATTTAATATTGCGGTTCAAAACCACCTACCGTGTCTTACATTGTTAGTGGTATTTAATGAAATTAGGGAACATACCTCATTCAGGTATTATATAAGCAAGCATATAGAAGATCATAAATAAATTAATATTTTGAGTGGTCTTTTGGTCTTGATTTTGTATAATTTAAATTCAAGCTGAGGATTCACTATCTAATTACCGGTAAACAGAACAGAAACTACTGGAAACCTTAGATATAGAAAATATATGTTATTAATTAAATGCAGGATTATGTTAATAGCAATACTGTATTTAAATCCAAACCATTGTTTGTGGCAAAAAGAGTAGTCCACATTAAAAATAAATGCATGCAAAAGTATAGCAATAATTTCTAATGTCATATTAAATAATTGGCGTGGGACCATGAATAACTACTGTCCCAATTTGCTTTAAAATAGTCATCTTGAATTATATAAATGTTTAAATATATTGGATTGTTATTCATAAAGACTTAACTTGTGGTACCACCGATTTAAAAACAAATTCTATCATTAACATTTATCATTTGTATTTTCAGATTACATTTTTTGGTGCTTTGTTTCGTGAAGGAGATGTCTGGATATGCATGGAAGTTATGGACACATCATTAGATAAGTTTTATAAAAAGGTAGGATGTGGGAAATCTTTATATGTATATTTTCAATATGTAGGAAATCTCAAACTAGTCTGTCTGATATATTCATGCGAAATCATAATAATGCTTTATGTAATAATGCTGTGTATAATCTCATATATGAGCCGCCTAAACTAAAAAAAAAATTTGCCAGACTGGCTTATACGCGCATAACTCTGGTTGTACTGAAAATTTGTCTTATATGTGCATAACTCTGATCGATCTAACGGGTAGGCTTATACGTGCATAACTTTGATCGCACTCAAACGGAATGACATTATGTTAACTTAATTCCAACAGCTACAACTCGAACCATGCTAAGTTCTCACGATAAAAGCCAAATTAAAGCGTTGACTCACTGAATCAACATCGGGTTTAATTATCAATGTAAATTATATTTCTCCTAAAGAAACGTATTGGCATAATCTAAGAGTGTGTGTTTCAGGTGAAAGACAGGGGACTCTCTATCAATGAAAATGCACTGGGAATCATAGCTGTATCCATCGTCAAGGCTCTCAGGTATCTTCAAGAAACATTGAGAGTTATTCATCGAGATGTTAAACCATCTAATGTTCTTTTAAATAAAAGTGGTGAGTATGCCTCAATTTATTACTAGAAATGTATGTTGTAAAATTGGAAATAGCCCTAGATTTTAAGGGATTTAACTACTAAGTATCTTCATTTAGCAAAGGGGTGATGGACATGCGGCCCCCCCTTGAGTTTTTGCGTTAACCGTCACATAATTCAAGTACATTGAGATCGAATGCTAATATTGTAGTTTTATTCAATCAGAGGGTATGGAATACTACGGTATCCCTCATACTCACTAACAACTGTGTATGCAATTGGGTGTTGCCATATCTCCAGTTCACACTGATAGTAAGCACTCTGTAGAGAAAACAGTTTAAAAAAATCTTAGTAACAAACTGCGATACATTCAATAACATATATATGGATAACATTGTTGACAACTTCACTACTTCATTTTTTAGTAAATCTTATACCGTGTGTCACAAATCCTTTGTTGACTTGGGATTTTACTTTTTAGCTTGCTTCAAATTTTAACAAATTAGTTTGCAAAATTTTTCCTGATGATTATTTTTTTATCTCTTTGTTACCTACTTTTAACTAATAAGGATATTTTTCAAATTATTGTAAAAAAGGTTTGTAGTATGAATAAGAATTTGTTATGGCCACTTATGTCAGTAACTCTCAAAGCGGTCCGGCAAATAGGTTCACCACCCATTATTTGGAGTCGTACTTCAAGACAATTAAATCTTTCTCACATTCATTTAGGGATTAAATCTTCAAATCATATTGTTCCTCAAAATTGTTGGTTGATTGCTATATGATGACAGTTTATAATAAATTCCGCATATTTAATCTAAATCTTGCTGTCGACTTGAAAATGTTTATCAAGTCTAAATATTATTAATTCAATTCATTTTCTTTTTTGGCAATAGGAGAAGTAAAGTTATGTGACTTTGGAATCAGTGGCCAACTAGTTGACTCTCTTGCCAAAACAATGGACGCCGGATGCAAACCTTACATGGGGCCAGAACGCATTAAACCAGACGATAACAAAAAAGGTTAACTGCGTTTAGTATATCCATTTTTAAACTTTTTGCCTAATTTCCATTGAATAGTACTAATATATTTCACCAAAGCTCATTTAACTTAAGCACTTAACTTAAGGTGGTGATTCGTTATATTATTTCTTTGAAAATATTTTTTCTTCTTGCTCTGTTATGTTATATGAAGCTATTGTTTCTAGGTTACGATGTGAAGTCGGATGTCTGGAGTCTCGGCATCACTATGATTGAAGTTGCGACAGGTGACTTTCCATATGATACTTGGAGGACTCCATTTCAACAACTCAAACAGGTAAAATCAAGATAATTCTGTGTTTTCGTTGGCCGACCAAATTCATATTTGTTAATTCATTGTATGCTGAATATCCTTTGAAATTGGATATTGAATCAGGTTAGCGGATTGACTTGATGTTTCCCTATAAATGATCAATTTTAAAACAAAGTAAAAAATATTTAGTATGAAACTATGAATACCTCATTTTTATCACCATTACTTGAAACACACATTCTGATATACAAAGCTATGAATGTGGATAGGCAATCAAGTTAAAGTAGCGAAGATTCTTGAATTTATCGATTACTGTTTTTGCTGAACCTTGCATCCGCAACCTTTAGCATTAAAAGAGCCATTTGGCTTCCTTTGTGTCAAACTCAAATCTACTCGAAGCCGCGACATTCACTCTAATGTCAGAGGCTATTAAAACTCTTGTAACACCACTCATGACGCCAAAAGCCAAATAAATTACGTATGATGCAATAATTCAGTTTACGACGAAACGAAAAGAACTTGGAAAATGAAAAAAAAAGTATTTTTTGACAGATTTGAATCACCTCAATGCAACCTATTTTACCAATCTCTACTTATACCTGTTGTGATGTGTAATTTGTGAGTCAAAATTGACTTTATGGCCACGGCTTTCATTGAATCCCCAATCCCCACTTTAAATCACGGGAGACTGAGCTTCGAGAACAAAGAGCCACATGCAACTCCAGAGACGGGGGTTGCCAATTGATTATCTATACGAAATAAACTTACACTTGAAAATTCTCCTTAGTCATCATGAATTTTTTTTGTCATAACAGGTTGTTGATGATCCATCACCTTCTCTCCCAGCAAACGGTTTTTCAGATGAACTGTGCGATTTCTGTCGATGTTGTCTGCACAAAAACCCCAATGATCGTCATGGTTATCCTGAACTGGAGTGCCATCCTTTCATTGTTCAATATAGTCATGAATCGAAAACAAACATATCGTCTTTTATCAAACTGATTCTTGACTGACTTAGTCTGATGGCTAGGATTTGATAACGAGCCATACTCTTTAGTGCTTGGCATTGCCAGATCAATTTACAGAATTTATCACTCGTTGGATTGTCATCAAGAGAATTATATGCTCTGCATTAGCTATCTATTAGTTGGTCACATTGCCCAGCATATAAACATTGGGCAAAAAAAAATTGTCCGCTGTTTTATGTAACATGAATCTGTATTCCATAGATGTAAACGACACGAAAAATTTATTGGATGACATTTAAAATATTTTCTCAACTGCCAAGCCCAGTGGTTCCCAAAGTGGGGGCCGTAGACCTTTTGGGGTCCGTGAAGCACTTTCGGAAGGTCCGCGAAAGAAATCTGTTATATGGCTCATAGCTTAATAATACAAAAATTAAGTGCTCAAATTTGCAAATACACATTTGTCGCTTTTTGCTGATTCGCAATCACTGCTAGAAACACTGATTATCCACTTTCTGTTTCGATCATGCGGCCCCATTGTGATGTCACAGCAGTGAGCCTGTGATACCACAGAAAGAGTTCAATTGCTGCCTGCTGCCATTACAACTAACTGCAGAGGTATAGCTGACGCTGCTAGGAGGGAGTTACAGTAGGCAGTTTATGAAGTTATGCCATTTCGCTTCTAAATTTCGTTTTACAACGAAACAAGTGCACCCATTTCATTAAACTTCGTCATATACTTTTGTTCGTTTTAATGTTTTTCACTATACGGCGCATTGACTTTTTGTCATGATCTTTTTATGTCTGGTGCACAAAGTCGCAAATCCTTGTAAAAATTGCAAGGATTTCGTCATGGAATTTTTTTTCAAAAAGTTTGGGAACCACTGGCCTAGCCCTAGAAGCTCTACCGAAAAGCTCAATAAATTTGTACCTAGTCTGTATATGAATTGTTCATACATTCGTTCAGTAGTGTTGTGTCTGTAGCATGTTATTCTGGACAGTTTGAATAATCAGCAAATAAGTCTGTGCCTTGATAAGCTGAGCCAAAGCTCAATTACTTAATTTTGCAATTAGAATAATTTGCGAATTTTTTTTTTAATATTGATATATCTTGTTGAAGATTGGTGGCTTGTATAATCCCAGTAGTGCAAATATGGAACGCCCATAATCAAAATATAATATATGGTTTTAGTGGTGCTTTGAGTCTTAAATCCACTGAAATTTTTTTTCAACTTATTGAGATCATAATATACTAACGTTCAACAAATCCAACCTAGGCATGTGATATGCCAGAATAACCATCTCACCATGGTGTGCCTTATAAAATATTGTATGCTGTACAAACAGATTTCCATATTGGTATTTCAATTTTAAATTATGCTTTTTAAGATTATTCTTGCAATTACACAGTATTGGCCCAACATGTTCCTATTCGTGGGATGACGGTCTCAACATTTCATTGTTTTCTATTGCCTTGACATTAATTCAAATCAAACTAGCATTATAGATGATGGTCAGATAAGTGTCCGATGTGGTGTAGCTATATAGGAGAACTTCGATTGTATAAGTTTGATAAAATCTGATTATGAAATCAGGAAAGCAAATTGCTTTAAAAAGGTTGGAATGTAATCGAATCTTACAGAGTTTTGTTAAAACGGTGTGTGTTTTATTTGAATATAACATTTAATTATTCGTTGCACCGCTTCGCAACTGGTCAGATTGTTCGTGTCACTATTTAGGGTTCAAATATTTAACATTGGCACGGTACATTCTTAGTTTAAATTTCATTTTTGTGCTAATAATCATGGTGAAATATATTTTGTTTGGTTGTCACCCAGTGTCAAGAGAAATGCACTTCATTATACCAGCATAGTTTTTATTATTAAAAAGGATATTTCGTAATAAGGAATATTTTTAATGGAGTAAGTATAATGATGTGCAGCATTTTAGTTAATTGTTTAAAAAAACTGTCATGGCATAAATCAGTTTTTATCTTGTTCTAAGCAAATTTTCTTTTTCTGCAATTATTAGTCCAATGTTAAAAATGATGCTTCGCACAACCCAAAAAGTCATGTATTTATGAATGAAATTTTGTCTGCTGTGTTTTTGGAGTTCTGAAGATGATATGTACTTTGAATCTTCATTCAATATAAATTGAAAAATTTGTTTTCTGAATGGACTATTATGATTTTGTACACCTATTTTTAATTGGACTATTTACTGTGTATTTCTGATCATATATTCCTCATGTTTGATTGGGCGAAAATAATTGGCTATATCCATACGGTATATCTGAGCAGCTGTTTGGTAGTAAATATATATGCGGGTGAAATAATAAATTAAGATTTGCTATTATAATACAAGTTTGTATTATACCAAGAAGTATATGAGTTTGATGAATTATGAAATGGAGGTTTAATCATTAAGCCCTAAATAATCCTAAATTGTGCTCTGTATAATATATGCTTTTAAAGAAAATTGTCTCATCAAACTGCTATGATTTTTTGTTTTGCTTTTTGTGATGAACCAATTAGAAAATTGTACTTTGTTTTTCATTTGTCTATGTTTTTATCAGATTAGATTATGTCTGAAATCTGTCAGCCATTATTGTTTTTTTTAAATTTTGATGTTATTTTTTGTCGCACTGATTTTTCCAGTTCTGTCAACTATTCCGTACTTATATTGATGAATCATTTTTTCATTACCACTCATTATGGTTATGTTTACGATGAGTGGAATTTTTGAGATTTGAACTGACTGAAACTTTGAGAATGTTATAACATATTATTTGGGTGGCAAACATCCCAAATTTATTGCTATATGTTGATGATACTTTAACAATGTGCTTTTTATGCTCTGATGAATATTCTTATTTTCAAATCTATATTGGTGTTTGGCACTGCTTTGCCGCCGTGAAATGGTTCATGAAATTTCAGTTTGCTACTCCATACATGTTTATCCTCATGTGCACCTTACGCTGTACTTCAGTGTTTCCACGAACTGATGAGGCACTTGTGTCTTTCCTCCCTTAAGGGTGAATATGAATTATCATTATATGTATCCTGTTATTTCAGTATATGGGATAAAAATTGGAGGTCGAAGGACCACACCTATCTAAGGTCAATATAGCTGTCACAGTAAGATGTCAAGTTTAACAAATTTTTGGGCAGATACATATTGAAATATGTAACAATTGAGTGTAATCAATATCACCTGCTATCAATTTATACTGTTTGAGTTGAATATTTACTGGAGCCGCTACCGGTTCTCAGCAAAGAAAGAATTTATAAAGCGGGTTGCTTCTTTTTTCATACAAATGCGGTTAGTTAGTGGGGAAATCGCTCACACTTTTGCAAGATTGCGAAGTATGTGTTCGCCAATAATTTTGTTGTATCTCGGTGTAGTAGGTGAACGAAATTCCCTTTCCCATTCCAATAACTTTAGTTTGTCATCGCAAAATTGGGTAAATTGAGCTTGGAACCAATAAATAAAATGTAAAATATGGTTCAAATGCTCAAAAAGATGTTTCTAAATCAGAAAGATTTTACAGTCATTTAGTTTTAGTTACATATTTATAAATGCACTTTCTGGATAATAAAGATAACGATTGGAAAGTGTCGCGATTTTCAACTTAGAGAATTAAAATCCTTGTTTGACGTCTTGCATCTTATTTGTATATCTTTCCACATAGTGATGCAAATCTTTTTATTTGTTTTATGGACAATCCCAGTTTGCTTTAAAAGATTCCATAAGTTTGTTATACTTGAAATGAATTAGCCAGCGCATTGAAGATGCAAATTTAAACTGTTCAGATGACTTAGGCTTGAAAACTATGAACCACATGGACATTTATGGCATTTTCTTTTTACACACCTATTGAATTTTTGGGAAATCATGAACTCATCAACCTCATTTCGGAGTAAAACAAAACCGTATCAGTGTTGTTTCTTTACTTGACCATCAGACTTGCGACAAATATGCAACATCTCCCTAATCTGCGTTACAATCTCAGAGACAATTAAATATCGGCAATGGTCAAATCCCGTTTTCTAAATAAAATTCGCACACTTCACTACAATTTTCATAACATCATTCTCGTATGGAACAGGTATGGTGTCAGTGGTCGCTATATAGGTATATAGCGGACATGGTTAGTGTGTCGAATCGTATACTAAATTGCTAATTTTCCACGTCTTTTTCCAGACCGACCAACGTGCGTATCTCATAGCCAATGTATTTTGCCTAAAAACTGCTACTCTGCTCCGATAGGTTTTAATGACAGTGGAAAGTGTGGTGATATGTGTGGCGCGGCGGTGTGGCTCAACGGGCTAAGAGTTAGGAACCGCACCTCTAATTACTCTGCGTGGGTTCGCAGGTTCGAATCCCATGCAGGGATGGTTATGTGCGAGAGGATTGCTAGACTCCTCGCCGTCGTTGGGTGGTTCACGTAACCGCTGGTCGGTTACGGCTTCCTCCACCACCAAGTCCATGCTTCCGAAAACAAACAATACAGTATAACTAATCCCATACCCGACTTGGAATGGTAACCGGACGAGAGGTCGCGGTTCGCCATATGGATAAGCCGTCTTAGCGGCTTTCCTCTCCCCCGGGATAAATAGAGAGCTGTGCTCAAATATATGGACACGTCACAAGGTGTCGCTATTTTTATTCTGACACATAAAAAACAAATCTCTTGAAGTCCACAGAAATTTTTGAAATAAGTAAAAGTGATAGCCTTCTGGCGATAAAATTAATCTTTAACCACTGGAAATTTCAAAACAATTAGTCGAGTATTCGAAGAGAAAAGCGATTTTATCTTGATCAAGCAAAAGAAAAATAATAATAACAAGAGAGCTACGCACAAATATATGGACACGTTAGACCAGAGCGAATCAGTCCTTACCGGTACCTTTGACGCTACCGGTACCCTCAAAAAAGTTCTGAATTTCCAGTAGCAAGAATTTTGCAGAATCAAAACGTACAGCCAGTCATGACACTGACTAAAATCCGTGTTCCCATGGATAAAAAATAATACAGCAAAATTTTAGACGAAATATCAAATTTCATAGAATTCACGCAAAATTTTGAAATAAATAAAAGTAATAGCCTTCTAACAAAAAAATTAATCTTTAACCACTGAAAATTTCAAAGCAATTGGTCCAGTATTCGAAGAGGAAAGCGACTTTTTAAAAACGTGTCAAAGAACAAGAACAACAACAACAACATAATATTGAAACGATCGTTATGTCCACTACGTGTCCAATAATTGAAAACTAGATAGCCACTTGTAGGTACATCTTTCATTTAGACCCATTTTTAAGCGTGATAGTAAGCAATGACTCGTGGTTTCGAGACTTGAGATTTTATAACAAACACTTGCAACGGTCGGGGAAACATCCACTTTCTCCCGCAATTCTGTACTTGAAACAAGAGAGCTATGCTCAAATATATGGACACGTAGCGCCACCTGGTGGCAATAATTTTGATGACGTCATAGCGAAAAAAAAGTAATAGCCTTCTGGAGAAAAATTTTATCTTCAACCACTGAAGATTTCAAAGCAATTGGTCCAGTATTCGAAGAGAAAAGCGATTTTCTAAAAACGTGTCGAAGAACAAGAACAACATAATATTGAAACGATCGTTATGTCCACTTCGTGTCCAATAACAACTAAATTTTGAAACGATCGTTATGGCCACTAAACGTGTCCAATAACAATGACAACAAAATTTTGAAACGATCGTTATGGCCACTAAACGTGTCCAATAACTCGCTCTGATTGGATTCTGCGTTCCAGCCTGCCAACACATAAATTTTTCAGTGAGCAAAATCAAAATGATGAACTTATCGTTGAAATTGGAAATCGGCAATGCATTCAATGCGAATTGTCAGGAATGGTTACCAAGTGACGACATTGCTCATTTTCCACTATTTTGGTATTCTATTAACTATTTTCTTTGAGTTAATTTTAATATCGATTCTCAATTCTAATTCTTATTATTGGACACGTAGTGGACATAACGATCGTTTCAATATTATGTTGTTGTTGTTCTTTGACACGTTTTTAAAAAGTCGCTTTTCTCTTCGAATACTGGACCAATTGCTTTGAAATTTTCAGTGGTTAAAGATTAATTTTTTCGCTAGAAGGCTATTACTTTTGTTTATTCTCAAATTTTATATGAATCCTATGAGATATGATATTTCATACAAAATTTCGCGGTATTTATTTTTACTCATGGGAACACTGTTTTACACTTATTTCAAGCGGTTTCGCGATCGATTGTCTTGCTCAGTACTACAGCTACTGTAGGTCGGTACTGGTAAGTTGCCGTAACGCAGTGAAATTGACTTATTCCTTCCGCGGTATTACTAATGCTGCAATGCAAGTTTTATAGCCTATCGTATGCGGAACGGAATATCAGACCTACAGGTTCGGTACCGGTACTGGTAGCTCAGTACGTAAGTACGATACTGGTACTGGTGCCGGTACCGGTGTCTTACCACAATGAAATTACCGTAACTTATTCTTTCACGGTCCTACCAGTGCAGTAATGCAAGCGTTGTAGCACTTGTAGCCTACTATATTTGTTTATTTTGATGAGAGTCTACTGGAAACAACATAAAATTTGAAAGGGAAGAATTGTTCTGTGATCAATTATCTGTCCTAAAGTGTAAACAACATAAAATTTGCAAGGGAACAACTGTTCTGTGATCAATTACCGTATATGGCCTACAGTGTACAGGTAAGATGCTGCCTGACTGCTAACTCAGTACCGCACCTACGTTAGGTACCGGTACCGCCGTGAATTCAGCTCTCATCTCTTTGTTGGACACGTAGCCTAATGAACATAACGATCGTTTTATTTTGTTGTTCTTGTTCTTTGACACGTTTTTAAAAAGTCGCTTTTCTCTTCGAATACTGGACCAATTGCTTTGAAATTTTCAGTGGTTAAAGATAAAAACTTTCTCCAGAAGGCTCTTACTTTTTTTTCCGCTATGACGTCATCAAAATTATGTGACTCTACGTGTCCATATATTTGAGCATAGCTCTCTTGTTATTCTATGTTTTTTTTTTCTTGGTTTATTTTTCTGTTGCCGACATCTAGTGTTCAGAAGGCTTACGTTTTGTGACACAAAATTGCCAGAGCGCCATTATGTAGATTGTAGAACTCGCGAGTTTTTTTGTTCACTTTAATTTTAAGATAAGTTTATTTCGACTCAATAATCAGCATAAAAATTGATGAAAACAAATGAATAAAAACTGTTTATGAAATCAGGAGATTAAACAAAACCTCAAATTAGGTTTAAAACTCACCAGTACAGAATATAAGATGAAAGGTCACAAGTTACACAACCATAGCCGTAGGAGGTACCGGTATACGGTACAATAAAGTTAGAAAAAAGAGAAGGAGCTCTAGATAAACTATATAATAAAAAAAATAAGTAAAAAAAAATTAGAATAAAAAATAGGAATTGTTGGCCACACCATTTTAATAATTTTGTAAAAGTTACCGGTAGTCTACCTATCAAATTGAATTCAGATTTTGTAGACATGAGCGAACAGTATTTAATACTGTAGGGTTATATAAAGACATTAAAAACTATTTTTTGTATCGTGAGATTTGTTCAGAACTTTACTTTAGAAGAGGAATTTAAGTCGGAAAACAGCTCATTTTTATATGGCGAACCATGGCCGTGTCTAGTATATTGAATTGAAGTATTTTGCTTGATCAAAGTATTCCAGTGGGGGTAGCATAACGAATTTCGCGTATGTTATTCCTAACCTCCTAAAAATTACGTCACTACGACATCACAATCACCTCATAAAGGTATAGCTACGGCCAAAGTATAGCTATGATCGCCTGAAACGACATTTGTGCCGTCGATAACGAACCAACTAACGCCAGCGATCTCTCTCATATCGGGACCGTAGCAACGAGAAAAAGAAGGAAATAGCTCGCTCGATTTCGGGTAATTGTCTGTGCGTTTTGGACCATCAGTCACGGCTCGAATTCGAACCTTTCGGGTATTCAATTCGGACAGCGCCTAATTCTTCATTTGGGATCATGAGCTCCACTTTTGAAGGTTCCTTTCATAAAATGACTTTTATAGATTTACAAATATATATGAAAAGAACTATAACGTCATAATAAGCATTCCTGATTAGCTAATATTCATGAGTCGTTCGAGGCATTGCGCGTTTATGGATGCCAAAATATAATTTCTGGAAAAAAACGGCCCCAAATATTTTTGAAGTTTTGTATGCGGACCTTCGGTAAACAGCCCTGGGTTACTGTACCTGTGTCGCCTGTAACTCTTTCGATTCTTCACTGGCATGGCCCGCCATTTCTGCAGTTCAAGTTTTTTGCCTATGATCCAAAAACCTCGTCAAATTCGGCTTTATTTCATTAACTGACTATGGTACTGCTTCAATGCGGTTCATTTTGATCATTTGTGGGCAATCATTTGTGGTGTTCAAAGTAGATTTCAGGAAGCATTAGCACCCTCAGCTGTCAGGCATGCCACTGAATCCAGACTGGATGAGCATTACGTGTTGAGTCATGGATCTTCAGATCTTAGATTTGAAACTTAGTTTATTGAAGAACAGCATTGACTGAATATATGTGGAATGTTATTTATTTTTTGTGTTCTCAATTAGATGTTTTGATTCTCTTATTTGATTCAGATCATTAAAATTTACATGAAATATGCCCTGCTGGTATTTTGACAAGGTTGATCTGAAGAAAACTCCATCTCTGCAAGATGGTGTTCCCCCAGAAACGGAAGCCAGATATCGAAGAGAGGGAACTCGTTATATATTCGATATGGGTGCAAAGCTTGGATTAAGTCATGATACTCATGCCACCGCAGTAGTGTTTTTTCATCGATTTTATATTTTTCACTCCTTCAAAAAGTTCCCAAGATATATTACTGCCACATGCTGCCTTTTTTTGGCAGGGAAAGTAGAGGAAACTCCGAAGAAATGCAAAGACTTGGTTAAAGTTGCCAGAAGTTTGTTATCTGATGCTCATTTCACCCAGTTTGGAGAAGATCCGAGAGAGGAAGTCATGACATTTGAGAGAATTCTACTCCAAACAATCAAATTCGATTTGCAGGTTGAACATCCTTATAAATATCTTGTGCAATATGCCAAGGCTTTGAAAGGAGACAAGGCTAAAGTTGAACACCTTGTTCAAATGGCTTGGACATTTATAAATGATAGTTTTTCCACATCACTATGTTTACAATGGGAGCCGCAGATTGTCGCAGTAGCAGTAATGTATTTGGCAGGACGTCTGTGCAAGTTTGAACCTCAAGATTGGGCGTATAATCGCGGGCGATGGTGGGAACAATTTATCGATGACATCAGTATGGACCTATTGGAAGATATTTGTCATCAGGTACTTGATCTTTATTCTCATCAGAAACCAAAATCCGTTTCAAAAGCCAAACGAGAGCGACCCAAGACACCTGGAGATGTTGACAAAAGCAATGAACCACAAGCAAAAGCTATGCGCCAAGATTCCAAACATGCCAAAAATTCGGAAAACCATCACAAGGCTAAACCGAGTTCAAGTACGTCTTCAAATAAAGTTCAAGGGTCAAATCAACAGCAGATACAACCAATCAAGCGACAGACGAGTAGTCAGTCAACCAATTCTACAGGGAATGTTGAAGTTTCCAGGCAGGATTCCACAAATACTGAAGAGGTGGCAATGGATACAGTAGAAACATGCGACAGTGGTACTATAGAAACTCATTCAGCCCACTTACCAGCACAGGAGCCAAGTGGTATTCCAAGCAAAGCAACCGATTACTATAGCAGTGTGAATGAGTATCAATCATTTATGACATCCGACAATATGTCATCAATGGCATTGTCACAACAGAAGCAGTTAAAACAATATAGTTATTCAAATAATTCAGTCTTTCAACAGCCACATGTATATAGCTCTGTGCCAACAACACCACAAACCCCTACTGCGCCACAACATAGACCCAGTTTTACTGGACCACCACCGCCTCCCCCACAGCCACCTTTCCCAACTTCGTTCCCTCAGCCAAGTTTTGATGTTATGCCACCCACTGGATTTCCACCCAGATTTCCATCGAATTTACCACCAACATATTCTGGAAATCAGGATATTTTTTATCCGGATGCACATCCCCCAATGGGTATGGCAACTGTAAGAATTACTGTCGTC